CACATCAATTGGTTGCATCCTGCACGGCCCTGTCAGAGTCGGGGATCAAACCTGCAACCCTAATGTCCACAGGCTGAAACTATAACTCCTGAGCCAAATTGGCCAGGCTATTTTTTTTTTTTTTTATTAGTATGTTTTTATTGAGTGAGAGGAAGGGAGCGAGATAGAAATATCAATGTAAGAGATACATTGATCAGCTGCCTCCTGCACACCCCTACTGGAGATTGAGCCCACAACCTGGTCATGTGCCCTGACCGGGAATCGAACTGGGACCTCTCAGTCCATGGGACAGTGCTCTATCCACTGAGCCACACTTGCTGGGCAGGGCTATTCTCTTTTGAATGCTGCCACCAGCAGGCATCATCTTTAAAGTAGAGATGTGTTAACTTTAGAGTTCCTGCCTTTTGTGTTTCTGCCTTCTGCCAACCCCAAGCCCATTGTTCGTGAGAAACAGTAGGTTCAGATGAGCAGTTTGCTCGAGCCATTGAACTGAATGAAACAACCTATTGTCTTGGACCTTTTTTGCACAAAGAGAAAAAAGTTTAAAATGGCTGAACGTGGGAGTCTGCATCCTGGTTTCCCTCCTCACTCTCTTCTTTGTGGGGCTGTTGGAAATGGGCAGTGAAGTGAACCCTGAAAGGTTTTATTGGTTGACTCAATAATATACAATTGTGTTTCTTAAGAGGAAAACCTACATAAAATCATACTTTATCTGTGGAACCCTTTACATTTCTTTTTGTGTGTGGATATTTTTCCATTGAATTTTAGATAGAGTGGGGGCAGGGAGAAACCTCAATGTTAGAGAGACACATTGGTTGTCTCCTGCACGACCCCTACTGGATCCAGGAATTGAACCTGCAACCCAGGTACGTGTCCTTGACTGGAATCGAACCTACAACTCTCGGGTCTGAAGACCAGTGGTCTAACTGGTGAGCCGCACCCGCCAGGGCAGGAACATTTTACATATCTGTAGGAGCAAGTAATTTTTGAGACACATATTAGGATTGGAACTGGTAAAATAGGGAGAGTAACCACCAAAGGGAGATAGAGAAGGAGGACAGGACCATGTAAGAGCAAGTGTGATTTTACAACATGTATTTTCTTTTTAGGCCCAGGTTTTGGGAGAATTTAACCAGTCCACTGTTTGGAACCCTTTCTCCTCCCTCAGAAACGTCTGAGGTAAGCTGTGGTGGAGGGTCGACAGAACCTGGTAACTGAAAGCTCCTAGGAAGAAAAGACTGGGCTGTGAGACTTGAGCTCTAGAAATGACACCTCTCCTAAGTAAACAACCAGAATGTTTTCTTCACTAGAACCTTCTTTCTCAGAGAAGTGCTTGCTTCCTCTCCCTTTGATGTCTTGCTTTGGGAAGGAAAGTGGCATACCATGCTCTCTGTTGATGGCTCCGTGGTCTTCTCCACTCACTTGGAGACACTGTGGACCTGACGCTTGTGCTCTTGCAAGTCAGATGCCCATTCACATTTGATAGAGAATGCGTTCCTTTGTGGGGGGACTCCAGGGAGGAGGGTCGCCTCATGATTGGGTCTGCTGTGCTCTCCCCCTACACAGCCCAGCATCCTGGAAACCTGTGCCCTGATCATGAAGATAATATGCTTGGAGATATACTATGTAGTTAAGTGAGTCTTTTCCCCTTTTGAAAGTTTAATTAAATGTTTGGGAGGGGGTCCATGGTGGCCTACCACTGGGTGCATGTACAAGCCACATCAGAGAGAGCTTGTTTGGAGCCATTTATGGAGGGCCACTAATCTATGTCCCTGGTCTGTCTATTGATGGCATTTATGATTGTCAGAAAGAGTTATTATGAAGCAAACTCCGAGTGCTCGGGATTTTATGGAGGAGGAATCCTGGAAAAGGCCTTAGCCCTAACCCATTATGTTAAGCAAGAAGGTTGAGCCCCACACATTGGAGGGTCCGGAGCCGTCTGCCTTTAGCCCATGTGAGGTTGCTTTCTCTGCCTCAACAAGGGTCTGTGCCTATCACATTTGCATCTGCTTTCAAAACCTAATGGTAGATTTTGTGTTTTCTTGACACTCTAGGGGCTCACTAGACCAGTCACTAAAAGATACACTCAAGAAATTTTCCAGTGAGAAACGCTTTGTCTACTGGTCAGGTTACGTCAAGTCCTTGGCAGCTCACACAGCCGACACAGAGGGCAGCAGCTGCACCTCCTTGGTAGAGTATCAGATGCTGGTCTCCGCCTGGAGGATGCTTCTCATCATTGCCACCAGTCATGTAAGAACCTCCTGGGGCGAGTTTTCACTTTGGTTTCCTAGCAGTGATGTGCTGGGGTACCTAGCAGTTAAGCCCCTTGGGATGAAGAATGAGGGTGTTTCCCTAGAGAGCTAAAATGTTAACAGGTTCTATTTCAAAAGATGGGGGCTGATATGAGGTATTTGATGGTATTGGGTCCAACAAGAGGCCCTTAAGAAAAGTGTGGACACCCGGCTGGTGTGGTTCAGTGGTTGAGTGATGACCTATGAACCAAGAGATCACCAATTCGGTTCCCAGTTGGGGCACATGCCCCGGTTGTGGGCCAGATCCCTGCTGGGGGGCATGCGGGAGGCGGCCGATCGATGTTCTCGCTCATTGATGTTTCTATCTCTCCCTCTCCCTTCCTTTCTCTCTGAAGTCAATAAAAAGAAATTTATAAGGAAAAGTATGGAGCCTGGCCAGTGTGTCTTAGAGGACTGAGCATCGTCTCATGGACTGAGAGGTCTTGGTTTGATTCCCAGTCAAGGCACATGCCTGGGTTGCAGGCTCGATCCCCAGTTGGGGGTGTGCAGGAGGCAGTCATCGATGTTTCTCTCTTATATCAATGTTTCAATCTCTCTCCTCCCCCTAAAAAATCAATAAAAACATATTTAAAAAAATAAAAGTGCAGAGAAATAAGTAGAAATCCCTTTAGACATTCATAAAAGATTCCTGTAGCTGCCTTTGCAGTCTTGGCTAGTTGTTAGGGGCTCTCTTCATATACCTCTCATACACATGTATTATTGTCTCACACTGTGTGCCCTATGGACACTAGGTAAATATTTGTTGACAGTTCAGGTAGCTGTAACTGCTGCGGCAGCATCCTCTAGAGAGCTGTTTATTTTCACTGGTTTTAGAAATTGCATTTTCTGGTCTTAGAAAAACAACAGAGGCCATTGTCTCTGTACTGTGTGTCTACAGTTTCAGATCTTGAGAGTTGGCTTTTAAAGAGTTAATATTTGAGAAGAGTTTGCATTTTCTCTTGGTGTTTTTTAGTGGCTTGACATCATTATGCTGTGTAGTAAGGTGTTGAACTCTTCTTCCTGGGATCCTGGATTAATTTCTTGACTTCACCAACTGCTTCAGCTTGATAGGTGCCCCTTGTTCCAGGCATACTCTTACATCTTCACATCTTCTATGACTTGTGTCACTAGTGCCAGACTGCCTGTGACCTTGGGCCTTTGCTGTGGCAGAGTGGTTGTGGAGCCCTGAGACTGCAGACACACCAAAGGCTCAGCCATCTCTGGGGAGTAATTGATTCCCATGCCCCAGGAATAGCCTGTGTGTCACCTGCCTTTTAGGCCCTAGCTAGCAGTAGTTCTTTAATTGTTCTTGAAAAATCCTACCTTCCTCGTTCTCCTCCTAGGAAACCTATTTGGCTAAGTCCAGGATATTGATCATTCATTCACTCATTGAATAGATGTTAATGGAATGCTTGCCATGTGCCAGGCACCAGAGCTACAGCAGTGAACAAGGCAGATAAAGTCTTTTTTTTTTTTATCCTCACCCGAGGACACTTTTGTATTTATCTTCAGATAGAGTGGAAGGGGCGGGGAGGGGGAAACATCGATGTGAGAGAGACACATCGAGTGGCTGCCACCCACACGACCCAACCAGGACTGGAGACAAACCACAACCACGGTACGTGCCCTTAGCGGGAACCGAACCCGGGTCTCTCTGGTCTGCAGGCCAACACTCTAACCGCTGAGCCAAACTGGCCAGGGCCATTTTCAGGTTTTGATAACTCACTGTGGAGGAAATAATTAGGAAGCTGTGGTAGTGAATGCTAAAGTAGGATAGGTGTAGTCAGGAAGGCCCTCTCTGAGGAGGTGATGTTCAAATTGACACCTGAATGTGTGAAGGAGTGTTCCCGGTAGAGAGCCTGTGGGAGAGTAGTCTATGCAGATGGAATCACAAGTGCAGTGGTCCGGAAGTGGAAAAGAGCTTGGTATGTTCAAAGAGGAGAAAGGAGACCATTAGGGCTGGAATAGAGTGAACCCAAGTAGGTATGATACCAAAATTAGTTGGTGCAGGTCCCATGGGGCCTCCCAAGCCTTGTTGAGGAGTTTTTATTTACAATGCAGAGGCAGCCTTTAAAGGGTCTGAGCAAAGGAAAGACGTCATCAGGAGGAGGAGATGAACCTGGGCTTGATTCTGCCCGTATCTAAGGGTAGTCAAAGAAACAGCAGGGCCCTCAAGCCCCACTTTAATCAGGGAGACAATGACTTCTCAATGACTGATTGTCTGACAGAGGACCCCACATTTCTTGGTTTCTAAAATCTGGGAAATTTTCCCGACTGACATTTTTTTCTGTTCTCTTGCAGGCAGAGATAATGCACCTGACCGACTCTGCAGTGCGCCGCCAGCTCTTTCTTGATGTGCTTGATGGGACCAAAGTATTAGTAAGTGTGTCTGGGTGATTTCACATTCCTCCCTAGGAGGTCTCTGAGGTCAAATAGTAGCTCATGAGTCTGCAGTCATGCAAGTGGTCAGGTCAGAGGGCTCAGGTGGCCTGAGAGGCCTAAGGCTGCAGTGGGAAGGCAGAGGTCTGCTGCTGCTGGGCCAGTCCCTGGCCTCTCCCCATGTCCCGCCCCTTTTAGCTTATTGCTAGGAAGGAAAGGCGTGAGGCCAAAAGGTGCCCTGTGGATGGAGCTGGAATCTTCCGGCTGGACCAGCCCACAGAAAGCCCAACTTCTAACTGGTCTGCTGTCTTACCTCAGCTCCTGGTCCCGGCCTCAGTAAACTGCCTCCGCCTTGGCTCCATGATGTGCACTCTGCTGCTTATCCTCCTGCGGCAGTGGAAGCGGTGAGTGCTGTGGGGGGGCAGCCTGCTCAGTCCTCTCTGACCCTTTGCCTTCCCGAAGGGGAAAAAGTGGGTATGGAACGGGCTAGCTTTTCATTGTGCACCAGGACTAACAGAGCCAACTGCCCGGTGGGCATCTTGAGTGGGAGCAAGGGCAGTTGTGGCCTTTCTGTGAGCTGTATTTTCCTCTCCCTCTTGGCCCCATATTATTTCTAGAGAGTTAGGTCCTGTGGATGAGATTCTTGCACCCTTGACAGAGATCCTGGAGGGAGTGCTGCAGGCCGACCGGCAGCTCATGGAGAAGACCAAGGCCAAGGTGTTCTCAGCATTCATCACTGTGCTGCAGATGAAGGAGATGAGAGGTGAGGGGTAGAGGGGGTGCCAGGAACCGTCTCCTGTTCTTGTTGGCAGCCAGACCAGGCAGGGCTTCCGCAGGCACAGAGCCAGATGTTCCTCCTGTTGGGGTTGAATCTTCAGTCTTGGAATTCTGGTCTTTAGAACAACTCTGTTTCTTCTCCACTTTTTTCTCCTCCTCTCTCATGGGACAGATACTCTCCTTTAGTACTATACTGTATTCCCAGCTGCCTGGGAAGGAAACCTCGGTGTGCAGTGAGAGGTGGCGTGGTGAGCGTGACAGTGTTCCCTCCCTGTCTGCCCTGCAGTGAGTGACATCCCCCAGTACTCTCAGCTAGCGCTTAATGTCTGTGAAACCCTCCAAGAAGAGGTGATTGCGCTCTTTGACCAGACCCGCCACAGCCTGGTATCGGACAGTGCCCCAGAGGACAAGGACAGCATGGAGACTGATGACTGCTCACGACCCCGGCACAAGGACCAACGTGATGGGGTGAGGGCTCACCTGGGAAGCTGTTTGTTCTTTCCACATGCACCCAACAAATATGAACTGCCTGCCTGCTCTGTGCTAGGCTCTATGGGTGATTAGTGAACAAGACAGATAGTCACTGCACTTACAGAGTTCACCGCCTGGTAGAGGAAGTTAATGAATTTCAGACTATGCGAAGAAGTGTTGAAATTCCATTGGGGCAAGTCTTATAGGGGAGCAATAAAGGGAAAATGTTCAATGTGGGGTTCTCACCTGAACTCAGCAAGAAAGCACCCTTTCAGCAGTGACCTAAAGCAGGCTATTGTGAGCAAAGATGAAGTGAGGCCTGGAGAATTGGGACTAGATGACTGGAAGCTTTGTTGTTGTTGTGTTTTTTCTTAATCTTCACTCAAGGACATTTTTGCATTGACCTTCAGATAGACCGGGAGGGAGAGGAGTGGGGAAGAGAGAGAGAGAAACATTGACATGAGAGAGACACATCGGCAGGCTGCCACCCACACGACCCCAACCAGGGCCGGGGACAAACAGCAACCGAGGTACGTGCCCTTAGTGGGAACTGAACCCGGGACTCTCTGGTCCGTAGGCCGATGCTCTTACCACTGAGCCAAACCGGCCAGGGCAATGACTGGAAGCTTTGTGAGGGTTTTTTATCTGAGTCCTATGTAAAATAGGAAACAATTTAAGGTTTTTTTTTCTTTTCATTATTTTTTCTTTCAATTTTTTTTTCCCAATCCTCACCTGAGGACACTTTTCACATTCATAGAGCAAGAGGGAGAAAGAGAGGAAGAGAGAGAGAGAAACATCAATGCGAGAGAGACACATCAAGTGGTTGCCACCCACACGACCCCAACTGGGGCCGGGGACAAACTGCAACCGAGGTATGTGCCCTTAGTGGGAACCTCACCCGGGTCTCTCCAGACTGTGGGCTGACACTCTAACCACTGAGCCAAACTGGCCAGGGCTTTTTCATTTTTCAAAAATCCTCATCCGAGGACGTTTTTCCATTTATCTTCAGCTAGAGTGGGAAGGGGAGAGAGAGAGAGAGAAACATCAATGTAAGAGAGAGACATCAATTGGTTGCCTCCCGCACGACCCTAACCAGGGCCAGGGACTGAACTGCAACCGGAGTATGTGGCCTTGACCGGAATCAAACCCACGACTCTCTGGTCCGTGGGCCAGCGCTCTAACTGCTGAGCCAAACTGGCCAGGGCCAGTCTTAGGCTTTTAAGCAAAGGTGAGAAGTGATCAGATTTGTGCTCTAGAAAGATCACTCTGGATGCAGTAGCAAACTGTTTTTCAAACTATGGGTTATGATCTATTACTGAGTCTTGAAATAAGGTCATTTGGTGAAGACTAGCATTTTAAAAAAGTGATGTACAATAAAATGTAAAAAAAAGAAAATGTTAGCCTGCTTTACAGGGTGTAACGATAGGTACTGTTTAATGAAAATACATACATATGTATATACTGGGTATTTATTACTGTGGTCATGGTTTAAAATGCTTGAAAAGCCATTGTTAAAAGAATTGTTTCAGGAGAGTCCAGAGAGGAGGAAGAAGGACCACTTGGGAGGTGATTGCAATAGTGCAGAGAGGGGAGGTTATTTTGACTCTGCGTGGTAGCAGAGTTGGGTGGAGTGAGCAGCTGCGGGATAGGAAGTAGCACAGACACAGCTTGATGGGAAGGGAAGTTATTGATAGTCCTGTCAGTCTAGGGGTGGCTCTTTGGTGTGGGTGGAGTTGCCAGCCCCTGAGAGGTGGATGTGGGAGCAGAGCAGTGTTGGGAGAGACTCTGAGTTATGGTCAGTCCAGCTCATTTAAGAGGTGTATGACCAAGTCTCAGGCAGCCAGGTGCAGGGCTGGCTGTCCTCTTCCTTCTCTTCCTCTTCTCCTGCACTGCAGTGTTTCCTTCCCTTCTGCCCATCTTTGCCTCTGGGCCCCAGCAGGTGTGTGTCCTGGGCCTGCACCTGGCCAAGGAGCTATGTGAGGTAGATGAGGATGGTGATTCGTGGCTGCAGGTGACCCGCAGGCTCCCCATTCTGCCAACCCTTTTCACCACCCTGGAGGTGAGCCTTCGCATGAAGCAGAACCTGCATTTCACCGAGGCAGCGTTGCACCTGCTCCTCACCCTGGCTCGCACCCAGCAGGTAGGCGGCAAGCCCGAGGCAGGAGAGAGCCTCCTTGCTTGTGCTGGGCAGGTTCTCTCACTGTCTGTGATTCTCCCAGAAGCTCTGGTCTAGCCTGAGAGCTCTCCCTGCCCCTGGGCAGGCGTCTGCAGGGACAGGTTCCATCTCATTCCATGTCTTTCCCTCACAGGGTGCCACAGCAGTGGCTGGAGCCGGCATCACCCAGAGCATTTGCTTGCCCCTGCTCAGTGTATACCAGCTCAGCACCAATGGGACAGTGCAGGTGAGTTCCAGTGGCCTGCCAGGGGGCCTGGACCACCCAGACTGCACTTTCAGTGGAAATGTAGTCCTGCAGCCCCCTTCACTTGCCTCGGAAGTTGCTCTCTCTAGTGGCTTTAGGTACTGCACTTATGGACTGGAATCTTCTCTGCCCCATACTCACCTTCAGCAAGAGGAGCTCACAGAGCTTGTTATTGGCAGACCCAAGTCTAGAATCCAGGATTTTTGTGTATTTCTGCCCAGTGTTCATTCTTTGTCACTGCTGGCCTCAGACCCGCTCTGGTCCTGTTGGTCTTTAGGCAATGACCATGCCCATTCCAGGAGGTTTTCTCTAAGCAGCCAGGCTGCCTTAGTGGCCATGCTGCATGGAAGCCTGCTGTACCTGTCAGCCAGGTTCCTTGGCACCATGTCCTGATTTTGTCTTCCATTTGTCTTAGACACCTAGCACCTCTCGGAAGTCCCTGGATGCCCCATCTTGGCCAGGGGTCTATCGCTTGTCCATGTCTTTGATGGAACGTCTCCTCAAAACTCTGCGCTACAACTTCCTGACCGAGGCCCTGGACTTCGTGGGTGTTCACCAGGAGAGGACTTTACAGGTGAGGGGCTGCCAGGGGTGGGGCTCGGGGATTAAGGGGGTCTGGGCCATTCAGGGATTAAGGCTTGGTAGTCATGGGGTGTCGGTGCCCCCATTTCTGTGCTCAAAGGACTGCTGGCTGACTGGCCAGCCCGTGCAGCTACTCTGCCGAGTGAGGTGAACAGTCTCAGATCAGCTCAGAGAGAACCTCTTGGTTGGAACACCAAACCACCTCTTGTACTGCCATTTCAGTGTTGGTGGGCCCAGAACCTGTCCTCTCCACAGGAGGGCAGGAAGAATTGTGTCAGGTCTCTGCGTCACCTCCTCCTCCCCTTCTCTCCCCTCCTAGTGCCTCAATGCGGTGAGGACAGTGCAGAGTCTGGCGTGCCTGGAGGAGGCGGACCACACCGTGGGCTTCATTCTGCAGCTGTCCAGCTTCATGAAGGAGTGGCACTTCCATCTGCCTCAGCTCCTGCGGGATGTCCAGGTGGGGCTCAGACAGGTTCTTGGAGGGGCCTGGGGAAATGCTTGGGAACAGGCCGCGATGGGCACTCTCTGGGGGCACCTCCAGTGAATTTTGCTGAGGGAGCCCAACATTTGTTTTCACATTGCTTTCCCTGGAGCTTAATGTTTTCCCTCCCTAGCATAGGGCAGACTCATAGGTTAAAAGCCTGGGCTTTATTGGTCAGACCTTGGTTCACACCCTCTAGGAACAGGTCTGAAGCTGGGAAAGAACAAAGGCCCTGGAGTCAGACAGACGTCTGACTTTGCTGGTGTGTATGTGACTATGGCCAAGTCACTTGACCTCTCTAAACCTTTTTCTTCTATAAAATGGGGAAATAGCCCTGGCCAGTTATGATCAATGGTTAGAGCATCAGCCCACAAACCAGAGTCACAGTTTGATTCCGGTCAGGGGCACGTACCTTGTTTGCAGTTCAGTCCCCGGCCCTGGTTGGGGTAATGTAGGAGGCAGCCAGTCTATGTCTCTTACATCGATGTTTCCCTCTCTTCCTCCCTCCCTCCCTCCCTCTATCCCTCCCTCCCTCTCTCTGAAGATAAAAGGAAAAAAGATCCTCAGGTGAGGATTAAAAAAATAAAAATAAAATGAGGAAATAACCTGCACCTCATTTATTGACCAAGGCCTGATATTGTGCCAGGTTTTTAGTTAGGTCCCTGGGAAGCCATCCAGGCATCTGTTGGCCCAGAGTGTGCAGGTGCTCAGTGAGTCAGGAGCGTAGTGGTGTCTGTAGAGACCTGTGTGGCTGGTCCAGTCAGTTGGCTGGGGACGCCGCCAGAGAACCCCCTTAGCTTCCTGTGTTTGCTGCAGGTCAACCTGGGTTACCTGTGCCAGGCCTGCACCTCCCTCCTGCACAGCCGGAAGATGCTGCAGCACTACCTGCAGGTATCCTCCCCCCCTCCCCCATGGCTACCTGGAATGCCTCACCCCGCTTCTGTGCTCCACCTGCACTTCTGTCTCCTCCAGAACAAAAATGGGGACGTTGTTCCTTCGGCTGTTGCCCCCCGAGTTCAGCGGCCACCCACAGCTGCCCCTGCTGCTCCCTCTTCCTCCTCCAAGCAGCCCACTACTGACACAGAGGCTTCGGAGCAGCGAGCCTTACATGTGGTTCAGTATGGCCTCCTCAAGATCCTCAGCAGGACCTTGGCGGCCCTGCGCCACTTCACCCCGGACGTCTGCCAGATCCTGCTGGATCAGGTACCAGCACCATCTGTGCTGAGCCACCAGCCTCCCACAGTGATCTGAAGGCTTGGCTGTGCCCTGCTCTCGAGAGCTGTGTGGGTCCTAGCTGGGCCCTAGAATGCTCTGGTCTTGCCTTGCAGTCCCTGGACCTTGCTGAATACAACTTCCTGTTTGCCCTGAGCTTCACCACTCCTACCTTTGACTCTGAAGTGGCCCCCTCCTTCGGGACCCTTCTGGCCACAGTGAATGTGGCCCTAAACATGCTCGGAGAGGTGAGTTGGATGCTATCTGGCCCCTTCATCCAAGTCTGTCCCAGTTTACCACTTCCTAACCATGACCTTGGCACGTTTACCTAGCCTTTCGTGCTAGCTCTCATAAAAGTACGATAGAGACTACCTCTGTTGAGAATTATGGTGAGGACTGAATGAGGCAACAGAAAATTACTTAGTGCAGGAACTCCCAAGTAGGAACTCTCAGTGAATCAATCGGAGCTGTCACTGTTACCTGCTTTTGTTTTTTTTTTTAACGTCATTTCTCTTCCTCCAGCTGGATAAGAAAAAGGAGCCCCTCACTCAGGTTGTGGGGCTTAGCACTCAGGCAGAAGGGACCAGGACACTGAAGTAAGAAAGCCCTCCTGGAATTTGATCTGGGGTTGGGGCAGTCATGGGCTGCCTATTCTCTTAGCTCAGTGCCAACCCTGCTCTGTCCCAGGTCCCTCCTGATGTTTACCATGGAGAATTGCTTCTATCTACTCATCTCCCAGGCCATGCGTTACCTTAGGGACCCAGCTGTGCACCCCCGGGACAAACAGCGGATGAAACAGGAGCTCAGCTCAGAGTTGGTACGAAGGGATAGAGGGTTTTGACTGGAGGGGTCGGGGCTGGTGGGGAAGATCCAGCCCCAGGGTGGGGGATGTTGGCCTCATCAGGCTGCTTTTTCTCTCATAGAGCACGCTGCTCTCCAGCCTGTCGCGCTACTTCCGCAGGGGAGCTCCCAGCTCCCCTGCTGCTGGCATCCTCCTCTCGCCTCAGGGCAAGTCCACCTCTCTCTCCAAGGCCAGCCCCGAGAGTCAGGAGCCTCTGATCCAGCTAGTGCAGGCCTTTGTCCGGCACGTGCAAAGATAGGGCAGTGGCGTGCTGTCCGCCTGCCATTCACCACCCTGCACAGCAGCCTGATGGGGGCCCTCTGGGACTGAGCAGCTTCTGTCACCCTCTCCCCAGAGTAGCCATGACTCCAACCACCCGCACACTGGCATTATTTTTGTAATAGATTAAGAGGTGAGCAGGAGGGGAAGGGAGCCACAAGTCTGCTGTGCTTACCCTTCACCTGTCAAGGGCCCCAGAGGTGTATTCCTTTCCTTCAAGCATTCCCCAGAGCACTTGACCCCAGCCCAGGGGAGATGGGGGAGCCAATGTCACGTGTAGCCAGGAGAGGCTGTATGCACGGGTTTGAAAATGTTTTCCATGTCTGTTCTTGCAGTTTTTTGGTAATACTGTGGTCTATTTATACAAATATTAAAATACTGTTTATAGACAGCTGTGTGATGTGTGCCTTCAGACCCAGGAATGACTAGCCAGTTGTCAGTGCATGGAACAGACTTCCTCAGCCAGGGGTCCAGGTGGAGGTTTGGGGAAGGTGGAAAGTTCATTGATGGTTGTCTCACTAATATTCCTCCATTAATGTTTGGGGGTGGGGGTGCTATATGGACACTCAAGATTTTTCCTTCCTTGGCCTGCCCAGGTCTTGTCCCCCCACCCCTGCCACACACACTTCCATTTACCAGCTGGCTGAGCTTATCAATGGGTGTAGCCTGTTTTGAAGCTCTGTTCCTTCCTATTTATAACTGGGCCCCTGCCTTCCTCTCCCTGGGCCTCCTCAGGGCCTAATCATGGGCTGCATCTGGCTAAGGGCCTTAATCTAAAACCTGGCTTGTAGCCCTGGCCGGTTTTGCTCAGCGGTTAGAGCGTTGGCCTGTGGTCCGGAGGGACCCGGGTTCGGTTTCCGCCAAGGGCACGTACCTTGGTTGCAGTTTGTCCCTGGCCAGGTCATGTGGGTGGGAGCCACTCAATGTGTCTCTTTCACATCGATGTTTCTCTCCCTCTCTCCAAACAACAACAACAAAAAAGGAAAAATGTCCTCAGGTGAGGATTAAAAAAAAGAATAAAACCAGGCTTGTAGCCCAAACCCATCCCTTGAAGTTTCTAGAATCAGACTTTCCTAGGCTAGACCCCTGCACTGGCTACTTGCCAGCTATGGAACTTGGAGGAGGTGACTTTCTGATCTTCCCTCATCTTTAAGGACCAGAGAATACACGTGACCGTGCTTGCTCCATGCTGGGCCCACGGGAAACACTGACAGCTCCAGTACTGGTGCTTAACCATCAACTTTCACAGTCCACTCCATTCTGCCCAAATTTAGGAAAGTTCTTAATAAAACCTCTATCGTGCAGCTTCCTGCACAGGAACTGTGCTCACTCCCATGGGCCAGCATGGCCTGTGGGGCCTGTGGGGCCTGTGGAGAAGGGAGTGCCGTGAACTGCGTTCAGCAGCTCCTTCCCCTCTGCTCCAGTGCGCCAGGAGGGAGCCGGTGCACTTTGTATCACTCCCTGCCCGAAGGCTAGTGTGGTCCTCCCTCCCACTCTCAGGGCCAGCCCTGTGAACTGTGCTCACTCCCGTCAGGCAGCAGGGCCTGTGGAGAAGGGAGTGCTGTGAACTGCGCTCAGCAGCTCCTTCCCCTCTGCTCCAGTGGGTCGGGAGGGAGTCGGGAGGGAGCCGGTGCACTTTGTATCACTCCCTGCCCGAAGGCTAGTGTGGTCCTCCCTCCCCACTCTCAGGGCCAGCCCTGTGAAGTCCGTGACCCTGGACAGGAGCCTAGGCAACATGCACACGGACGGTTTATTCATCACTGGCTAGAGAGCAAAGCAGACAAGCAGAGTAAAAAGATGAGTTAAAAAGTGAGTGGGGGGAGGTGCAAGCTGTAGCCACTGTACTTGGCTTGAGCTCTAGGGTAGAGGGGAAGGGTAGCACCGGGGAGACCGCTCTGTGGCCCAGCCCTGCCTCTCCCCTCTGCTCCAGTACATCCAGAGGACAGCGCCCAGTCCCCGGGGCCTGCCACAGACCCGCCTGCCCTTCCCCCTTTGCTGCTTTTGGCAACTAAAAGGCAGGTGTTATCTTGCCAAGGGTGAACCCCAGGGCTTCCTTAGGCCCTCTGTGCTGACCCCCTACAGGCTGAGGTGTTGAGTGCTGAGGATGCAGCCAGCCCCTCCGTCCTTAGAGGAGTCAGGAGGACTGGGGTGCTCGGGGCGCAGGCAGGATGGGGGCTCCAGAACCAGGTCAGAAGCAGGGCTGGGGGAAGGGGCCGGGAACATTCAGCTTCTGGGGCCCCTCACAGCTGATGACCAGGGGCAGGACAGGAAGGGGTTAGTCTCCCCACCCTGAGCAGCTAGGTCACCAACAGACAAGACAAACGGCAGGGCTACACCCATCCTCTCCTGCCCAGGCCAGAACAAGCAGGGGCCTGGGAGGGGTCCCGCTTAGCTGAGCAGTTCCAAGTAGGTGACAGGGACCTTGCCCTTCTTGTTGCCTCTCTCGCCAATGAGCCAGTCAGGGTCCATGCCAGGCAGGCTGTAGACAGTGATAAGCTGAAGAAAATGGCAGAGAGGGGAGGTCACACCCTGGCTGTCTAGGGCAGAAATGGCCCAGGACTAAGTGGGGACAGAGTGGTCCCCATGATAACACGGGCACCTGTCCCTCCAGAGGTGGGCGTTCACCTGCTCTACAAACTCGGCAGAGCAGCAGCTGCTTCCTCAGAGCTGGAGTCACCCCAGTGACCCCCGGTCTTAGCTCCCCGCAGGGCCCCGCAGAGACGAAGACAGCTTTATAGGGTCTGCAGGCCCCATGCTCCCAGTTCGTTCCCGTCATCCTGGCACCCAGACCCACCTCATCGGCCAGCAGGGCCAGCTCACTGCTGTCAGCTGCCTCGTAGTCGTAGAGGACCCGGGCCTTGCGGGTGCCGCTGGCAGGTGGAGCCACCTCCTCCAGGCAGAGCGCAGCCTCCGCTGGAGGGGCCAGACCAGCCGCAGAGGGCTCCACGGGCATGGTGGCTGCAGTGGTGGTGGGCGAGGTGCTGCTGAGGGGCGGGGAAGCGGGCTCCGTGGTGCCCACAAAGGTGCCTGGAAATCTGGAGAGGAGAGTGGGGGCACTTTCAGTAGCCGGGAGCCACATCGAGTCCCACAGGCCCCCAGAACACTAGCTGGGCCCACCGCACAGGTGAGGAGACCCGCTACTTACATGGCTCCCTGGGAGCTGGCAGCATGAAGGGAAAAGTGAAGCAGGGGAAGTGAGATGCTCCGGGCCCTGTCCCTGCCACCTCCCACCCACCTGAGAATCTGCTCGGGTCCCCAAGATAAGTGCCCTCACTGTCACCTGAGAGGACCTGTCAGAAGCCCTCCAACCCGCCCTGTGTGCGTGGGATTTCCTGAGCTCGGGAGGAGGTTCTTGCCCGAGGGAGACTGGGCTGCTCATTGGGCCTGGGAGCCAGGGGACCCCAGTGGGCACCTGCCCAGCTGTTTCTGTAAGTCCAGCATGTGGCGGTAGCACTGCGCATAGTAAGTTGTCTGAGACTCGACGAACTCGTGGAGGCAGCGAAGGTGGTTCACCTGTGGGAAAGAAGCCCAGGGGTGACAGGACGGGAGGTGTCTTGGGAGGAAACATTCCGCTCCCACCCCGTCTTCTGCCAGACCCTGGTCCAGCATTCCAGTGGCTTCTGCCCTAACCTCTTGCTCCTTGGGGATGAAAAGTTCCCACCCTTTGGGACTTGCTCTCTCAAGACTAAATCCCCCCCTTACGGACCACAAGCCCAAGCACTACTCTGCCCACCTGCGTCCGAGATCCAGGTTCATTCAAACCTCACGTTTAGTGGGGACACGAGGGATGACAAGATGACTGAATGATGGAGGAAGTGGGAGCAGAACTCACGTGAGTGCTACTGATTCCCTCCAGCAGGAGACGGGTCACCTCTGCCTGCCGGTCAAACTCTGTCTGGGCCACTCGGAGCTCCTGCTCAGACTGGGAAGCGTGGGTTGAGAATTGAGAGGAACAGTTGCCCCCAGCCTCCCTCCCATCACTTTCTCCTGTGTCAAGGCCCGCCCAGGAGTGGCCTTCCCTTCCCTCCCCTCCCCAGCAGATGTCACTTCCCTCTGATTGGCAGGGTGCACTTCCCACCCTTGACTTCAGGCCTGGAGCCCTGCCCCAGGAGCTATAGACCTGCCTAGACCCCATGGTCCAGTTCCTGAGCGCAGCCTCAGAAACAGACCCTCAGGAACTCTGCCCAGACCCGCCTGGCTAACATCAACCCATCGGGAAAATCCCACCCACAATCACTTCTGGGGGGCCCCCTGTGAGGTTTCCCCACAAAGGGGAAGTGACAACTCCCACAGCAGTCCCAGAGGGCAGAGGGGCAGATGCAGAGCCAGAGACAGACCTGAGCCCTGCAGCTGCAGCGGTGCCTGGACTCCTGCCCCTCCCCCTAACAGCCTCTTCCCCAAGCCCCGCAGCCCCCACTCACCTTGTCCACCTCATCATTCCAGAGCTGCGGAGACCACAACAGGCCCAGTCAGCAAGGGAGGGAGGGGGCACCAGTCAGCAGGGCACAGCAGGCAGGGGAGGACAGCTGAACCCCAGAGCCCGTGCCCTGCCCCAGCTCAAGACCCCAACCTCTCCCCACCCATAGCCTTCCCAAGTCCTTCCCTCGAGACCACCCAGAGCTGAGGCCGGGCTGAGGCCTGGTGAGCGGAGCACCAGCAATCACAGTCCGTCTAACATGCTGCATGCAGGGAGGTGGGACAGCCAGCTGGAAGTCCTGCTTGGGTTTCTCCTGTCGTGTAAGTCCCCAGGCACTGCCCCATGGTCTCAAGGGAGACTGAGTGTCCCCCACCCCACCATGACACTGGGCTGAGGCTGTGTGACCCTAGGTCAGTCACTGAACTTTCTGTCCTTTGGCAGAGGAAGGCAGCCTCGTGCCTGAGACACACTGGGGTTCAACTGCAGGACATTTCTCCTTCCACTCGGCCCAAGGGCGGCAGGAAGTGTGACACAGAGTCTAGAGAAGAAAGACCCCTCCTCCCGCCACGATTAGAAGACCCTCTTCTCCTGCCCACCGTGGGAATGCTCCCCTGAGACTATGACCTGAGGCACGGACAGTACAGCAAGGCCAGCCCTGTGGGCAGAGATGTCCCACCCACGCTGGTTAGGGAATCGCATCCTGGGAAGCCACCCCCACATGTATACACGCAGGGCACCCAGCAACAGGGCCCGGCGGACTGAACTGTGGTTGACACCCCGAGGGACGATGGCCCAGCTCCTGAATGACTACACGCACACACAGCGACATGCTTGTGACAGGTGAAGACGACCAGAGGGCCTGTGCGGGAGGACAGGAAAGGCAGAGGCACGGCAGTGGTTGTGACAGGCATGATGGGATATGTGTGGCTGGCCTATTTCCCAAACTAAACAGTAAGTGCCAAGTATCTCAATAACTGGAGAAAAGAAAGACATGGAGACATTCAGTCTTCTGATCCCGCCCCACCCACTGTCCACGCTCAGCTTGCTCAGCTTCAGTCCTTCTCAGGACACACCCTGTCCCCAACCCGGCTGCTCCTTCCCCGCCCCCTGCTCCTCCTCAAGGCCTCCTCACTCCCACGACACTTAGCAGCATAAATGCCCTACAAAGGCGGCCGGATGACCAGCACCATCCTTGTCACCTGTCTTTTGGGGTCTGTGTATTAATGTCAGGCCAGGGCCGCACAGGGCCGGGCAGTCATGGATGGTGAGTGGGGGTGGGGGTAGTGCCGGCTTTGGGAGGGTCAGGGTCGTGTTTGGGGGCGGGCAGACTCAGGTCCACTGGAGAGGGGACAGCTAGCATCCTAAGTTGCCCACACTGTTCAGTGCAGCTGGCCAGGGCTCCACCCTCAGCACTCTGAAGTGAGGCCAGCTACAGGGCACAGGGCACAGGGACAGCAGGCGGACAGAGCTTCTGGACTGGCCCCACCAAGTGCGCAGTGCCCCAGCCTTACCCGCCGGCTCCTGTCTGCTGCGGGGCAGACCCCAAGGTGTGGGAGGGGGCGGGGTAGGCCAGGGATAGGGGGGGGCGCTTACCGCAGAGGCGCTGGCCGACAGAATGTAATTACGAGGTCTAGTCTCCTGAAAGTCAGGCACCGTCTAGTGGGAACAGAGTTCACGGGGGAGGGGCGTCACAGTGGGCAGGGGCTGGGCTGGGGCCAGGAGGCCACCCAGAGTCTCCCACAGAGCAATACCAGGAGCCCCTGGCCCCAGGGACAGGAGGCTACAGACAAATACACGGACCCTCTTCCCACACCTGCCACCTGGAGAGGAGGCGGGCTCAGAGACCTGGAGAGTAAAGACAAAGACCAAGTGGTGGACACGTTGGGGAGGCCAGGAAAGCAGATGTGACAGTGACTCAGCCTGTGGCTGCTGTCACAGCCCTTGCCTCTGGGCAAGTCACAGACTGGACCCGGCCCCTGGCCCAGGGGTCAAGGCCCACAGCTCCCTGGATCCCACTTTCACTGAGATGCCCCAGTTAGACCCCATCTTCCAAACAACCCCCCGCAGCTTTCTCCATCCCAGAATCTCTGCACACCACATCTCTCACTCCTGCAGCAAGGACCCGACCCCTCCCCAACAACCAAGATGGACAGATGGATGCAGAGATGGACAGTGACAGGCTTTCAACATGTGCAAAAAGCTGACTCACAGGCTCCAATGCCTGGCGCCCCCCCAAAAGAGGCTACTTGTGGTAGAAGCTCTGATGGGGAGACCAGCTCCTTGCAGAAGGCCCCGAGGACGTGCCCTGGGCTGGCCACGGCACTGTGGGCCCCAGGCCAGGTGGGCAAAACAGAAGCAGCACAGCATGTGGGACAGGTATACTCACATCTCCCTCACACTGAGCCAAGTTACCCAAAGCAGAACGGAAAGGAACAAAAACAAAGAGTTAGTGAGTCCACAGCGCAGGCGGGAGCAGGCCCCCCACCCCGGGCCCCAGCGGGAGGGGACACCAGGTGGATGGGCAGATGGACACACACAACCCACCCCTCTGGAAGGTGTCCTGATGTGTGTGTGTGTGTGTTCAGAGGGGGCAGGGATGAAGGAGCAAACTGCTTGAGTCCTCTGGGGATCTGGACCTGGGCTGCCCAGGCCCTAGCTCTGGAGAGGGTAACCTGGACTAACCTAGAGGCTTGAGGCTTGCGGGCCAACCCATCGGAGAGGAGGTGCCACAACAGTGACTAAGGAAGGGCCCCCTGGCCTGGGTGATGGAGGAAAAGCTTGTTCTGGCTAAGTTATTCCAGAGAGGTTGTCCAGCCCCGAGTGACAGGGAGATTGTCCTGTCCAGGTGACTTAGTAAGGTCATCCCAATAGCCATGGGTCATGCTACCCAACCCGAACAAGACTCCAGTGGCTGAGCCCCTGCCTCCAGTCTGGACCCCACACACCCAGATGAGCTAAGAGCTGCCCATGGCTCCGGCCAGAGGCAGTGCAGGCCCAGGCTCACGGCCCCAGGCGGCCACACTGAGAGGGGAAGGCATGGAGGGTTCGGGCCAGAACTCTCATCAACAGCCGCGGGGAGTCGGCAGGCCGTGGCTGAGAGCCTGGGCAGGCTCTTCAGGGTGTGGGTGGCCTGTAGGCCCCTGCACTCCAGCAGCCTGGCATGCCAAGGGTGTACTCACCCTCAGGCCCAGCTCTCCCAGCCCTGGTCTAGCCCTGATCAGACTGTCCCATGCCGCAGCCCATCCAGGCTGAACAGGCCTCAGTGAGCAGAGTGAAGGGGGAGCCCCATCCAGTCGCTCAGGGCTGCCTGAAAGGGCCCCTCAGACATGCTCCTGAGCAAGCAGGCAGACCAGCTCCAGGGCACTTCACACTCTCGCAGGGGGACCTGAGCAAGGGTGCCTGGGGACCAGCGCTGGAGCCGTGGGGGTGGGGTTAGTAAGGGGGAGCATGCCCTGGCAGAGCTGGGGACAGAGCTGAGCATCCAGGCAGGCGGGCAAGGGCATGCGAGAAACTCCAACTATGTCTGTCTGGGAGGCTGCAGGGTACCGAGCCCATGTAGGGGCATTGCTGGTTGGCCCACCCATAAATGTCGGCCCTGGGACCCAGAGCCCTAGGCTGTCAGGGTTCCCGCGGCAGCAGGGGCATAGAGGTGTGACCTGAAGTGGCCAGCCCAGACCAGCACGCCCAGCCAGGCCTCTCCAGGCAAGGAGAGGGGAGAAAGGTTACGGCAGAACCAGGTCCCTCAGCACCCTCGGCTCCCCCAGAGCCGCTGGGGCAGGAGGCCAGCAGGGACACCTACCGCAGCTTTGGCTTCTGCGGCCTTGGCCTTCTTCAGTCGTGCTTTGCAGGCATCCAAGTCTAGACGCCGGTTTTGGAGGAGCCGCCTCTCCTTCTGTGTGTGGGGGACATGGGACAGTGAGATGCTGGGCCGCCCTGGGAGACCCAGGGCCATGGCAGGCCTGGCCTGTGGTGCCATCTGGTCAAGACAGGGAAACTGAGGCCCAAAGAGGGAAGGTCTAAGTAACTCAGTACACAAGAGCCACGTCGGGGGGCCCCAACAGCACTGGGTTCCCCACATGGATGAAGAGTCCTCAGCGGCTCTGGGGCAAGGGCTGCCATGGTTACGGGCTGGCAGGGTGATTCCCGGCCCCTCACCGAGATCGTCTTCCAGTCCCCTTCCAGGAAGTTGCGCAGGGGTGTGAGGAAGTTGATGGAGGCCGTGTGGATGAAGTCCCGCTCCGCAGCTCCCAGGCGCTTTTCCGCTTCGGCCACCTTGATCAGCGTCTTCCCTGAGAACACAGAGTCGAAGGTGAGAAGGAGGGTCCGGCTGAGGCTGCCCTGACCCCAGGACGTAGCGGGGAGCTCAGAAAGAGATGTGCTGCAGAGGTAAACACGGGATGTTAAGTGCAGAATGGCTGGCCTAGAAAAATGTGGGTGCAATCTACATATCCATCAACTGGGGACTGACAAGTAAATAGTGGGGCGTTCAAAAACTGGAACATCACACTGCCATTGAAGAGATGGGGGACTTTTGGAATGACAGAGAAAGGCGCGTAACACATCCTCTCCCCAGAGAGCAGTAAGAACACTGGGCAGAGTTGTCAAAAACAACCATTTCTAGACTCCAGAAATTGACAAAAGGCAAACAACAAATTGACAACAAATTGAGAAGTGGTTTATTCTAGAACCACTGGACCTTGGTAAGAACAAAGTAAGCCTGTACTTTTTTTTTAATCCTCACCCAAGGATATTTTTCTATTTATCTTCAGATAGAGTGGGAGGGAGAGAGAAACACTGACATGAGAGAGACATATCGATTGGCTGCCTCCCACATGATCGTGACCAGGGCTGGGGATGGACTGCAACCGAGGTATGTGCCCTTGACCGGAATCGAACCCGCGACTCATTGGTCTGCAGGCCAACACTCTAACCGTTGAGCCACACCGGCCAGGGGGAGCCTGTGCCTTTTTAACCTGGGGTGCTTCCACCTCCTCAAGCTCTGTGTTCCAGGGAGGAACGAGCCCCGAGGCTGACGACTCTGCTGCTGGGGCACAGAGAAACCCCGAGACACCGGTAAAAACAACAGCTATGCTGCCCTGGCCCAGTGGCTCAGTTGCTCAGTTAGTTGGAGCACACACCAAAAGGTTGCGGGTTCGACCACCAGTTGGGGTGTGTAGGGAGGCAACTGGTTGACGTTTCTCTCTCATACTGATGTTTCTCTCTCTCTCAAATCAATGGACATCTCCTTGGGTGAGCATTAAAGAGGGGAAAACGAACAAACAAAACATCTCAGTGGCAAATAATCAGGAAGGGCCAACATCAGGCGAACTTAAAGCTGGCATGCTGGTTGAAATAAGCAACAGACCCGTCGGAAGTTTAGCAGGAGACCATTTACCAGGGGGAATGTATTTTGAAAAAAGGGAATTAATCAGATAAACTCCCAGCTACCTCTGGTGGTCTGGAAGGTGTGCCTGTGTGTAGCACGCTCAGGAAAGACTGCAGAGAAGCCCAGCTGTCTGCTCATCCTTGGCTCAGCAGGACACTTTGCACACCCACAAAGAGAACACAGAAAGCTGTAAACTGCTTTGAATGTGTTCCCCAGCCCACTCGCAAACACATCAGCAGAGCCTTAATGGTGCGATATTAAGCGCAACCTCTGGCCAATCACTGCTGACTACTAACGTATGCTGACCTAGAAGCAACCTCTAGGAAGCTAGGTTTAAACATAAAGAAAATTTTTTAAAAAGGCAGAGACATCAGTAGCTGCATAGTGCAGGAGACACAGACTCTAAACAATGAGCTCAGGCAAGTCTCTCAACAAACAGCAACAACAACAACCCTCAGGGTGATCAGAATCCAGAGCTGCTTCACTATCTAAAACGTCCAGATTCAACAAAATATTATGAAACATGTGAGGAAATAGTTAAGTATGGGGAAAAAAATAATCAATAGAAACTGTTTCCAAGAAGGCCCAGACGCTGGACTTAGCAGACAAAGACTTCTAAGCAGCTATCACAAATATGTTAGAAAGAAAACTAACAGAAATTATGTTTAAAGAATGAAAGGCAAAAAAAGAATTAAAGGAAAATATGACAAATGATTCATCAAATAAAGAATACCAATAAAGCCAGGCTGGTGTGGCTCAGTGGTTGAGTATCGACCCATGCACCAAGAGGTCACTGGTTTGATTCCCGGTCAGGGCACATGCCCAGGTTGTGGGCTAAATCCCCAGTGGGGGGCATGCAGGAGGCAACCAATTGATGTGCCTCTCTCACATGGATGTTTCTCTCTCCCTCCTTCCCCTCCACACTATCTAAAAATCAATGAAGCCCTGACCAGTTTGTCTCAGTGGTTGGAGTGTTGGCCTGCGGTCTAGAGAGACCTGGGTTTGGTTCCGACTAAGGGCACGTACCTAAGTTGCAGTTTGTCCCCGGCCCTGATTGGGTCGTGTCGGTGGCAACCACTCGATTTGTCCCTTCCACGTCGATGTTTCTCTCTCTCTCTCCCTCCCACTCTATCTGAACAAAATATCAAAAAATGGCCCTGGCCAGTTTGGCTCAGCGGTTAGAGTGTCGGCCTGCGGTCCGGAGAGACCCGGGTTCGGTTCCCGCTAAGGACACGTACTTCGGTTGCAGTTTGTCCCCGGCCCTGGTTGGTCGTGCGGGTGGCAGCCACTCGATGTGTCCCTTCATGTCGATGTTTCTCTCTCTCTCTCTCCCTTCCCCTCTCTCCCTCCCACTCTATCTGTACAAAAAATGGAAAAATATCCTCGGGTGAGGATTAAAAAAAAAAAATGTCATTGGGTGAGGATAAAAAAAAAAAATCAATGGAAAAGTATCCTCAGGTGAAGATTAACAGTAACAAAAAAATATACACCAATAGATAAAAATTATTTAAAAAAAAGAAAATTCTTGCCCCAGCCAGTTTGGCTCAGCAGTTAGAGCGTCGGTCTGCAGACCAAAGAGTTGCGGGTTTGATTCTGGTCAAGGGCACCTACCTCGATTGCGGTTTGGTCCCCGGCCCTGAATGGGGTCGTGCAGGAGGCAACCAATGGATGTGTCTCTCTCACATTGATGTTTCTCTCCTTCCCTCCCTCCCACTCTATCTGAAGATAAATTAAAAAATATCCTCAAGTGAGGACTTAAAAAAAAAAATTCTGGAGTGAAAAGTACAGTGACTGATACATGCAGCAAATTCACTAGAAGGGCTCAACAGCAGATTTGAGCTGGCAGAAGGAAAAGAAATCAGCAACTCAGAAGATAGATCAATAGAGATGATCTAATCTGAAGAACAGAGAAAAATAACAGAGCCTCAGAGAGCTATGGGATGCCATTAAACAAACAAACATGTGAGTAACAGGAGTCCCACAAAAAGAACAGCAAAGGGGACAGAAAAAATATTTGAAGAAATAGTAGGCAAAAGTGTCCTGAATTTGATGAAAACCATAAATCTACGTATCCAAGAAATTTAACAAACTGAAAACAGGATAAACACAAAGAAAGCCATGGCCAAGACATCAGAGTCAAACTGCTGAAAGACAAAGACAAAAGGTCTCAAAAGTAGCTGGTGTGGCTCAATTGGTTGAGTGTTGTCGTGTGCACTTTAAGGTCACCAGTTCAACTCCTGGTCAGGACACATGCCCAGGTTGTGGATTCGATCCTCGGTTGGGGTATGTGCCGATTAACGTTTATGTTTCTCTCTCTCTCTCTCTCTCTCTCTCTCTCTCTCTCTCTCTCTCCCCCCTCTCCTTCACCCTCTTTCCGTTCTACTCTATCTAAAAATCAATGGAAAATGCCCTGGCTGATTTGGCTCAGCAGCTGGAACGTTGGCCTGCAGACCAGAGAGTCCTGGGTTCAGTTCCCGCTAGGGACACATACCAAAAAATAAATATAAAATAGTAAAAAATAAATAAAAATCAATGGAAAAATATCCTTGGGTAAGGATTAAAAAAAAAAAAAAAAAAAAAAGGACACATGTAAATTTAACTACATCAATAATCACATTACATGTAAAAGGATTAAATGCTCCAATCAAAACGCAGACACTGTCAGACTGGATTCATTTATTTGTTTTTCCCTTTTTATTGAATTTATTAGGGTGACACTGGTTAATAAAATTATACAGGTTTCAGGTGCACAATTCTACAACACATCATCTGTATACTGTATTATGTGTTCACCACCGCAAGTCCAGACTGGATTTTTAATAAAGATCCAAATATATGCTATATATAAGAGACACACTTTGATCTTAAAGACATAAATGGGCTGAAAATGGTATACTATGCAGAAAATAACCATAAGAGAACAAAAGTGGCTATACTACTATCAGATAAAATGGACTTTGAGAGAAAACACTATTTCCAAGAGACAAAGAGCAATTTGTTATAAAAATGAGTCAATTCACTAGGGAAATATACAATATAAACATACACCTAACAACAGAGCTCCTTAATACATGAAGCAAACACTGACAGATTTAAGCCAGAAGCAGACAGCTGAACAGAAACAGCTGGAGACCCCAATACTCTCAATAAGGGGTAGGACAAGACAAAATCAACATGGATTCACGAGACCTGAACAACACTGTCAACCAACTGGTCCTCACTGACATCTCTACAACACCCTACGCAACAACATAATATACAATCTTCTTAACATGGAACAGTCTCCAGGGGAGACCATATTCTAGGCCATAAACAAGTCTTAGTAAGTTTAAAAGGATTAGTCATACAAAGTACATTCTCTGACCAAAGTTGAATTAAATTAGAAATCAACAACAGAAGGAAATTTAGAAAATCCACACCACCCTGCTGGAAATCAAACACCACCCTGCTGGTGGGAATGTAAACTCATACAGCCACTCTGGAGAAGAGTTTGGTAGTTTCTTAAAAAGTCAAACATAATTTGCCATAAGACCCAGCAATTTGACTTCCTGGTATATATACAAAAGTGAAATCTTATGTCCTCAGAAAGGTTTGTACGCAAGTGTTTACAGGGAAACAACCCAAATGTCTATCAAATGATGAATGGATAAAGCAAAAGTGGTATATCCATATAATAAAATACTATTCGGCAATAAAAGAGAATGAAATCCGCCCTGGCCGGTTTGGCTCAGTGGTTAGAGCGTTGGCCTGTGGTCTGGAGAGACCCAGGTTCGGTTTCTGCTAAGGGCACGTACCTCGGTTGCAGTTTGTCCCCGGCCCTGGTTGGGTCGTGTGGGTGGCAACCACTTGATGTGTCCCTTTCACGTCGATGTTTCTCTCTCCTTCCCACTCTATCTGAACAAAATATCAAAAAATGTCTTCGGGTGAGGATAAAAAAAAAAGAGAGAGAATGAAATCCTAAAACACACTATAACAGGGATGAACCTCAAAGACATTTTGCTAAGTGAAGAAGCCAGATACAAAAAACAATATAATGCATGATTCCATTTACCTGAAATATTCAGATCAGGCAAATTTATAGAGCCACAAAGCACATTAGTGGTTGGCTGGGGGTGGGAGTGGAGAGTGACTGTAAGTAGACTCTAGGGATTTTTTTGCAGATGATGGAAATGTTCTTTAAATTGAATTGGGGAGGGAATGTTTGTATAACTCTAACTCTACTAAAAATCACTGAATCACACACTTAAAACAGGTGTATTTTATGGTATATAAATTATACCTCAATAAAACTTTTAAAAAATTATAAAAATAAAGACTGGCTCTGGCTGGTGGGGCTCAGTTGGTTGAACATCATCCCATTCACCAAGAGTTCGCCGGTTCAATTCCAATCAGGGCACCTGCCTGGGTTTCAGGCTTGATCCCCAGTAGGGGGCCCGCAGGAGGCAGCCGACTGATGGTTCTCTCTCATCAATTTTTCTCTCTCCTTCTCCCTTCCGCTCTCTCTCTAAATTCAATAAAAACATATTTAAAATAAAAACAGACTGAGGTGGCTCTTTAAGTGCTACAGGCCCTGGCTGGTTTGAGCATCATGTCAGCCCATGGACCGGAGAGTCCCGGGTTCGGTTCCTGCTAAGGGTATGAACCTTGGTTGCAGTTTGTCCCTGGCCCCAGTTGGGGTCAAGTGGGTGGCAACCACTCAATGTGTCTCTCTCACGTTGATGTTTCTCTCTCTCTCTTCCTCCCTCTCTCCCTCCCGCTCTATCTGAAGATAAATACAAAAATGTCCTCAGGTGAGGATTAAAAAAAAAAATCAGCTGCAGAACAGACACACATGATCCCTTACAAACTGCACACAAACCAAACTGGTTAAGAGAGACCTCATTTTTACTCAATTTCCAACTCTGGTGTTTGAGGTTTTTACAATTAGAATGAATTCAGGTATTATTTATGTAGTTAAAAGACAAAGGAAGGGAGGGGGAGGGAGGAAAATTAGAGAGGGAGAGACCAAGAGCCCACCGGGCTGTGGGGCCTGGCTCACCGTAGGGAGTGGTGGGCCCCAGCTCACTGGCTGCCTCTGCCATGTACTGAGCCAGCAGCTCCCCGTTGGTGACCCTCGAGGGCACCTTCCTGTCCAGCTTCTCGTACAGGAACTCCTCCACTCGGGCACCTGCGGGGAGACAGAGGCCAGGTCATAGGGCTCTTTAGTCCAGCCCAAGGATGAAAGCCGCATTGTCAGAAACAGACCTAGAGCAGGGCCTACCTACAGCAGCCTGGTAACTTCTAGAATGTTCTCTTGCTGATGCCCACTCTCATGAGACTGGCCCTCGACCCTGTGTTCACTCTAGAGAGGGGGAAGCCACAGCTCAGAGATATTAAATGCCTGCCCCAGGTCCCATGGCTGGGGTGACGGCGCAAGTCAAGGCCCGCCACATCTCCCTCATCACAACACGCATGGACAGAACATAGTACACATAGAACAACCAGGGCCTACACCCAGCGTCTCCACCTGACACCCCTGCTCCGCTGGCTCTGTGCTGCGATGAGACCCTGGGCAAGCCCTCTCTGTCACCCGGCTGGTGTTTCTCCTGCCTCCTCTCCCGTGGTTTCAGTTTCCAGGCACTTCAAGTCCTTCATGAAAAACTTAGCATTTCCATTGCCCTGTGAGCGCATCTTAGAACCTAGCACCTAGTCTGCTGTTTTCTGTAACCGGGACCCCCCATAGCCCCAAAAGTCTAAATCAGATCTCACCCCCTGCGAGTCCCACCTGTGAGCCTCAGCCACCAGCTCCCTGCCCTCGCCCCAGGACCAGCCCCAGTCCACTCACTGGGGTTGGGCTGTAGGAGCACCTCCGTCTGCCTCAGGATTTTCTCCGTCCAGTTCTTGGTGCTGTCTGCTCGGGCCAGAAGGTTCTCAAAGTGGGCATCGAGCTCGGTCTTCTCAGCCTGGCCGAATTTCTCCTCTGTGAACTGTGGGGGTAGGAGGGCCCAGGGACAGGAGGACTCAGAGGGAGGAAGGGAGGACTGGCCCTGCCACCCTTGCCAACTCCTTTCCACCAACTGGAACCCAGGCCCCGCGGGCAAGAAGTTTGCTCTGCCCCAACCTGTTCTCCAACCCTGATCAAGTTAGGACCCTGCTCTGGGCCTCAGTTTACCGCTCTGTGAAATGAGGTGGTTGGACTAGAGTTTGGCGATCTGGCTTCTTTTCGAAATCCAGTGAAAGCTATAGACCCCTTTCCCCCCCAAAAGCACATTTGTACAAAATCTGGCATACAACTTAGAGAGGTAAGAAACCCTTGGGGACCCGGTGCAAAGGGCCCTCTGAGCCTGACTCTGCAGGAAAGAATTTGGTAGAAAGTGCTCACAGAATAAACAGGGCACAAAGCAAGTTCTGGGGCTATCAGGAGGCTCAGTTGGGGGCTGGGGGCACCTGGGGAGGGGACAGGTGGTTTCAGAATCAGAGGAACCTGATTCAAGTCTCAGTTCTGCTACTGATGAGCCGTGTGACCTTGGGCAAGTGGCTTTGCCTCTCTAAACATCAGTCTCGTGAGGTGGAAAATGAGGATAATAAGTAACAGTACCTCCTTCATACGTTGTGAGCACGAAAGAAGGGAGATGTGGTAAAGACACACAGGCCAGAGTCTGGCAGGGAGTCAGTGTTCAATGTAAGGTGCTACTGCTCCTGTTAAGAGCCAATGGGAGGAAAGATGACTGGGAAAGAAGGGCCGCAGGGAAGGAGGACCACATGGCTGGCCTCCGGTCACCTGGTGTGGTGGACAGGGAATACCGCCAGCCCATCAGAGCCAATTCTGAGCACAGCACACCCAGGGCCCAGAAAGCTTGGCAGCCCCACCCCTGGCCAGGAAGGGACCAGGATGTCACACCATTCCCTCATCAGCACTGTCAGAAGCTGTGGGCCACCTAGGAACAACCAGAAACCAGTTCAAGTCCTGGCCCCTCTGCTCTAAAATGGCCCTTGGAGCCCGGCAAGTGTGGCTCAGTGGCTGAGCGTCAATTCATGCTTCCAGAAGTCACCGGTTCGATTCCCGGTCAGGACACATGCCCAGGCTGTGGGCCAAACCCCAGTGGGGGGCATGCAGGAGGCGGCCAATCCATGTTCTCTCTCATCAATGTTTCAATCTCTCTCCTCTCCCTTCCTCTCTAAAAATCAATCAAGAAAAATAAAATATGATGTGAAGGCCTTCTCTAGCCAGGGGAAAGAGCCTGCTCAGGGCCACAGCGAACAGCAAAAGGATGAACATCAAGGAATATGATTGGTAATAACAGATACTGTTGACTGTCTCTGAGGCCAAACCCTGTTCTAAAGGCTTTATACTGATGACCCATCGATAACTCTAAAGGCCCTTCACTGCAGGTTGGGACAAGTTTCCCATTTCACAGATTATGCCAGTGAGGCTGAGCAAGGATCAGACTGTGCTGGAATCAGGATCATCACGGCCCGGGGGTCTGGAGGCCCTTCCCAGACTATTTGGTGCGATAAATATCCAGAAACCAAACAGCTCCAGCTGCAGGGAGCTGGAGGCAGCCCTGATAGTCATGCTGCTAGTCAGGCTGCCCGGCAGCCATCAATTATGCAACAGGGCTTGAGTTTCTTTCTCCCTGCAGGGCTGAGCGGGCCACCTGGGACCAGCTGCTCCTGGCCTCCTCTGACCTCCCCCAACTCTGCATCCTCCCCACCTTCACCAAACTAAGGCCTCCCAGAGCCAGGCCCTCAACAGGCCTACCTCACCCAGTCCTTCGAGGCCGTGGCATTAGCTCTATTTTCTGGATGAGGAAACCGAGGCTCAAAGAGGCAGTCACCTCTCTGAGCCTCAGCTTCCCTCCTGGAGCATGAGGATAACAGGACCTATCTCAGAATATTGGAAGGTGCTTAGCTCTGTGGCCAGCACACAGTACAGGTCTGATGAATGTTAGCTGACGTCATCATCATCATTAATAAAAGGCCTCTTCCCTTGAGTCCCTCCTTGGCTCAGGAGCTACCTAGGGACCTCCTTACCCCGATGGTACCAGCCATCTGGCTCTAGGTGACATGCACCTGCCTTACCAACGTTAATAGCAACCCTCCCCACCAAGCTTTGTGGCCACGTATCCCTCACACCCCATGTCCACCCAAGTTCAAAGTCCAACCAGGCTCTTCCAACTTCCTGGGCATCCATTCCACGTCTGCTGCTGCCTGGATTGCATGATGATGATGCCACCACCTCCTGGCTTTTATTATGATCTCCTACCACTGTTACTACTATTACTAGAATTACTACTAATAGTATATTATCACTTCTCCAGCCCACTCCCACCCCCACTAGCGTCTTACCCAGATATGCCTTAGGTTTTCCTGCCTCAGTGCCCTTAGCTGGGCTGTTCCCACCGCCGAGACCAACTGAACCCCTCCTGACTTTCAAGGCACAGTTCGGGGACTAGGGAGCCATCCCAAGATCACTCCTGCCAAAGGGGTCCTGCCCTCCAGATTCTTCTCCCCAAACCCAGGTCCAGTTCCCTACCAGAGGGGGGGGGGCTCTTAAAGGCGCCCCTGGTACACGGAAGGGCTGAGTGCTTTCCCAGAATACCCCAGGACCTACACAGAGGAGCCACCAGTGCGTTAAGGTACTAAAACACCCCTCCCTCCCACCTCTCCGGGCTGACTCCTATCCCAGGGCAGACCAGCCTCGGGCAGGTTCCCAGCATCCTCTTCTGCTCAGTTCACAATTCAGGCCCCTCCCTCTGGCCTGCCACCCTGTCCCATCCCTGCCAAGGGAAGGGCCTGGTGCTTCAGAAGCTGATGCCTGCAGTCCAAGGCTGCTCCCTGCAAGATGGCAGCAGCAGGGGGTGGGCGTGCAGAGCCAGAGAAAGCCTCTATTTATAAGCTCCCAGCTTCCTCCTCCACCCTGGAGGCTGGGGCCTGGGTGCTGACTCCCACTCTGGTATTGATCACCCAGTGGGCATGCCCCCACCATGTAAAGCAAGGCCACAGGGCCCAACCCTCCCCAAGCCCAGGTTTGGCAGGTCCTGGCCAGGTCAGGTGCTGGGGCCCCACGGTAGCAGGAAACCAGATCAAATTCTTCCCAGATGTCCGAGATAGCATGATTGCTATACCAACACTGGGGAGGATTCCCCACCTTCCAGATGGATTGGGGCTGTCCCAGGGGCTCTGGGGTCCTGGTATCCCACTAGGGATGGAGTCACCTGCGGGACTTGGAACACCCAGTAGCAGATCCTTAATGGGTCACTGTACTTTCTGGTAAACATGGCCACATGGGTTTCCCAGAGACTGTCTGGGGCTGAGCTCCTCCAGAGAACAAACGAAATGGCAAGGACAAACACCAGACCTGCTCCCAGGGCACTGAAAGGGCAGAAAGCTCTGGGGTAAACCGGTGTCACACCAGATTGACCAAAGGGGACGTGGAGGCTGCAGAAGTGACTTGTGCCCTAGCCAGTGTTGTTCAGTGGCTAGAACGTCAGCCCAGGCACTGGAGGGTTGCCAGTTCAATTCCCAGTCAGGGCACATGCCCAGGTTGTGGGTTCAGTTCCCAGTTAGGGCATGTGGTGGAGGCTTAATGTGTGTCTCTCACATTGATGTTTCTCTCTCTTCACCTCCTCCCTCCTTCCCACTCTCTCTAAAAAAGTCATTGGAAAAAAATATTCTTGGGTGAAGAAGACTAATAACAATAAAAAAAAAGTGACTTGCCCTGGCCAGTTTGGCTCAGCAGTTAGAGCATCAGCCCACAGACCGAAGAGTCGCGGGTTCCATTTCAGTCAAGGGCAGGTACCTGGGTTGCATTTCGGTCCTGAGCCCTGGTCAGGGTCGTGCAGGAGGCAACCAGTCAAGGTGTCTCTCTCACATTGATGTCTCCCTCTCTCTGCCTCCCACTCTATCTGGAGATAAATGGAAAAATATCCTCGGTGAGGATTAAGAAAAAAAAAAGTGACTTGCCCATGGTCACATGCTGCACAAGCACAATATCAACTACATTAACACCAACAGTGAGCACACACATGCAAAGTGCCAGGGAACCCTCACATCCATTCTGGGAGGGAGGGGTTGCTGATCCCATTTTTCACTCTGAGAAACTGACACCTCAGAGGGGTAAGCCCCTTCCCCAGGAGAGAGGATCCCTGCCCATAGCTGACTCTAGGAGTGTGCCATTACATTCGGCTACCTCAGTTTCTCTCTCTGCCACCCAGTGGATAGAACTTGTTTCGACCCCAGCATTACTGGCTAGGACAGGTTCCCAAGGTACCCAGCCAGACCCCAACCCTCTCCCCATCCCCCAGGCTTGGAGAAATAAGAGGAAACCGGCCTTCCAGGGAGCAGAAAGGAAATTACCCCAGCCTTCTGGCTTCCGGACTGACTATCCAAGCGTGTAAAAGGGGCCCGTGGGAAATCATAGCACTAGCCCATTGCACAGGGGTGGAGACTGAGGCTCAGAAAAGTGATCGCAGGGGATGCATGAGTCCTTGGGCCTGGGACTCAGGCGTCCAAAGGCCTGCCGGGACAGAGGCCGGGACAGAGTCCGGGCTGCACAAGGGCAGGGAGGCAGGCACCGCCTGGTGCCTTCTCCCCTCTTCAGCAGAGCCCCCACTGGCCCTGGGCAGGCGCCAGGACAGCGGGTAACGCGGCCGGTCGGAATGATGGACACAGAAAACTCCCCGGGAGCTGACAGGGCCGAGGCCCGGCTCAGTCCCTGGCCCACGCCGAGGGTGCGGCCAGGGTGGCCAGCCGCCTGGAGCTTTCCCTCTCCTGGGCAGCGCCAAAGTCGGGACGTGGGGGCTAAGGTGTCTGCGCAGCGGGGAAAGGGGCAGCGGCCACAAAGAGCTTCTCCTGCGCGCCCGGGCTCCGCTGCAGGGGTGCTCCCGGCCCGCCCCACATCCGGGCCCCGGGAACCGGCCGCGCGGGGACCAGGGCGGACGCCTCACCTGCACCGCCCGGGTGAAGAAGATGCCCGCGTCCGACGCCAGCTTCTTCATGTTGAAGTCCATGGCGCACCTCACGGCAGGCCGCGCCCGGCCCCAGCGCAGCCTGGCGCCCCCCGCCCCCCGCCGCCGGCCCGCACCCCGCCCACCTGCTGCCGGTACGCCCGCCCTCCCCCAGCCCTCCCGCCCGCAGCCGCCGCCTAGCCAGCCCGAGCGCGCAGGGCGGGGCGCGGGGCGCGGGGGCGCGGGGGGCGGGGCGCGGGGGGCGGGGCGGGGCGGAGCCTCCCGGACCGGGCGGGGCGGGGCGGGGCGGCCGCACTCGCGCTGCCGGCTGCTGCCCCCTGCGGCCTTCCCACGCCGCCTAGCGGGCCTCTCTCGCCTTCTCGTCTCTTGGCTTCTCTCCCATTTGTGCGTCTTCATCTCACTTTGTCCATTCGCAGCCTCCTCTTCTGCTAGGTCCTCTATCCCCTACTTCTCGGCGGCTTTTGCCTTGGGTCTCTCTGCACCACTCACTACCACCATCACCACCTTGACCTCTGCAGCACCCTTCCTTTTCTTCTGCCCTTGACTTTGGTGACACTAAGGACAGCTGAGCCAGGGGACTTGCCCACTGGGCTCTTCGTTCTGAAAAACGGCTGTTCGTTCCCCCTCCGGAAGCCTTCTAGGTCCCCAAAGTTGCGGCGGGGGAGGTGCTGCGGAGGGGTTACAGGAAGAAAGGGAAGAGAGGACGGGAGCTTCTATGCTGCCCAGGTGGAGGAAGGAGTAGAGAATGGACATGAGCTGACCTTGAACTAAGCTACTCACAGCCCAGACAGGCAAAGGGGATGGCCTGCTGGTACATCACCTGTCCAGTGAGGCTTGGAATGGGGTTTATTACCTATCTCCACCTCTCCTTGCTTTCAACTTCTAGGCTTCATTTTTTTTTTTTTTTACTTTTTTTTTCCTTTATTGATTTTAGAGAGAGAGGAAGTGGGACGGAGAGAGAGCTAGAAGCATCGATGAGAAAGAACATCATCATCCTGCATGCCTCCTGCCTCCTCCATGTCTCCCACTGGGGATCGGGCCCACAATCTGGGCATTTGTCCTGACCAGGAATCGAACCAGCGACCTCTTGGTGCATGGATTGACGCTCAACCACTGAGTCACACCTGGCTGGGCTTTTTTTTTTTTTTTAAATCCTCACCCCAGGGCCCTGGCTAGTTTGGCTCAGCGGTTAGAGCATCAGCCGGCGGTCCAGAGAGACCTAGGTTCAGTTCTTGCTAAGGGCATGTGCCTCCGTTGCAGTTTGTCCTCGGCCCTGGTTGGGTTGTGTGGGTGGCAGCCACTTGTGTCCCTTTCACGTCAATGTTTCTCTCTCTCTGTTCCTCTCTCTCCCTCCCGCCCTGTCTGAACAAAAAATGGAGAAGTGTCCTCGGTTGAGGATAAAAAAAGAAAATCCTCACCTGAGGATATTTTTCCATTTATCTTCAGATAAAGTGGGAGGGAGGGAGAGAAAGAGGGAGAAACATGAATGTGAGGGAGACACATCGATTGGTTGCTTCCTGCATGACCCCAACCAAGGCCCGGGACCAAACTGCAATTGAGGTATGTATCCTTGACCGGAATCGAACTCACAACTCTGGTCCACTGGCTGACGCTCCAACCGCTGAGCCAAACCAGCCAGGGCACATATCATCTTTCTTTCTTTCTTTCTTTTTTTTTTTTTGGTGGTACATGCCCCTAGCGGGAACCGAACCTGGGACTTGCTGGTCCGCAGGCTGTCGCTCAACCGCTGAGCCAAACTGGCCAGGGCCACATATCATATTTCAACAAGCAGAGATCAATATAGTTACATGACCATTCAATCAATAACTCACACTGAGCACTGTTAAAGAAAAAGGTATTCATGATACTTGTTAAAGATAGTAAAAATTTTATTCAAGAAAGACTAATGCAGTGGGTGTTTGCAGTAGGGGAGACAGGTGAGGTTCAACTCCAAATAACAATAAGGTAAAGTGGAGATTTATAGCCAAGAAGCAGGGTGGGGGCAGTGGATGGAAAATGACTAAGAGAAAACATCAAGGTTATTGGGATTCTTGCTTAAGGCAGGCCAAAGTGATAAGATGTGGAGGGTAGAGAACAAGGAATTCGATCAATATAGAGAATGATCAGATACCAAGGGTGGGGCATAGTTGCTATACTGACTCAGCAGGATTCTTGCTAAAACTGGACTCTGCAAGGATGGAGATGGAAGCCCAAGGTTGAGCCTAGTTGAGCAGTGGGCTCAGAGGAGCTGACTCAGGTTTGGTTAAGGAAAAGGCCTTTGTTAGCACCTATTATGTGCCAGGCACTGTTCTAGGCACCAGAGATGCAGCAGTGAACAAAACAATGCCCCTCTCCTCTTGGGAAAATCAATATGTAACATGTCAGGTAATAAGTCCTGGGAAGAAAAACACAATAGAGTAAAGGGAAGAGAATGAGACACAATAGGTGCTGGTAATTGCTGATCTTATGCTGTCCTCACCTAAATGTTCCACTTATTTATCTAGCTTTCCATCTGACAATTGCAGTTCTCATAGCAATGGCCAAAATGTCTTGAGCCCATGCCAGGCCCAGCACTAAGAACTTTTAAGTGAATAATCACCGAAGGTCGTCATTACAGCTCAGAAACCATCCTCCTCCTCATTTTAGGGGTGAAGAGCTGAGGTTTAGAGTTGTTAAGTGACTTGCCCAAGGTCACAGAGAAGGGGTTTTAGCCCAGAGCACAGCTAGTCCCGTGGTGGAGCCCACTCTCCTTTGCTCTGTCTCCCTCTTCCTAGGCTCCTCTGCTGCCACTCTCTCTGCCACTCTGAATCAAAGATGCCAGGTTCTCTACCCTGGCTGGTGTGGATCAGTTGGTTGAGCGTTGTTCTGTTTGCTGAAAGGTTGCTGGTTTGATTCCTGATCAGGGCACATGCCCAGGCTGTGGGTTTGGTACCCAGTGAGAGTGCATATGGGAGGCAACCAATCGATGTTTCTCTCTCACATCGATTGTTTTCTCTCTCTCTCTCTCTCTCTCTCTCTCTCTCTCTCTCTCTCTCCCTCTCCAACCCCCTCTTTAAAATCAATACCAAAAAAAAGATGCCAGGTTCTCTCTTGCTCCTGGATCACAGCACATGCTGTTTCTGGAACTCCTTCCCCTCCTCTGTCCAGCTCATTCCTGCTTATTCTTCAATTCTTCCTTCGGATATCCCTTTCTTTTGGAAGTCTCTCAGAGCCCAGGTAACCCTTGGTATTGTTCACATTCCTGAGTTTCCCCCATTGAGTAATATCACAAAAGATTGTATTTCAGTTTCTTAATTACATGTATCTTGTCTACCATGGTGCTCCCATGTTTAGCCAAAGGGTTGGCAACCAGAAATAGTTGTTGAATGAATGAAAGAATGTGACCTTACTGAAAATAATATTTTATTTTAGTATGTTTTTACTGATTTTTTAGAAAAAGAGGGAGAGATAGAAACATCCATGTGAGAGAGAAACAGCCCTGGCCAGTTTGGCTCAGCGGTTGGAGTGTCGACCTGCGGTACAGAGAGACCTGGGTTCAGTTCCCGCTAACGGCGCATGCCTTGGTTGCAGTTTGTTCCTGGCTCTGGTTGGTCGTGCGGGTGGCAGCCACTCGATGTGTCCCTTTCACGTCGATGTTTCTCTCTCTCTCTCTTCCTCTCTCTCCCTCCCGCTCTATCTGAACAAAAATTGGAAAAATGTCCTCAGGTGAGGATAAAATAAAAAAAAAGAGAGAAACAACAATCAGCTGCCTCCTGCATGCCCCCTACTGGGGATGGAGCCCACCAGCTGGGCATGTGCCCTGATTAGGAATCCACGGGGGACCCTTTAGTCCATGAGACCACACTCAATCCACTGAGCCACACTGGCCAGGCTGACAACCAGGCTGACAATTATATTTTAAAAACTTAGCCTGGCTGGTGTGGCTCTGTGGTTGAGCATTGACCCATGCACCAAGAGGTTACAGATTTGATTCCCAGCCAGGGCACATGCCTGAGTTGTGGGCTTGATCCCTGGTGGGGGATGAGCAGGAGAGAGCTGATCGATGTATCTCCCTCATCAATGTTTCTATCTCTCGCTCCCTCTCCCTTCTTCTCTCTCTAAAAATCAATAAAAATATATTAAAAAAAACAAAAACAAAAACTTAGATGTGCCCGGCTCTTCACACTGTTTTCTTCAAAACCCCATCAAAGCCCCGTGACTCTGGCAAACCCAGTGTTTAGTACAAGGCACAATTAGACGGTCAGAATTTAATCACTTGACTCCAACTCTCAGGGAGACACAGTCTGGTAGGGGAGACGCAGCACTTCTGTAAACAACTCCAGAAGAAGGCAAGTGGCAAGTGTTTAAGAGGATACTGTTGGAAGTCAGAAGCGGTGGCGTTTGAAAGTGGGCAATTGAAGGGCGGGAAGGACTGTCTGTGGGGACCCAAAAGGGTAGGGGAGCCAAAAGCGTGGCCGCAGCTTCCTTTAACAAAGCCCCTTGGAAACATGATTGCTTTTCCTCAGTCCCTTTAAGAGCTGCTCCACCTCACTCAACTAGCCTCCCGTGTCAATCTAATCCCTCTGGCCAATCATAGGAGAGAGAAGATCACTTTCGTGCCTCAACCGCACTTAGGGGGCGGGGCAGAGGGAGACTTGAGGCTACATTGGTCACGTGAGACGCCCCATTGCCCAGAGGTCGGAGCGGCGCGGAAAGGTTCGGAGACACTCATTGGCCAAGGAGGGGCGTTGTCACTGCGTAAGGCCACGCCCTCCAGCGATGAGAGGTTGGTTGTGCGGACGCCGGGGAAGGAGACGCTGCCCTTCCGCAGCTATGGGATCCCGGGTGAGTGGCGGCCGGAGCTGAGCCCGCCCGGCGGTCGCGCGGCGCGGCCGGGCCCGGGACTGAGGCCTGCAGCGAGCGGGAGCCGGGCCCGCTCGGGGCACTGGGTAGGGGCGCAGACCTCCGGGGTCAGCAGGACTAGAAGGGGCCGGGTTGGAATGAGCAGGTACCTGGCCGTGGGCGGCACGAGAGGTGGAACGAAAGGGACTCCGTCAGTGAGGAGATGCTCGGGCCTGGAACGTTGTGGCATCGCAGCAGGGCTGGGAAGGAGCAGGTGCGCCGGCCGTGGCCGCGCCAGTGGGCACCTGGAAAACCCTCAAAGATATTCCGAGGGTCGGGGCAAGAAGGGAGGGGGCCTGGCTGGGACCGCTCTCGGAGATGCCTGGGATGGAAGGAGCAGATTCTGAAGACGGGGATGTTGCTGACGTCCAGTGTGGTGGTGCCCAGGTCCCGGCCCGGCCCGACTGGTGAGATGTCCAGGATGGAATGAACTGAGACCGGGCAGAGAGGGGTTCAAGGGAGTGCCTGGGTCAGGGTCGTTGCTGAGGTCAAGGCGGAAAGGGGGACAGTTAAGGTCAGAGTCATTATTGGGATCGTCCAGGGCAAGGGAGGAGGTGCCCAGGTGGAAAGTGGGCATCCAGGCTGAGGAGGATGTAAGTGCCATGGTGAGTGTGGAATGAGGAGGTTCCCATCCCACGTTACGGGGCAGGAGAGGTGACTGCCTAGGTGGGGATGGCATTAGAAGTGTCTGTAGGATGGGGACATTGCCATGGGTTTATCATCATGGAGGCTTCTCCCCGGTGGTACTGGGGGTCTCATAGAGCACAGTTGGACTGGATCTGAATCCATCTCGGAAGTGAAGCAGCCTTGGGGATGGGAGTTATCACCTTTCATTTGCCTCTGTTTCACTCAGTTGGGGCAGCAGAGGCTGCTCTTGACTTTCCTGCGGACACATGCCAGGCCTCTGAGCCCTGTCTCACTCCTGGAACCTGTGGTCAGGCTCATCTTTATTACTGCATATGGGCTTCTTAGTTGGGGACCCAGAAGTCCTTCAGGTGTGTCATGGAGGGAGAGGTGGCAGTAGCAGCAGACAGCTCAGGGGAGACACCGTAGGTTGGCCATTTACTCAGTGACCTAGTCAGGTCACTTACCTCTCAGAGCCTCATTATATGCAGTGCTTGTGAGAGTTCTACAAGTGACTAGACTCAAATCCCTCCGTGGAGAGCCTGTCCCAAGCCTGGCCTGTAGTAAGTGCTTGGGAAATAGCTGCTGAAGTGGGTGAGAGAGGTGGCTTATGATTTTGGCCCTGGCCCTGACCCCTGGCAATCACATAGCTCAGTTTGCAGCCTCCCAATAGGATGTCTCCTACCCTTGGTGTGACAGTTTCCTGAGCCCTAGAACATTTCCCTGCCAGCTCCCTCACACACAGCCCAGCCCTAGAGCTAGACTGCTAGCATTGTCCTTCCTTCCCACTCACTGGGGATAAGCTGTTTCTCGTGCTGGTCCAGTGACTTTGGCCACCATCCCAAGTAGACAGGGTCTGTCCTGGCTCGCATGTTCCTTCTGCTTGAGCTCCCAGGAGACCTTGAAGGCATCTTCGGCCTTGGTGGTGGTGGTTGAGGAGCACCCTGCAGGATTTGGGAACAGGGCGATCTGTGGTTAAGCCACTTATTCGCTGCCTTGGAATACGAAGTGGGGTACCCTGGGAGGGTCTCAGAAGACCCCAGGGGAAAGTTGCCCTTATAGTCTGTGGTTCTTCTGGGGCTTGCCACTTACTGCTCCGTGTCAAATTTAGCAAAGGGGTTGCACTGAACATAGGGTCTAAAGTCCAAGAGACCTTGGTCCAAGTTCTGACTCTGCCTCACACCAGCTGTGTGACTTGGGACTCCTGACAGTCTCTGTGAGCCGCAGTTTCCACATTGCAAATTGGCAGGGGTGGGGGTGTGGGCAGAGAACATCGATTTACAGAATTATAATTGTTCTGTGAGATAACATATGTGAAGAACTCAGCACAAAATATACATACATGTGTAGTGGCTATTATCATTTGAGGAAATACCCTGCTGTTTTCATAACACAGTACATAGGAAGGAAAACATACCCTACTTTGTGGGAGGTGAAAGAATTGTAATGATTCTGTCAGGGGCCTGATGCTATAGAGACCTGATGTTTTTGTTTAGCAGAAAAGGCCATAACCTTTGAGAGTGACCTGTCCATCTCCCAGTCCCTGGGTCGCTCTTGGGCCAGCGTGCCAGAGACACTGCCTTCTGCTCCCAGGGTTCATGGTGGACAGAGGGTCTGTGGGGCACTTGGCTGCCTTCCTGCTGGTGGGTGGAGAAGGCTGAGGCCTGGTTCCAGGCCTGGCATTCCAGATGGAGGCTTTGCTCCTGCCTCGTTTCCCAGGGGGCTCGTGTGCATTTCTCTGTGCTCATGTGCACATGTCCTTGTGTCTGACTTGGTCATCTGTCTCTCAGCTCTGTGGAGGGACCCTCTGGTATGCGCATTCCTATCTTTCCGGGCTGTGGATGGTGCCTGGGACACGGCCAGTAACCAGTTGAAGACATTCTCCTTGGAAACACTCGGCTGCAAGGGCTCTTGCCTGGGGTGTTGGTCTTGCCATGGCGTTTCGGAGAACTGAGGGCATGTCCATGATCCAGGCCCTGGCCATGACGGTGGCCGAGATCCCCGTGTTCCTGTACACGACGTTTGGGCAGGTAAAGATTGGGTGGGTCATGGTCCTGCCCTTTAACCACTCTGGTCCCTGAAACACTGAGCATCAGGAAATCTGGGCCCTCATTATTGCTTTTCAGGCATCTGATGTCTCCTCTTTGAGCAGAGTAAGGACTGGGTTAGGAGTCTAGGGACCCTAGCCTGGTCTTTATCTGCCAATCTCAAATGTCTGTGCTGACCAGGCCTCTTGACACTTTCTAAAGCCCTGCTCAGTGGTATGCAGGCCCACTGGAGGGGCTCCCAGTCCGGCAGGCAGAGTAAGGGTGGAGTAGGGATGTGTACAGATGGGACAGTTGGGTAGAGTGGATGCCATTATCTTCGAGAAGTCATTGAGAAATGGAATTGGCAGATCTGGGTTCAATTTCTGTTTCTCTGTTACCTTGAGCATGTGTCTTAACCTGTGTGAACCTCAGATTCCTCACTTGGAGGAGGATGGGCATTCAGACAGGAAACACAGGTAAAGTCCTAGTGCAGTGCCTGACGTAGTGCAGTGATGACTGATGTTGTTAGGGGTACCTGCTGGATCCCAGATGTGATCTCCTTGGTTGGCATCATCATTTTGCCACCCCCAGTCCTCTCTTTACAGCTCCGTGGTCCACATTTCAGAGGGGCTGGCCAGTTCCCTTCTCTTTTTTTTTTTGGTACATGCCCCTAGCGGGAACCAAACCCGGGACTCTCTGGTCCGCAGGCCGACGCTCCAACCGCTCAGCCAAACCGGCCAGGACCAGTTCCCTTCTCTTGAGGTGGCTGTCTCCCCATTGTCCCTGGTCAACAAATGTCCCCCAAGTGCTTGATGCACCCCTGTTTCTTTGTGCTTCGGGGGGCAACTCTGCCTGACCTGGAGCTCTCCTGGGGAGATGTAACTGGCTGTCTCCCTCTTTCCCTGCAGTCTGCATTCTCGCAGCTGCGATTAACACCAGGCCTGCGGAAGGTCCTCTTTGCCACAGCCCTGGGGACCGTGGCCTTGGCCCTGGCCGCCCACCAGCTGAAGAGGCGAAGGCGGAGGAAGAAGCAGGTTGGCCCCGAGATGGGAGGTGAGCATTTGGGCACGGTGCCCCTCCCCATCCTCACGGCCAGGAAGGTCCCATCCGTGAAGAAAGGTAGGTGTGAGGTGGGGGGGAAGGGCCTGACCTGGTCTCAGCTGGGCCACTATTAATGATAGGATCTTGGGCTAGTGACACCTGTCTACAGGTTCCTCTCATCTGGGAAGCGGGGTTGACAGTAGAACCTCTTTTCCTGAATCACAGTAAGGATTTGGTGGGTGGTGTGGCCTGACGCGTGTCTTGTAGGTGAGGTTGTTCTCATTATCTGGGGACCCTTTCGGAACACCTGGGTCCTTGCGTGAAAATGAATTTTCATGGTGAATTATCATTGCAAAAGAAAAGTTTTATCTTTACAATGGAAAAAAAAAAGGAGTTTTTAGATTTGTTTGGAACAGGACCTGAGAAATGCTGATTCACTGGGTTTTCATTTTACATTGGCCCCGGGGAAACCTGGAGCTTCTTCGGAACCGAGCTCTCTCTTGTCGTCCCTGTGCCACACACCCCTCCCCCCCTGGCTTTACCTGATTTCTCTACTCTTCTCACTTAAAAAAAAATCTTTGGTGTATCTTAAAAAGTTGTTTCCTTGAATCCTTTTTGGAAGGAGAAGAATTAGAAATCAGTCACTCAACCAGCAGCACAGGGCAAGCAGAGTAAGAAGGAGGCAGGAAGTAGCCAGACCTCAGGCCCTGTGCTGGTCACAGCAACATGGTAGTGAGTGGCATGGGCCCAGCACTCTTCTGCTGAGTGCACGGCTTGGGGTGCTCTGCCATCACCCTGGTTTAGAAGGTCAGGATGGCTCCAGATGAGAAGGGAGGGAGGTCTAGAGTGAGGAATGGCCTGTACAAAGGCTGGGTGGGAAGCCTGCATGACCCCTACTTTCCTGTCCTCACAGGCTACTCCAGTCGGAGGGTACAGAGCCCCAGTAGCAAGAGCAACGACACCCTGAGTGGCATCTCCTCCATCGAGCCCAGCAAACACTCGGGCTCCTCCCACAGCTTGGCCTCGGTGAGGACAGGGGAGGAGGGAAGGGTGGCAGGGTGCCTGCCGTGGCATCAGGGCTCAGTCCCTGTCTACCAAGTCAGATTCAGTCTCTGCCCTCAGGGGGCTTGACTGATAGGAAGATGGGAATAGAGATTTCATTTGTTCATTCATTCATTCATGCATGCATTTGTTCACTCATCATCCATCCATGTTGGCTATTAGAGATGGTCACTGATCACTCACTGAGACATCAGTGCAGAAGAGAAGCTTATGGCCTCTCGGGGAAGATACTTATCTATGAAAGTTCATTCATTCATTCAGTAGACATTGAGTGAGCACTTGCTTTGTGCCAGGGACTCTTCTAGGTACTGAGGATACAGAGATAAATAAGACAGGGAGGTTATTTTCACTTGGGGAATGACTGTGGCTCATTCACTCGTCCAGCTATTAATTCATTTAGTCAGGCCTGAGCCCCAGCTCTGAGCTGGGCCTGCCCTGGGAACCCAGGAGTGAGCAAGAGATGGCTTTTGTCCTGGAGGAACCCACAGCATTTCACAGGAGGTGGCTGCTCATGTGGGAGAGAGGCATGGGTGACAGTGGGTCCTGGCTGGCCCTTATGTGCTGGGTGCTCCCTGTCTTCCTTGTCTGACTGGTAGCGGAGCCCCAGAGGAGGGAACGGGCCCAGGGCAGGTTTGTTAGGAAGCTGCCGGGTCCTGGGCTGGGTGTTGGCCTCAGTATTTCCTCCTGCCTCAGCAGTTTCTGTGAGGTGTTGTCAGGTGCTTGGAGTTGGTGGACCAGGTTGTGCTGAGGCCTCTGTACTCGGGCTGGCTCTAGGGATGGTATCTGGAGAGAATGTGTGTGGCACGTGGTCAGGCATTTGGGGTGGCTCAGGACCTGCAGAGGGTCTGGAAAGTCCTCACCCCTTGCCCTTGGGTCTTTGTGCTGCTTGGCACCCAGATGGTGGCGGTGAACTTATCCAGCCCCACGGCTGCATGCTCAGGACAGTGGGATGCTAGAGGGATGGAGGAGTCTGAGACCACCAGTGATGGCAATGTCGAGAACCTCTACATGCAAGGTACAGGCCAGAACGTGGCCTTGAGCTCTCCTGGGGCGGGGCTCTCCTAGGTTGGGGTGGTGGGGGAATGGCCTGCCAGGAGCCCAGGCCAGACCCAGGACACTCCTCCAGGTGCTCCTTTGCAACCCCCCCCCCCCTTCCCACCCTCAAACCCTCATTCAATGGTTTCCAGCCATTTCTAGCCAGGGAACAGTCTCTGGGAACAAATCCAGTCCTCAGAAAAGTGATTAGGACTGGGCCCACATGGTCCTACTTTGTTCTTGTCCTTTGGGGCCCTCCTGCCTGCTTGCTCTTCTGAGCCCCTCTTGAGAGTAGGGCCCGGCTGCTCTGTCTCTGCTGGGGGCCTGACTCTCTCTTCTCTCTGGCTGGTGCTTAGGCATGGAATTGTTCGAGGAGGCTCTACAAAAATGGGAGCAGGCGCTAAGTGTGGGACAGAGGGGGGACAGTGGCAACACCCCTACACCGGGGAACAGCCTCCGGAACCCCGAGACTGCTTCAGAAGCACTTTCTGAGGTAGGTGGTCCCCACCCCCTGGCCATAGAGAGGGTTGGTGGGCAGCCAGACTTTGGGAGGCAGCCTAGTAGCCCCGTCTTCTGCCAGTCACTCATCCCCATGGATGGGAGTTTTCCCCTTGACCAGGATATCGGTCCAACCAACTAAAACATTTGAGTAAAGTACTCAGCACATGCCTGGCACTTGGTAATTATGCAGTAAACCCCAGTGATGCTCACACCCTAATCCCGACTGTGCATTCCTGCAGGACTGGTGAAAATAACCTGTGTTCACTGTTGAGTAGATCACATGGCCTTTGTCGTATCTTGTCTTTGTACTTTTTCATGGGCATTGTCCAAGTTTTGTACAATAAACCTTTATTTCAATATCAGTAAAGAGAAACAAAGTAAAGAAGCCAAAATGAAACATTTTTGTGAAAAGCCCTCCTAATATATGTCCTAGCCTGGATGTTCACTGAAGCATTATTTTGTAATAGTTAAAAATCTGGGAACTATCTGTTTCTTTTCTTTATTGATTTTAGAGAGAGAGGAAGGGAGGGAGAGAGAGAGAAACATTGATGATAGAACATTGATTGGCCACCCCCTGCCTGTCCCCCCACTGGGGACTTGGCCCACAACCTGGGCATGTATCCTGACTGGGAATCGAACCGGCGACCTCTTGGTACATGGGTTGATGCTAAACCACTGAGCCACACCGGCCGGGCTGGAAACTATCTAATTGCCATCAGTAGGGGTCTGGAATACTATGCAGCTGCTAAAAGGCCAAGGGAAGTTATGTGGGCTGATAGACTGCTATCTCCATGTCGAGTGAAAAAAGCAAGATGTAGAATGTGTGCATTTTATTTTATTTATTTATTTTTTTGGCACGTGCCCCTAGTGGGAACCAAACCTGGGACTCTCTGTTCCGCAGGCCAACACTCCAACCGCTGAGCCAAACTAGCCAGGGCCCATGTGTACATTTTAAAAAGATACATTCAGCTTGGCTGGTGTGGTTCAGTGGATTGAATGTCGTCCCATGGACTGAGAGGTCCCAGTTTGATTCCCGGTCAGGGCACATGCCTGGTGTTGCAGGCTCCACCCTCAATAGGAGGCGTGCAGGAGGCAGCCAATCAATGTTTCTGTCTGTCTCTCTAAAAAGTCAATAAAAACTTATTTAAAAATAAAAAGATACATCCATGCATCTGTGCACCTCCTGGTAACTGCTGGTATGTTCATGCAGTTTTACTTTCCTCTGACAGGTACACAGAAAATTGGTAACAGTGATCTATGAGGAGAGGGTCTGCAGCAAAAGGCGGAAAAGGCTTTTATTGTACTTTCCTGTACTTTTCAGTACCTTTCTTTATGGTTTGACTTTTCTCACTTTGAACACATGCTTATAGGCGGGGTTTGTATAGGTAGTGGGATTGTGAGCTCTTTCTGTTTTATTCTTTACACTTTTCTGTGTTAAAAACAAAACAAAGCCCTGGCCGGTTTGGCTCAGCGGTTAGAGTGTCGGCCTGCGGTCCAGAGAGACCCCGGTTCGGTTCCTGCTAAGGGCACGTACCTCGGTTACAGTTTGTCTCTGGCCCTGGTTGGGTTGTGCGGGAGGCAGCCACTCGATGTGTCCCTTTCACATTGATGTTTCTCTCTCCCTCTTTCCCTCCCACTCTATCTGAACAAAAAATGGAAAAATGTCCTTGGATGAGGATTAAAAACAAAACAAAGTCCTTATGAGCTCCTGTGCTCTGCCGGAGGGAGGTCAGATGGAGGGGGCATGTCTTTGGGGATCGGTGTGACAACATTTGGTAAGTCAGTTGGGTGTTAGCCAGGAAATGGGAACAATTTCAGTTGTTGAGAAAGGAGGGAGGTGAATCTAGGGGATTGTGTCCAGGCTGCCGTGTCTCGGTTGGAGCGTCATGCACCAAAAGATAACAGGTTCGATCCTCGGTCAGAGTGCGTGTGGGAGGCAACTGATCGATGTTTCTCTTTCTCTCTCTAAATATCAATTTAAAAAGTAAGTAAATAAAATAAAAAAGATTAGTGTGCCCAGAGCTCAGGTGCCAGGGCCTTCTCTTAAAAGCTAGAACCTAGAGTCATATAGAGACTGACCAGAAGGGGTTGTCCCCGCTTTGGATAGGGTGGGGTAGGGAAATGATGTGAGGCAGGAGGAGAGAAGAGTTTCTTTGCCTTCTTCCCCACTCCCTTCTTTCCTTCACTTGTGCTTCTGTTGGCTGGGAGACTGGGAAACAGAATTCAGAGCACCAGGATGGGGCATCCCTGGCATGCAGCCTATAACAAGTGTATGTGTCTTCCACCCCAGCTAGGGGCATTAGCTCAGAGGCCTGTCACACAGGTACGACAACCTAGCTGTGGGACACAAAGATTGGGAAATGCCTGAGGTACAAGAAAGCCTTCAGGACCTTAGGGTGTAGCAGTTTCAGGTCACCTCTATGTGGGGGCAGACAATGGAGTATGTTAGGGCAGGGAGAGGGAGGGAGGAGCTTGATTTCCAAAATTGTATTTTTTTTTTAATCCTCATCTGAGGATATTTTTCCATTGATTTTCAGATAGAGTGGGAAGGAAGGAGGGAGAGAGAGAGGGATAGAAGTATCAATGTGAGAGAGACATCGACAGGTTGCCTCCCACAAGACCCCAACCAGGGCCAGGAATCAAATCATAACCGAAGTATGTGCCCTTGGCCAGAATCGAACCCGCGACTCCTTGGTCCACGGGCCAATGTTCCAATCACTGAGCCAAACTGGCCAGGACCCAAAATTGTATTTATTGCTAATACTACATCTTAACATTATAGAATTTTCATTGTTTTCCTTATTGTGAAAACAATGAACTATTTCTTATAAAATAGTGAAAACTGCAGAAATAGAAAAGAACGGGAAAAGACGAGCTCAGGCTCTGATCTGTGTGACATGGACAAAGGTCCTCAGCCTCCCTGATTGCTGGTGCTCTTGGTGGGTACTCAGTACCGTGTGATCCTGGCCCATAGTCGGTACTCAATAAATGATCTTTGTCATTGGTTTTATTGATGCCCACAACCCTTCATCAGACAGAACCACTTGGTATCCTTCTTGGTATGCCTTCTAGGCATTTTTCTATGCTAAACATTTTTTAACAAGTTTATTGAAATATAATCCTCATACCATAAAATTCACCAATTTAAATTGTAGGCTTTTAGTATATTCACAGAGTTGTATGACTAGATCACACAATCACAATTTTGTGATTTTCCTCACCCCAAAAGAAATCTCATATTCTTAGCAGTCACTCCTGCCCTCCTATGCCTCCAGTCACTCCCCACTCAACCCCATCCCCCCATCCCTAGGCAACCACTACTCTACGTTCTGTCCTATAGATTTGCCTATTCTGGACATTTCCTCAAATGAAATTATATAATACGTGGCCTTTTGTGGCTTGCTCTTTTCATATAACAGTGTTTTCAAGGTCCATCCTTGTTGTAACATGGATCATTGCTTCGTTTCTGTTTATTGTTGAGATATATATATATATATATATATATATATATATATATTTTTTAACCCTCACCCATGGATATTTTTCCATTGATTTTCAGAAAGAGTGTGTGTGTGGGGGGAACTTCAATGTGAGAGAGACACACCAATTGGTTGCCTCCCACACGACCCCAACCAGGACTGGGGATCAAACCGCAACCGAGGTACATGCCCCTGACCATGACTCTTTGGTTTGCCAGCTGTCACTCTAACCACTGAGCCAAACTGACCAGGGCTGAATAGTACTCTGTTGTATGGATATACCACATTTTATTTATCTATCTATCACTTGATGGACATTTGTGCTCTTTCCATTTTGTGGCTTTTATGAATAATACTGCTATGGATATTTGTGTATGTTTTTGTGTAGACATGTATTTTTATTTTTTTCCTTTAGTGATTTTAGAGAGAGAGAGAAATATTGATGAGATAGAACATCGATTGGCCCCCTCCTGCATGCCCCCCACTGGGGATCGGGCCCACAACCTGGGCATGTGCCCTGACCAGGAATCGAACCTGCGACCTTTTGGTGGATGGGTCAACGCTCAACCACTGAGCCACACCGGCCAGACTATTTTTATATTTTATTAAATGTTTTTTAATTGAGTTCTTTTTAGAGAGAGAGGAAGGGAGAGAGAGATAGAAACATCAATGTGAAAGAGAAACATTGAGCCTGCAACCCAGGCATGTGCCCTGACTAGGAATCAGACTGGGACCTCTCAGTCCATGGAACGATGCTCAATCCACTGAGCCACACCGGATAGGTGACATGTATTTTAAAATTCTCTTGGGTATATACTCGGGGTGGAATGGTTGTATCATATGGTAACTCTCTAACATTTTGAGGAGCTGCCAGGCTGTTTTCCAAAGCAACTGCACCATTTTACATCCTGAGCAGCAGTGTACAAGGGCTCTGATTCTCCATATCCTCGACAACACTTGTTACTACCTGGCTTTTTGAATCTAGCCATCTTAGTGGGTGTGAAATGCTGTCTCATTGTGGTTTTGGTTAATGATGTTGGCCATTTTTGTATTTCTTATTTGGGGAAATCTCTGTTCAGATCCTTTGCTTTACTTTTAAATTGGTTGTCTTTTTATTCATGAGTTGTTAAAGTGTTTTAGGTAATCTAGATACCAGTCTGATATAAGAGATATGATTTGCAAATATCTTTTCCCATTCAGTGGGTTCTCTTTCCACTTATTTATTTTTAATTTTTATTATTGATTTTTAGAGAGAGGAAGGGAGAGAGAGAGAGAAGAACACTGACATGAGAGAGAAACTATCAGTTGCCTCCTGCATGCACCCCGGCTGGGGATCAAACCCACAACTTGAGTATGTGCCCTGACCAGGAGTTGAACCTGCCACCTTTTGGTGTACGGACAATGCTCCAACCAGCTGAGCCCTCCGACCAGGGTGTCTTTTCATTTTCTTGATGGTGTCTTTTGAAGGACAAAAGTTTTTATTTTGATGAAATCCAGTATATCTATTTTTTCTTTGTCGTGGGTGCTTTTGATGTCATAGCTAAGAAACCATTCCCCAGCCAGGTCACTTCACAGAGACAGAGCTGGCAGATCTCAGCCAAAGCTACAAGTCTCTGTGGGCCCCATGGAGCAGGGTCTGACCCTGGGGGAGAACTGAGCAATGTGGCCGGTGAGTCTGGGGTCCCATGACCTGGGGTTGAGTCCCAGCTCTTCCAAGCTCTAGGTGGTGGGCTGGGCCACTTGAGTTTTCTCTGTGTGATGATGCCTTTGAGGGGCACCTGGAGGCTGAACTGTGAGGTGCCTGGTCCAGGGCAGGCTCTCAGTGAGACAGCCATTTCCACCATCACTGTCCCCTCTGAGCTCTTCCAGCTCCTCCTCCCCAGTGGCCTCAGGCCCAAGTCGGCCCTTGTCCCCTCCCCGGGGTTTGGTTACGTGCAGGTGCAGATCTGGCAGCCTCTGTGGAAACGGAGTTGGGCTTGCTCGTGCCTGCCCCTCGACCAGAGGAGCCGGGGTCAAAGGAGCAGTGCCGCCGTGTGCCCTGTGCCGTGGCCTGGGGGCTGAGGCAGCGAGCAGGGCACTGGGGCCACAGACTGCTGTGTGTTGGGTGTGGTGCCTTCCCAGGCACACGCAGCTCTTTCTGGGCTCCTGGCTGCTCCCTCAGTATAGTGATACTAATAAGGACAGTGAGTATTCTGATAGCTAACATGCACTGGTTGTCACTGGGGGCCAGTGCTTTGCGTACCTTATCTCATTCACGTTTTCCCTAGGATCCTAGGAGGTAGGTGCCCTTTTTTTTTTAATTAAATAATATTTTTTTTCTTTATTGATTTTAGAGAGAGAGGCTGGGAGAGGGAGATACATCGATGAGAGAGAACATTGATTGGCCGCCTCCTGCATGCCCCTCACTGGGGATTTGGCCCACAACCTGGGCCTGTGCCCTGACCGGGAATCAAACTGCCGACGTCTTGGTGCATGGGTCGATGCTCAACCACTGAGCCACACTGGCTGGGCAACTGCTGAGCCGAACTGGTCAGGGCTCCTTTTACTTTTTTTTTTTTATCCACATGCGCTCTTATCTCAGTTTACAGATGGGAAAACTAGGGAAACTGAGGCTCAGAATGGGGGCGTTCTTTGCTCCAGTTTGCAACCGCTGGGGCCAAGGCCTGAACCCAGGTCAGCTTGGGTTTGGAGCAGTGCTGCCAGTGGGAAGCCACATATCTCATTTAAAAGTTTCTAGAGCCCGGCCGGTGTGGCTCAGTGGTTGAGCGTCGACCCATGCACCAAGAGGTCGCCGGTTTGATTCCCAGTCAGGGCACATGCCCAGGTTGTGGGATCCATCCCCAGCGGGGGGCGGCCAGTTAATGTTCTCTCTCATCGGTATTTCTATCTCTCCTTCTCCTTTCTTCTCTTTCTAGAATCAATAAAGAAAAATAAATAAAAGTTTCTAGAGACCACATTAAAAAGTAAAAGGAGCCCTGGCCGGTTTCGCTCAGTGGTTAGAGCATCGGCCTGCGGTCCAGAGAGACGCTGGTTCGGTTCCCGCAAAGGGCACGTACCTCGGTTGCGGTTTGTCCCTGGCCCTGGTTGGGTTGTGCAGGTGGCAGCCACTCGACGTGTCCCTTTCACATCGATGTTTCTCTCTCTCTCTCTTCCTCTCTCTCCCTCCTGCTCTGTCTGAACAAAAAATGGAAAAATGTCCTCGGGTGAGGATAAAAAAAAAAAAGTAAAAGGAGCCCTGACCAGTTCGGCTCAACAGTTGAGCGTTGGCCTGCGGACCAGAGAGTCCTGGGTTTGGTTCCCGCTAGGGACACGTACCAAAAAAAGTAAAAGGAAACAGATGAATTAACTTTAGTAATATATTTTATGTAAGTTAGTATATCCAAAATATCATTTCAACTTGTAATCAATGTGAACAATCACCGAGATTATTTCTTTTCTTTATTTGGTACTGAGTGTTTGAAATCCAACGTGTATTTATACTCACGGCACATGTCAGTTGGCACTGGCTACATTTCAGGGGCTCTCTGGCCATGTGTGATTGGCGGCTTCTGGATTGGGCAGCTCAGGTCTAGATCTGTGCTCTCGCTGCAGGGTCCCAGAACCTGCTTCTCTGGGAACTCATTGGTGAGAGAAGGGGCCGTTGGCCTGGGAGCTTGGAGGGTCTGGGTTGATAGTCACTGTTTTAACCATAGCCAGAGTCACAGCGAAAGGAGTTTGCAGAGAAGCTGGAGTCCCTACTGCACCGGGCCTACCACCTCCAGGAGGAGTTTGGGTCCACCTTCCCATCTGACAGCATGCTGCTGGACCTGGGTGAGCTGGGCCCTGCAGGCTGCAGTGGGGTTGGGGCGGGGTGGAGGTGGGGAGGCAGTGAGAGAACCGGGCATGACTCCCGTGGCCAGGCAAACCGGAATCCCCAGGGCCCTCAGACCTCCTCCAGCCTATTGCACAAATGGGGAAATAGGCCTCTGGAGGGACAGAGGCGTTCCCTGATACATGGCAGGCAGGAGCAGAGCTGGGGTGAGGCCCTGGGAGCCCCTGGCCCTGGCTCCTTTGGAGCACGCCTTGGGCTTGTGTAAACATCTCCCCTATGGCTGTTCCAGGCCTTTGGTTTGAGTCTTTTCCTGTTGGCACTGAGCAGGCCAAAGAGCCAAGAACACAAGTCTTGCTGTCACCCTGCCCCACTGGGGTAAAGGAGTGTGACATCACTGAGGAAATGAAGTTATGCAGCCAACAGCCAATGTTGTCCTAGTGGCTGGGTGCCAGCCCCTGTGCAGTGAATCTGTCGACCCCAGGGCCTCTCCCTGTGTGCTCTCAGCCCGCGGGGGGAACAGTAGACTCCTGAGTGTCCAGCTCCCCGCTCTACCAGTGGTAACACTGGCCCAGCAAGGGCTGCCCAGGGCCACACGTTTTCCCACACCTGTCCGTGAGTGGCTTTGCCTAGCGGGGGAGTCCTGGTTCCCCTGCATCCCCATGTGGCAGAGGAGGCTGGTCGGGCCTTCAGGGTTTTGGTCTCCACATATTTGTCTCACAAGCCTTTCCTAGCCTTTGAAGGTGCAGACCCTCTCGGCCCTTAGGTGGGTGAGGATGGAAACATTCGGTGAGTGGCCCATGGACTCCCTCAAGCCCTTTGGTATCCATGGCCAAATTTCAGCTTGTCAGAGAGGGGAAGTGACTTCCCCTGAAGAGCTCAGAGGCCACCGGGACTCAGGGTCCAGCAGTGTGGCCATGGGCAGGTCCCTTCTGCAGCCTTGTTTCCACGTGTAACTGTGCCCACCTCCAAGGATGTCTTAAGATTGAAGGAGGCCATTCATTTGAGGCAATGAGCCTAGGGTCCTCATATATAAATAAATGCTTGGTAGATAGGAGCTCGGCGCTCCTCAGCATCATTCGCCCAGAATTGGGTGTTCTAGGCTCTGAATATGCGCATCCCGCTCCGTGATCTCTGGAGTCTCAGCTCAGCCCCTCTTTCCTGCTCTCCCCAGAGCGGACCCTCATGCTGCCCCTGACCGAGGGTTCGCTGCGTCTACGGGCAGACGATGAGGACAGCCTGACATCCGACGATTCCTTCTTCTCTGCCACCGAGGTGACTCGGGAGGTGGATGGACACAGAGGGTTGGGTGGAGTGAAGGCCAGGCCTCTCTGGGACCCTGGGGTGAGCATGGTCATGGGAAAATGCAGCCATTTCCTCCGACGGGAGCAGGATTTGGCAGTCACCGAGTGCTGCTCCCCAGGGACTTTATGCAGTTGCCGGGGATGGGGAGGCCTGAGAAGCCAGGGCTCATAGGTCCTAGGGGTGAGAGCTAAGGTCTTGGCTCCACTGGCTCCATCCCATGCTGGCCTCCCTCTTCTCTATGCCGCATGCCCATTGCTTGGCATTAGTCCCCTCCCATGGCCATGTGTGTCAGGCCCCGCTGTCCTAGCCTGGGGTGGGAGAGCATGGGCTCAGGTCCAGTAGATGGTCCTTTCAGGAAGAGCCCCTGCAGAAGGGGACACTGAGGGCCAGAGCTGGACTTGAACCCAGGCATTCTGCCTCGTGGGCCAGTGTTCTTCTGACATCTCTGAGAGGTTGGCCCCTAGGGTATACCCTGGGCATGGGCCTTTACCCTCTGAGATGCTGTTGACACAGGCTTTGACATGCCCACCCTCTTCCCTGCACCCTCCCCAGCTCTTTGAGTCCCTGCAGGTTGGAGATTATTCGATCCCACTCTCCAGGCCGGCTGCTGCCTATGAGGAGGCCCTGCAGCTGGTGAAGGAGGGGAAGGTGCTCTGCCGGACCCTCAGGTGAGCTCGTGGGGTGGGAGGCCAGCAGCAGGGGCAGGCGGGGCAGGCCCTGTCCCCGTCGGAGGAGGCTGGAGAAGCCAGCGGTCTTCGGTGAGGACTCAGCTGGGCCAGGCTCACTGAGGAATAGGATGGGCTGACAAAGGCTCCTGCCCCCCAGAGGAGGGCCTGGCATGGCCTCAAGTACCGAGATGGAATTAACAATGACAAATTATACAGTTCATTAGTAAAATAACAATATTTCGTGTTTGTTCTAAGTTCTCAGAGGGATCCAGCCACAGAAACACAGAGGGCCTTGATCCTTGGCCCTGTACCCCAATACAACTATTTTTGTGGTATTTTAGGTTGCTTCTTCATTTTCTTTTTTTTAATATTTTTTCTTTATTGATTTTAGAGAGAGAGGAAGGGAGAGGGAGATAGAACATCGACTGGCTGCCTCCTGCATACCCTCCACTGGGGATCGGGCCCACAACCTAGGCATGTGCCTTGACTGGGAATCGAACCAGCGACTTCTTGGTGCATGGGTTGACACTCAACCACTGAGCCACACTGGCTGGGCTACTTATTCATTTTTTTTTTTTTTTTATCCTCACCCGAGGACATTTTTCCATATTTTGTTCAGATAGAGTGGGAGGGAGAGAGAGAGAGAGAGAAACATCGACGTGAAAGGGACACATCGAGTGGTTACCACCCGCACGACCCAACCAGGGCTGGGGACAAACTGCAACCGAGGTACGCGCCCTTAGTGGGAACCAAACCCGGGTCTCTCTGGATTGCAGGCCGATGCTCTAACTGCTGAGTCAAACCAGCCAGGGCCTTATTAATTTTTTTATTATATTTTTTTTAATCCTCATAAAAAATGTGAGGACACATTTTTATGGATTTGGGAGAGAGAGAGAAACATTGATCGGTTGACTCACCCCGACCAGGAATCAAACCTGTGACCCTTCAGTGCACGGAACAACACTCCAACCGACTGAGCCACACAGCCAGGGCTCTTAATCATTTTGAATTAATTTTTCTGTGATATGAAACTCAGAACTTGGCTTTTGGTCATGACTCCAAATTTAAGTTATGTGTATTTACAGTTCACTGACTGAAATAAATGGTTGAAAGCCACAGTTGAAGCCCTGGTGATTTGGATAAAGGGTAACCAGACCTGGGTGGGCAGCAGGCTCCTGTCAACTAGGAGCATTTGGCCATTTCTGTCCTTTGCTAACTGGGGCCTAAAGGCAGCCAAGGTCAGCCCGATTCCCAGTGACCAGACCTGCAAGCTGTACCCAGAGTTACAGAGGCTGACGTGTCTTCAGAGAGCATCCACTCTAAGAGCGTCCTGTCAGCCTCTTCCTTTGGTTTGGGAGAGACTGAGGTCTAGCGGGGAGCAGACACCTGCCCACAGTCACACTGCCAAGCCAAGGCAGGGCCGCCTAGGGCTCCGCTCGACCCCAGGGGGGAGTGCCAGACGGGGCCCAGGTGACGTGACTGTTTGTGCTTCCCCTCAGGACAGAGCTTCTGGGCTGCTACAGTGACCATGACTTTCTGGCCAAGCTGCATTGTGTGCGGCAGGCGTTCGAGGTGGGTTGTGGTACAGGGCACCTGGGGAGGATGGAGTCGGGGTCGGGGGTAGTCAGGCAGGTCTCCTGCTGGGCCTGCTCCCACACCTGGCTCCTCCATGTAGAGTGGTCACCTGCTTAGCACACTGCACTGCCCTCTTCGTGGCTGGGGGCACTGCCAGCTGGGCAGCTCACTGCTCCCCCCATTCCGTAGGGCCTTCTGGAAGACCAGAATAACCGGCTTTTCTTCGGGGAGGTCGGCCGGCAGATGGTGACAGGCCTAATGACCAAGGCTGAGAAGGTAGCTAGGGGCGGGGTCTCTTCTTTCAGGTTTTCTTCCCCCTCACACTTGTTCAAACTTTTATTTGGTTCTGTGGGGAAAAAAAATCAAAGCCCTAACTGAAATCAAATTGAGGACCTTTGACTTTATCCTCTTGGGGAGCTGGGAAAGGCTTGGGTTTTTTTCTGTGCTAATTTTGAAAAATATGGATCTGTATCGCTTTTTGTTTCTGATTACAACATAATACAGCTCTACAAAATTCACCGACTACGCAATGCAAACCGTAGGAGATCTCCCTGAACCCCACCTGCCAGGGGAATGTCCTGTAACCCTTGAACTTGTTATTGATTTCCAAGGCTCGGCTGTGCCCCACGGACTGTCGCGCAGCCTTACTTTGCTGTGTAAGAGTGTATCTTGTTCATGTTTCTGTGTCAGTCCATGCGGGTACGTTGACCAATTGCGTGGCATCCCGGTGGGTGGCTGGCTGTGCTTATCCGGTTCTCCCTGATGGATGGGCATTTGGTTTGTGCCTGGTTTTTAATGGTCACAGACACCACTATTATAATCAGTCTCTTACAGATCTCTCTAGGCTTTGTGAGGTTTTGTGGGGGACAAAGCCCTAGACATGGCAATGCTGGGTCCTGGGCTCAGACAGTGAAAAAGTTGGCAGATCTGGCTCCTGTGCCCTCTGAAATGCCTTAACAACTAAGTCCCCTCCAGCAGTACAAGAGTGTGTCTCCTTACATCCTGGCTAATACTAGATATTGATCATATATATATAGATATATGATGTTGTTGTTGTTAATCCTCACCAGAGAATATTTTTCCATTGCTTTTTGGATAGAGTGGGAAGCAGGAATGGGGGGTGGTGGGGAGAGAGAGAGAGAGAGAGAGAAACATTGATGTGAGAGACACATCAATTGATTGCCTCCCACACAACCCTGACTGGGGCCGGGGATCAAACCTACAACCCAGGTACATGCCCTTGACTGGGAATTGAACCCGCGACCCTTCTAACTGCTGAGCCAAACTGGCCAGGGCAATATTAATAATCTTTTTAATTTTTATTTCATTCATGCTCGATGTTTCTTTGATCATTAATGAGGTTGCATAAATTTTCATGTCTATTGGTCCCTTGTGTTTCTTCTCTTTGATGGGCTTCAGTAAAGCTCTTTAAATTTTTTTTTTTAATTTATTGATTTTTAGAGAGAGAGAAACATCGATTTGTTGTTCCACTTATTTATGCATTCATTGGTTGCCTCTTGCATGTGCCCTGACTAGGGATCGAACCCACAACCTTGTTGTATCGGGACGACCCTCTAACCAAATGAGCTACCTGGTCAGGGCTGATTAAAGCTCTTGAATACTCCTTTCCTCCCTCAATCCTTTTTTCTCACATGCCAGAGTAATGGTTCTAAAACCCACCTCTGACCTTGTCACCCAGCTGCTTAAAAACCCTCCCATGCTCCCACTGCCCTTGGTACAAAGACCAGGCTTCGTTCGTGGCCTGCTGCATGGGCTGCATGGCACTTTGCCTTGTCCCTGACTGGGGCATTTGTGTGTGCTGTTCTGTCCTGGCACACTCGAGTCTTTGTTTACCACCTTTATTGTAATATTATGTATGAGTGTAAAAGTGGATCTATTGGGTTTAATGAATGAAAAGTGAACCTCCATGTATCTGGTACCCAGGTCGGAAGTGGACCATATACCAGTATCTGGAGGGTGCCCATTCCTGCACCCCCTTCTATGGTCACCTGTCTTCTAAGTCCCCACCAGCCAGCTCTTTCCCTAGGATGGCTTCACCTGCCTCATCCCACAGGGCCTTGGGCTCACCATGCCCAGCATGGCCCCGTCACTCCACATCCTGTTTGTGGGTTGCTTTGTTCTCTCATTACTCAGTGAGCTCCAACCCCACCCTATTCACATTTTGGTGAACATCGGTCCGGTGCCTCCTCCACCCATGGTTCTGTATAAATGGCATCAACCTGTCCATGCTGTTCTGTGTCAGCTCCAACCTGCCTGGCTTTTGGGCACGTCATTGATCTCCTGAAACCTCAGTATTTTTATCTATAAAGTCGGTGGAATACCAGAATGTCCCTCATAGAACCGTATGAATTAAATGAGTTGATTCATATTAGATCTGTCCCTGGCATGTATCAGCTTTCCATGTCCATAAATGCACGTCCACACCTGTAAACTGTGCCCCAGCTAAACCTCATAGTCCCAGAGCGAAGAATTCATCCTGTGTGCTGACAGCCCTATACCAGCAGCCGCAGTCTTATACACTGTTTACCACTGCGGACCAGGCACTGGGCTGATTGTATTACATGCATGAGCTCATTGACCCCCAGAAAACCCTGAGTATGGGGCTGTAGCTTCTCCCATTTCAAGGTCACAGAGATTTGGATCTTTGGCTGCCTGACTCAACCTCATGTCCTCACCCACCCTTCCAAAATGAGTTCCATGCCCTGGCCAGTTTGGCTCAGTGGTTAGAGTGTCAGCCTAAGAACTGAAGGGTCTCAGGTTCGATTCCCAGTTAAAGGCACCTACCCCAGTTGCAAGTTCGATCCCCGACCTTTGTTGGGGTCCTGCAGGAGGCAACCAGTCAGTGTGTCTCACATCAACGTTTCTTTCTCCTTTCCTCCCTCCCACTCTAGCTAAAAATCAATGGAAAAATGTCCTTGGGTGATATTTTAATAAATAAATAAATAAAACTTCATAAGTTAAAAAAAAAAAGAACAAAAACAAAGTGAGTCCCTACTGTAGTACATGCGCATCTCCTGGAAGGCAGTGGGTGCTCAGGGTTGAGCTGGTCTGAGACGTTGCTGGGCACCTGGTGTTGGCTCTGTCCTGGACACGCCCTGGTCTCTGCAGAGGCACATCGAGATGGCCAGGGGACCCTTCTTACCTCGTTTTCTCTGTGGCTGCTGCTCAGGGATCGGCTCTGGCCCTGCCTTGACATGTCCCCATGTACGGGCCAGCCTGTCCCTGTGGATTTAGTCCAACTGGGTCTTGGGCTTCTGCCATGACCAGAACAGACTGCTTCTCTCCACAGAGCCCCAAAGCCTTCCTGGAGAGCTACGAGGAGATGCTGAGCTATGCTCTGCGGCCAGAGACCTGGGCTACCACACGCCAGGAGCTGGAGGGCCGGGGGGTGAGTTGGTGTGTGCTAATATCTGAGACCCTGAGCAAGGAAGGGGTGCCTATGTGCCAAGCTCTGCCTTGATTTTGAGGGTCTGAGATGGCTTCATCAATGCTACAAGCCCCCAGTTTCTGTCCTGTCCTAGGCCGTGAGAGAGGTGACCCCAGCTGCACCCCACTGTAGAGCAGGCGTGTGTCTGCTCACCCATGTGGCTCCCAACCACCCTTGCCCCCTCCTGAAGCTCGGACCCCCGGCCTCTGAGCTGTCTGCCTCTCACAGGTGGTGTGCATGAGCTTCTACGACATCGTGCTGGACTTCATCCTCATGGATGCCTTCGAAGACCTGGAGAACCCCCCGTCCTCTGTGCTCGCCGTCCTGAGGAACCGCTGGCTGTCGGACAGCTTCAAGGAGACGGTGGGTGGCTGTCCGAGCTCCCAGCACACACGACACTACCCGTTGGCCTGGACCCCGATTGCTTCCATCCTTGGCTTTGGGTTCTGAGGCTGGGCAGGGACCCCACTGCTCTCTTCAGCAACATTGTAAAACTGGCGTCCTGTGCATTTTCCTGTACTGTGCTTTCACTCAATTCTCCTGTGCAGGACTTAATGCTTTTCCATTTTAATGCATCCTATTGAGTCAGGTTAAAAGATGGAAGAGACGCCCTGGCCGGTTTGGCTCAGCGGTTAGAGCGTCGGCCTGCGGTCCAGAGAGACCCGGGTTCGGTTCCCGCTAAGGGCGCGTACCTCGGTTGCGGTTTGTCCCCGGCCCTGGTTGGTCATGCGGGTGGCAGCCACTTGATGTGTCCCTTTCATGTCGATGTTTCTCTCTCTCTTTCTCTTCTTCTTTTTCCCTCCCGCTCTATCTGAACAAAAAATGGAAAAATGTCCTAAGGAAAAAAAAAGATAGAAGAGAAGAGGAACAGCAGGAGAGCTCTGAGCTCAGGGCCCCTGCGGGGCAGGCATGCCACTTAGCAAGCCATGATGGGTGGCAGGGGATGGTCTGGAGAGGGCTGGGCTGGGCTGCACAGGCAGTTTCCAGGCGGTCACCGTGGATCCCACAACCGCTGGACGAGATGGAGTGCTGGCCAGTCTATAGACCAGGAAACTGAGGCCCAGAGATGTTCAGTGGCTAGTCCAGGGGCCCACAGGGGTAAGCCTTAGAGTCATTTAGGTGTATTTGATTCCTAATTGAGGGGAGGGAAACAGCAGAGCTCAGGCACCAAGCCCCATCTTCCTGCTGGGGCTACAGGCTTGTCCCAGGCTGGGGATGGCGAGGGGCTGCCAGCCGGCCTGTTTTTCTGGCACCCATTGGGTCCCATCTTTGGTTTAGGCCCTTGCCACTGCTTGCTGGTCGGTCCTCAAAGCCAAGAGGAGGCTACTGATGGTAAGTGACCTGACAGGGCCCCTGGCGAGTGCTCTGTGGGGCTCTGGGTGTGACACCCAGCTCAGCTGACACTCCAGTCGGTGTGCTGGCCCCTGGTCCGGGCAGGGCAGGGCGGGGTGGGAGAAGAATGGGGTGGGTTCAGGGAGGCCTTGCCGAGCTCCCGGGCCTGGCTGCACTTTTGGCCTGTCATAGCACTGGCCGCCTGTCCTGCCAACATCTGTCCCTTGACCAGCAACACATTCATCTCACCTGCAGGGCCCAACAGAATAGAACACTGGGAAATGTCGAAGGAATCAGAGGAGGGGAAAGGGCACCCTTGGAGGGAGGAAGGGCACAGGCAAGGCGTGGCAGCCGGCTTGGTAGAGGCATCTGGCTGGGGGCAGGATGCCCCAGGAGCAGGCAGTGCGGCCCCTCTGCCATTCGGCTGCGTTATCTGCACTCCCAGGCGGTGGCTGGCTGCACTATCTGGGCTACAATCCATTGTTCCTTTTCTCCAGCCGGGCTCTGCTGCCCAGCTGATACCAGCTGCTGCCACCACACACTCTGGGCACTTCCTGTGCTGAGCCAACCCCAGGCCCCTCCTTGTGTAGTCCTCATAGCTCCCCTGAGGTTACTCCTCTTCTGCAGAGGGGAAACGTGGCCTTTTTTAGTCACTTGCAGGGTCACTCAGCAAGGATGTCAATGAGCCAGGCCTCCCTCTAAAACCCAGATCTTAAGATGACCCCAGGGTCTCAGTCTCAACCTTGCTGCCCCACAGGTGCCTGATGGCTTCATCTCCCATTTCTACTCCGTATCGGAGCACGTTAGCCCTGTCTTGGCCTTTGGCTTCTTGGGACCCAAGCCCCAGCTCGCCGAAGTCTGTGCTTTCTTCAAGGTAAGCAGCGAGAGCCGTGGCCACTGCTACCACCTGGGCCCTGCCGCTCGTGGCCCCTGGGGTTGGAGCCCTGGAAAGTGCCAGTTGTGGAGTGAGGGCCTGGGCCTGCTCCCCAAGAAAGGGCCAGTGGGGTACCTGGAGAGATCTTGTGCTGCTCCTTGCACTGGGAGCCTGGCCCAGTGGGTCTGAGGAAGCCCTGGGAGGGCTTTGGGGTATCTGGAGGCCATCAGTGGTGGTCAGGGGCCCTGGCCCAGGTCTCATGCCAGCCCTGTACCCTAGCACCAGATCGTGCAGTACCTGAGGGATATGTTTGACCTGGACAACATGCGCTACACCTCGGTGCCGGCACTGGCAGATGACATCCTGCAGTTGTCCCGGCGCCGCAGCGAGATCCTGCTTGGCTACTTGGGGGCACCAGTGGCCTGCACTGTTGGCCTGAACGGTGTGCTGCCCCGAGAGAACGGTCCCCCGGAGGAACTGCAGTAGTGGCAGGCGAAGGCTGGGGAGGAGTGGCTGCTGGGGCCTCGTCCACGTGGTTGACGGCAGAGACAAGTCGCCTCCTCCCTCCTTTGGGTTGGCATCCAAGGACCTGGGTGTCTGTGGCCATCAGCAGCAGCAGGGCCCAGACCATGGTGGCCAAGGGCAGTTGCCCCTGACCTTGCCCCACCCCCATCACGTGGGAATTCCCAAGACCTGGGGGGCAAACTTCCTTGGAGAGGGATGGAGCCCCTGCTGACTGCCCGCAGCTGTTCCTCAGGAAGCAGAGGCTGGACCGTGGCCAGGGGGGCCCGAGGGAGAAGAAGGTAGTGAGAAAGAGAGAGGAAGGTGCTGTGAGAAGAATTGGGGCAGGCAGAGCTGGGGTGCCCTGGCTGTGGGACCCCAAAAGCTCCCACCACCCCAAACCTGCTGACAAGTGGGGCTGGGGGTGGAGGTGAAAGGTGGGCATGGCAGGGCTCTGTGGTGAAGGTCACTGATGTCCTGAGCTAGAAGGAACCTGGGCTGAAAGGTCTCAGAATCCATACACGTGGCCGGCCAGTCCTGACAATCCCCACCATCACCCTAGAGAGTTTGCAACTCCAGAGAGTGGGGGTGGGGGCACCGTGGTGGACAGCAGGCTCGGACAGTCAGCAGGGGCAGAGGAGGGACTGGGAACTTGACAGACCCAAGCTCCAAACCAGAACACTGTCCTCTGACATTCCCTCTCCCTGCCAAAGCCTGTCATTTCTCTTCCCACTTCTGCCCACCAAAGACAGGTGGGGCTGGTCCTCCCGCCCCCACCCACCTCCTCTGCGAGCCCAGAACTCCCTGGGTGGTGCTAGGTGCTGAGCTGGAGTCCCCTCAGGCCTATCACATGTGCTGCGGTTGGCGGTGGCCCCAGAAGTGAGGGGCCCAGGGACCACACAGGGAAGTCAGGAGTGCAGAGCGGGGACCAGCTACCCGGCCCTCTCTTAGCCTCCAGCTGGATGCACCGATGCTCAGAGTCACGCAGCAGTGTAGGCCCACCTCCCGCTGGTCCTGCAAGATGGAGGCGGTCAGCACTGTCCCACGTCATTCACCCCATCGCAGGGTTTCTGTCAGCCCTGCGGACTCACTTCTCTTACGGTGTTTTCACTTGAGCTGGGATGTTTTATTTATTGCCTTAACACTTTATTTTGAGGTTCTGCTCCTGTCCAGGTTGAGAGGCCTGCAAGAGAAATACACTTCTCCCAATTCTTCATTCTCTGGATTTGGGGACTGGCTCCTCAGGCCGGGCGGTCCCTCTCCTCTGAATGGCAAAAGGGTCTGAGAGGTGGTAGGGTGATCTTGCCCATTTGGGTTGGGGGAGAGAGGAGGTGTGTGAGGGAGACGCCGGGCGTGGCCCCATCATCTGTGAGCCTACTTTCTTCCTGGAATCCCCTCCCCTGGCACCCCACCCCCATTCCTGTGCTTCCTCAGACTAGAGGATGGCTGTGCATTAACCTGAGTTCTGGCTCCAAACCCACCTCTCTGAGGTCCAGGTCAGTGCAGTGCCCACAGCCTCCTAGGCGGTCAGGACCCGGGGTGGCCCTCCTCCACCCAACATTCCGTTCATTTGCACTTACCCTGCGCTGTGAATGTAATCTTGGGCCTGGGCCCACTCACTGATTTGTTCCCAGATCACACAGAAGTGGCATTTTCATTTCGTCTTTGTTTACACATCCATGCACTGCCCCTGGCACTCAATCTGTTGCAGCTTCTAACTTTTATATGGTAGATTGTCTGTGCATTGACTTGGAGTCAAATAAATGATTCAGTGGATTTCCTTCCAAGCTGCCATGCTGCTGAGTACATGTGTGGCCGTCTCTTTCCTGGACCAGAGCTGGGGGTCCGCTCTTTGGGGTGTAGTTGGTGGAGGTTCCAGGAGGGCAAGGGTTGAGGGCAGCCTGATGGGGGCTATGAGTCCCTTGGGGCCACTTAGCCTGGCAAGGTCCAGAGGTCTAGGCAGGGAGGGTCCCTGTGGGGAGAGGGAGAGGCCAGTGAATTGCATAAGGACACAGATGTGGGTGGGCGGCCTGGGTGTGGATCAGCGCAGGCAGCATCTAGGTGAGGTAGCTTCTCTCTGAGCCTCTGGCTACATCTGCAAGATGCAGGTGTTGACGAGGCCAGGGGTGTAGGCTCAGGCTCAGTCACTCAACGTCTGAGCTGGTGAGAGCCAGGGCAGGGCTGGGACAGGCGGAAACAGCAGATCTGACAGCCTGCTAGATCTTCAGATGTATCCACGGGCAGTTGGACATTGCAAGGTTTATTTGAAGGGTACTTTACTACAACAACAAAAAACTTCACTTTGAAAATTTTCAAATGTACTGAAAAGTTAAAAAGAAAACCACATAAAAACTACCCATAAAACCAACACCTCAAATCAGTAATTAACATCTTGCCATTTCTTTTAAAAACTATTTTGAATATTTTTTTTCCTTTATTGATTTTAAAGAGAGAGGAAGTGAGAAGAAGGAGAGATAGAAACATCAATGAGAGAGAACATCGACTGGCCGCCTCCTGCATGCCCCCCCTCCCCCCGCCCGGGGATTTGGCCCACAACTTGGGCACATGTCCTGACTGGGAATCGAACTGGCAAATTCTTGGTGCATGGGTCGATGCTCAACCACTAAGCCACACCTGCCAGACCCTGGGTCTTTTCACACACACACACACACACACACACACACACACACACACGTCCCCATCAGTCTTCAAGCACTTCCTTTCTAGCATAACAAGTCGCCAGAAGCCAGAATCCCAGAGACCAGAGCTGGGAAGGCCCTAAGGGAACCCTGGCCCACTTCTGTGACTGACAGTGGGTTGCCTAGGAATTCAAATATAGAAGTTCCTGAAGTGAATGAATGAACCTCTAACTTAGAGGGCAGCAGCTGACACATTTGGGGAAATAGGTCCAGAGAGTGAAAGAGTTTGAGCATAAACCAGTGTTAGACTTTTGCTTCTAATTTCAGGGCTGCCCTGTCTGAACTCCCTGTCAGAGGAGAGGCCAGAGTGAAAGGCCAGCCATACTTGGGACAGCTGCAGACTCTGGAAAAGCCTGGGTCTCAGGGCTTGTCCAAGGACACCTAGGGCAGTAGGAGGAGGCAGGCAGCAGTTTGGCTCATAGGATGTAGGGTCATTCAGAACCTGCGTCTGCCCATTGGGCAGACCTGGATTCAAATTCTGCCTCTGCCATGGACTGTCAAGGTGACATGGCAAATAGTGGGACACTCTGATCCTTACTGTCCTTAGCTGTAAAATGGGATCACTAAGAGCTGCTTTGCAGGCTGTTGGGGAGATTACATGAGTGACAAGATTGGAAGACTGCCCAGGACACTCAGAGCAATAACAGGGGCGTCACTAACCTACCCCCCCCCCCCAGGGAGGAGGCAGGTGACTTTTGCAGCCTCCCATGGGTCTCTTTTTATTTTATTTTATCTATTTTATTTTATTGTTTAGAGAATTTTTATGAGTTTATTTGAGCCAAAACTGACAATTGCCAGGAAGCAAGATCTCAAATGCGCCCCAAGGGTCTCCTTTTAGCATTTATGCCTGCACTGCCTAGCCCCTTGTCCACATGCCAGGTCTGACCTGTCATCTCCGCCTCTCATGGGACCCTGCAGTGGCTCCGAGGCCATCTCCATCAGAAATGCATGCGTACGTGCCCGGCCAGTGTGGCTCAGTGGTTGAGTGTCGACCCCCTGCGCCAAGAGGTCACCGATTTGATTTCTGGTCAGGGTACATGTCCAGGTTGTGGGCCAAATCCCCGGGTCGGGGGCGGGCGTTCAATGTTCTCTCTCATAGATGTTTCTATCTCTCTCTCCCTCTCCATTCCTCTCTCTCTAAAATCAATAAAGAAAAAATAAAAAGAAATGCACCCATAAGTACACCAAAGATACACAAGGATGTTCCTAGTAGAACTGTCTGTAACACCCCAAACCTAAAAATGCCCCAAATGCCTATTAAGAGTCAAGTGGAAAAGAGACAGTGGTGTGTTCACTGTGGAATACCACGTGGCAGTGAGAGTGAACAAATCACAATGAGAGGCCACACGCTAGTGAAAGAAGCCACATACACAACGTACATACAGCCCTGGCCAGTTCGGCTCAGCAGTTAGAGCACTGGCCCGCGGATCAGAGAGTCCCGGGTTCGGTTCCCGCTAATAGGGGCACATACTTCAATTGCGGTTTGTCCCCGGCCCCAGCTGGGGTTGTGTAGGTGACAACCAGTCGATGTGTCTCTCACATCGACGTTTCTCTCTCTTCCTCCCTCTCTCCCTCCTGCTCTATTTGAAAATAAATGCAAAAATGTCCTCGGGTGAGGATAAAAAAACATCAAAAAGTACATACAGGGTGGGGCAAGAGTAGGTTTTCAGTTGTTTGCATGGAAAATAATAATAATTCATAAATAATAATGCAGGTACAGCCCTGGCCAGTTTGGCTCAGTGGTTGAGCATCGGCCTGTGGACCAGAGAGTCCCGGGTTCGGCTCCCGCTAGTGGCACATACCAAAAAAATAAATAAATAATGCAGGTATAAACTCTGTTTCACATTACAAGTATAAACCAACTTTTGCCCCACTCTGTACTGTAGGATGCTGTTTTTAGAAAGTACAAAATTAGACCTTGTACTTTTTGATTCTTGATCTCAGGGCTACTTTCACAGGTGTGTTTTATTTGTGTAGCTTCATCATACTCAATTTCTGGAATTTCCTGTATGAATGTTATATTTTAATTTTTTGAAAAAGCACAACTAAACCAAACAACACCCCCATCCTTCATAGCTCCCATCTATCTTCACCACTAATAGTGGCCCTCAAAATTTTGGGGGGGGCAAACCTCTGCCGACTTTCCCACTCCCTCAGCACCTTACCCCTCATCTTCTCATACCCATTTCATCCAGCCGCATTCCTGCCTAAGGACCCTTGCTTATGCTGTTCCCTCTGCCAAGAAAACCCCATACTGGATAACTCCCTCTCTTTCTATAGTTCATCTTTATCACTTCCTTAGAATGCTCCCCCTGAGGCACGAGGACTCTAGAATCAGACAGGCCTGGGCTTTGCCTCTCTAGGCCTATTTGCTCATCAGTGAAATGGCCACTAACCAGGGAGGGGCAATGCAGCCAGACCCAGGATGGCTGCCCTGTCTCTGGGGACTATTCTGGGAAACTCACAGCCCACTCTCCTCACACCTGCTTCTCAGAAGATAGTAACGGCAGTGCCTGTGGTAGCTGAGGGTAGGTGACCCAGACGAGCCCAGGCTGGGCCGGATGGTGAGCTAAGCACAGTGAGGCAGGCCCACAGTCCTGGCTTCAGCTGTCCTGAAGTCTTGCAGAGCTAGTCATTCTGGTCAATGGGATTCCTGGTTTATTCTCACTTCTCACAAGCATTTATTTCATTTATCAGGCTCTTGTTCTAGGTCTGGCCTGGGCCAGGCTCAAATACACAACAGGCCCTGGCTTCAAGGTGCCCTGGGCTTTGGCAGGCATGGGTGGAACCACTGTATCAGTACCCCAGAGCACATAAGAGTGCAGACTCCAGCCCTGCCTGGCTGGCGTGGCCTAGGGGTTAGAGCTTCGGCCTGTGGACCCAAGGGTCACAGGTTTGATTCCTGGTCAAGGGCATGCATCTGGCTTGCAGGTTCATCCCAGGCCCTGGTAGGGGTGCATGCGGGAGGCAACCAATAGATGTGTCTCACATCAATGTTTCTCTCTCTCTCTCTCTCTCTCTCCCTTTTCTCCCTCCCTTCCACTCTCTCTGGAAAAAAAAAAAAAATCAATGGAAAAAGTATCCTCTGGTGAGGATTAACAACAACAAAAAAACTCCAAGGCTCCAACCCAGACCCTAGTGGGACCCAGGAATCTACATTTTCTACATGCTGATCTTGGTGCCCACAAAGTCAGAGAATCATTTCATACTGGGAGAGACAAGGAACCCATTACAGTCCAGTGTGGTCAGTGCTGAGGTAGGAGAAGGGCTCAGTGAAGGCTCCTCACCTGGCCAAGAAACGTCTAAGTGAAAACTGACACTGGAGCGAGACTTTGCCAGGCAAAGTGGGGCGAGAGGGGTGATGCATCCCAGGTAGTGGAACAGCATGTGCAAAGGCTAGGAGACCAGAGGGGGCCAGGCACTTGATCTGGGGTGTAATTCAACCTAGCCTGAGAGAGTGGAGGTAGGAGAGGGAACGGTGGGTGGGAAAGTGTGGCTGCTTATGCAGGGTTTTGTTGGCTAGTAGGAATGTTTTAGGAAAGCTGAGGTGTAGATGGAAAACCGACTTCTTGTTTAAAATGCTCAAGATGCCTCCTTAAACACATAAATGTGACTTAATCGATAAATCTTTGTTAATTGAATGAAAGAAGGAAGGAGCCTTTATTAACATCAATTAAGCTTCTACTCTTAGCATCACTTAAGAAATGAGTAAGTGCCCTCGGGGTCTTTGGTTTCAGTTTACTTATAACTAAAAGTGGGTGGACCCAGACCCCATCGTGACGAGGTTGGCTCCCCGCTTCGAGCATGCGGTCTGACGGGCGCCCAAGTCCCTTCGGCTCTGGGCGGGCCCCGGGTACCGGGGGAAGCCTTCACTCGGCTCAGGTCCCAGCCAAACCAAAGCTCCCACCAAAGTTCAACACGCCCCCCAAACGAAGGCCTGATTGGTCCGCCCTGCCCACACTGCGAGCAGGATTCACTTTCTGATTGGCTGTTCTGCTCTGTGTTCTGTGCTGGAACCGTCCTCTTCCCTAATTGGTCAGGAGCCTACCTGCGCTCGCCCAGGATTGGACGCTGGCTTGGCCGATTTACAAGTTCCTAGGGGCCCCGCTCTCTGATTCGCCGCTGGGGCTAACCCTACGGCCTGCACGCTGAATGGCTGCGCCGCTACCTGTATGGGCTTCCGATTGGATGCGCGGCGCCTTCCCGGCGTGATAGGTCTGGACCACTGCCCCCCTGGCATCCCATTGGCTGCTCGGCAAAGCCCGGTCTCCGGGTAAGATGGCAGCGGACGGACAGTGCTCGCTCCCTGCTTCATGGCGGCCGGTTACCCTCACCCACGTCGAATACCCTGCAGGTAAAAGGCAACTCCGGCTCTAAGGACGCCTTCCCGGGGCCGGCCCCTCAGCCCCAGGCGCTCCGGCTCGCGCGAGCCCGCGGAGGGGGCGCCGGGATATTGGGGTGGGAACTGTCAAATAGTGAGCCTTGAAGGGGCTCGGCCGGCGCGCGCGCCGCGCAGGCGCGGTGGTGAGGCGATGAGCTGGGCGAAATTGTGAGGCTCGCTCGCGCACTCTGCGGCTGCGTGGCGGGGGCGCTCCCCCGCGTCCTGGGGCGCAGGTGGGCTGTAATGGGGAGGGGGTCTGTGTGAGGCAGGATGGGATCACTGGCCTGGACCCAGGCCCTTCTTTCTCGGAGCCAGAGAGGCCAGGCTCCCTACCTGGCGTGCAGGGAGTGCCTGTTTGCTTTAGACGGTGCATTTGGGTCGCCTGTGAGAAAGAGCTCCCCGTTGCTGGAAGTGTGCAAACCGAGGTCAGAAAATGTTCGCTATTTGAGTACTTCTAGTGTGCCGCACCCTGCACTGCTCTGCAACGGAGGGGACCCGGTGAGGGGCGGGCAGCCCCCAGGATCTTGACTTCTGGAGCTTCCCATCCGACACATCTCTAGCAGCACAGGGTTTTCCAGCTGGGAGGTCCTTCAGCTTCCGTCCTGGAGGCGGTCTGGTAGAGTGGTGCGGAGCTTGGGCCTTGGGGTCAGAGGTGTCTGTGCTCAAGTTTAGGCCCAGGCTTTGTGCAAGAGACTTCACCTGTCTGTGGCCCAGTTATTTCATCTCTAAAGTGGGACTGATCACAGTGCCTCCCTTCTAGCGGTGGTGTGAGAATCAGATAACGGGGGGCATGAGAAATGCAGTGCCTGGCACACAGGAAGCATTCACTAAATGACTGCAGTTATTATCATCCCACCTTCCCGGGACCCTCTCAAGCCCACCCCACCCTCCCTGGGTAGGATGGTTGGGTATCAGGTGTGCCCCTCATTGAGCCCTGGTTGTCCTAGGAAGGGCCTGCTCTGTATGTTGCTCATTTGGGTTTAGATGTGAGAACCTGGCCCTGCTGAGGGCCCCAGGGCTGGCTGCTGGCTGCTGGCTGCCAGAGAACTTTGACCCTGAGTATTCTGGGTTATACTGGGGGTGGAGTGGCCCTACCAGGTGCTGGGCCCTACCAGCCTGCTTGCCTATCCATCCATTCATTCAGCCAGTATCCATTGAGTGCTTCCTAAGTGCTAGGCCCTGGTCTGGCTCTGGGTTTAGAATGGTGAACAGGCCCATAAGTCCCTGAAGTCCTGTAGTATGAAAAAACAAAAACAAAAACCCACTTTACAGGAGGGAAACCTTGGCCTGGACAGGGGAAGGGACTTGGCTAAGGCCTCAGCAACTTCATGACTTCCAGCTGGCCTTGGAGTAGCTTCTGTGAGTGCTCACACTCTAACAAGCGAGAAGGAACCTGGCAGTTGTGAGCAGCGTGATACAGGATGTGATGAGGGACCCTTTGCAGGGACTGTGGGTGCTTAGAGGAGGGACTTGGCTGAGCCTGGGGGCATCCCACAATGTCTAGCCCCCGGCTAGCTCTTCTGTGGCCCCCTGTACTTCTTCATACCCCTTATCACATTGATCCTTGCTTCCTTTATCCATTTTTATTCATTTTCCATTATTTTTGAGCCTAGTTAAGTGCCAGGTACTGTACTGAGCTTGGGGGATTGAGTGCTGTGTAGAGAGCCCGTCCTTGCTCCTATGGGACGTATAGAGGGAGACAGTCACAGCCTGACATCTACACTAGCAAACATATCATGACTGATGCCTGGTTACATATTCATGGTCCCTCATCAGACTGAGAGCTCTGCAGTGGCAGGAACACATCTTTTTTTGCCACTCTGGTGTGTACTTAATTTATGTTGAGTTAACCCAGGCAGCATCCCACGTGGGGGAAACAGTGTGCAAAGATCCAGAAGTAGGACAGAGCACGGTGTGTTCAGGGAACTGGAGTGCGGTCCCTGGAACTGGAGCAAAGGATGGGAGAGGAGCAGGGCTAGGACTCCCCAATGAGCTGGGCTGAGGTGGGACTTATCCCAAGGGCAGAGGGAGGGGCTTGGAGCAGAGTGGGGAGGCCAGAGTCACAGCATCTGTAGGAAGGTCCCAGGTTAGTGCCAGGTGTGAGATAAGCCATGGAGATGGCCAAAGGTTTGGAGACACCAGCTACTCCCTGTTCTCATGGTCAGGTGCCCTGGGCATCAGCTGGGCAGCTGAGAGACCCAGAATTTCAGGGCCAGGCCGTTGTGTGGGTGAGGAGACAGGGGCCCAGAAAAGGGAAGGGCCTCACCCAGTGTTACCCAGCTGGCCTGTGACAGCACTAGCATTTGAGCCAGCCCTACCCTGGGTAGGTGTGGGTGAGGACAGGTGTGTGCCCATTTCTTCAGCCTGAATCTGGGCTCAGCTCCTGTGTGGGCACCTTCCCAGCTGCCTTTGTGAGGTGTGGGCCATTTTTCATGCTGGGTTCTCTCAACCCCTGGGTGAACAGAGCCCCCAGCCTGGCAGTGTCCTGGGTGCCAGGGACCGAGCTGGGTGTCACAGTCCCCCTCACAGAGCCATAGGAGGTGGGTACTAGTTTCCCCTTTTCACAGATCACAGAGCTGAGGCTCAGGGAGGTGGAGTCTTTGCCTGAGGTCATGCAGCCAGCAAGTGCTGGCATGGGACATGCCCTCTGACCTCAGAGTGGCTACATAGCAGTCCTGTTTTTGTTGTTTTTTTCCTTTTTTTTATCTTCACCCGAGGACATTTTTCCATTTTTTTATTCGGATAGAGCAGGAGGGAGGGAGAGAGAGAGAAACATCCAAGTGACAGGGACACATCGAGTGGCCGCCACCTGCACAACCCAGCCAGGGCTGGGGACAAACTGTAGCCGCGGTACATGCCCTTAGCGGGAACCAAACCCGGGTCTCTGTGGACCGCATGCCGACGCTCTAGCTGCTGAGCCAAACCAGCCAGCGCTAGCTGTCCTGTTTTGAATGGTGAGGGTGGTCTTTGGACCTGACATCAGCCCTGCCCTTGAGCTCCTATCTCTTGGCTGTGGTGTCCTCATCTCTCAGAAAGGGCTGGCAGTCCTCACACTGCTCCCTCCCTGGCCTACTAGGACAGTCAAAAGCAGGTAGTGAATAGGTAGCCAATTTATTGCCAATAGAAAGGCAATGAGAAACTGGCACTGCAATGGCGGTCCATACTGGGCAACACAGCCTCCTCCCCACCCTTGGCCTTGGTCTTTGTGGGAGCCTGTAGCGCAGACCCAAGTCTGTGTGTGGCTAGAGAATACCAGGTTCCCTGGAGCCCCAGCCAAGCCCTGCTGGGCACCCGTGTGCCTGCTGGGCTGCCTCCCAGTACAGAGCCCAGTCTCTGGGGTCAGATCAAGCCAGGTTCAGATTCCTGGCTTGGCAAGGTGGTGGGTACAGTATTTGGATGAGGCCAGAGACTTGGGTTTTAGTCCAGTTCCCACTCGTTCTGACTGAGGCGTCCACAGCTCCCTGGCCCTACATTCCGGGTCCTGCATTTCTGGCCCAGGTCTTACTCGATTTGCAGGGGGCTGGCCCCTAGCAGGAACCGAACCCGGGACTCTCTGGTCTGCAGGTCAACGCTCAGCTGCTGAGACAAACTGGCCAGGGTCTGGCCCCTCTTTTGATGCTCATACGCTGTCCTCACTCCATTCTCCCTGCGTCATTCAGGTGATCTCTCTGGCCACGTCCTTGCCTACCTGAGCCTCAGCCCCATATTTGTCATTGTTGGTTTCGTGACCCTCATCATATTCAAGCGGGAACTGCACACGGTGAGTGAGTCTGCCCCCCATCCACCCGGTGCCCTCCCACTGCTCCCCAGTGCCCCCACCCTAGGGACAGGGGCTGCACCATTTCATCCCAGGTGCTTCGCCTTCCCTTCCATGCCGCCATCTCTCTTGAGATTGTGTGGAGCCTCCTGGCTGGTTCCAGGTAGTTCACCAGTTGGGCTGGGAGATTCAGTAGGAGGCACAGTCTTTGGGGTTGGGTGGTGGCTGGCAGGTGCAGAAGCCCAGCTGACCACACATCTTCCCAGCAGATCTCCTTCCTCGGGGGCCTGGCACTGAATGAGGGGGTCAACTGGCTGATCAAACACGTCATCCAGGAGCCTCGGCCCTGTGGAGGTAGGGCCCAGGCTGTGAGGATCTGGGGGTCCACCAGGTGAGGGCATTACTGAGTGACCTGCATCCTCCCATCATGCCCTGTTCTCTCTCTCGCAGGCCCCCACGCGGCAGTGGGCACCAAGTACGGGATGCCTTCCAGTCATTCCCAGTTTATGTGGTTTTTCTCCGTCTATTCCTTCCTTTTTCTATATTTAAGGTGAGCTTCTCTCCAGTTGGAGTGGCCCGGAACTGGCCCAGGCCAGGCTCTGCCAGGGACTCACTGCAAGTCCTTTGGATACACCTTGGGGCTTGGCTTCTTCTGGGGGTGGGAGGAGCTGTGGCCAAGGCAGAAGGCACCCAGGGAGCCTGTGGATGGGGCCAGGAGCTGTTTGGGAGGCCTGGGTTCCAGGCTGTGGGCTGAGGCTATCTGACAGGCCTGTCTTCCCAGAATGCACCAAACGAACAACGCCAGGTTCCTGGACTTGCTGTGGAGGCACGTGCTCTCCCTGGGTCTCCTCACCGTGGCCTTTCTAGTCTCCTACAGCAGGTATGGAGGGAAAGAGAACCTCCACTCATACCCTGCCCACTGGGTCTTGCTGGATTCTTGGTCCCTGTGGACCTGAGTCCCAGAGCCTGTAGGGCAGGGCAGGGCAAGGGGTCCCAGGTTTCTCGTTTTACAGGGTCAGGGCTCCATGGTCTCTTCCAGCCCAGTCCTTGCTCTCTCTTCCCAGCTGAGCCCAGGGTTCTGGGGACACCGCTACCCTTCAGCCATCTGTTCCCAGCATTCTGGAGGAGCCTCTTGCAGAGAAACTCAGAGTTCAAGGGCTAGAGAGAAGGGAGGCAAGTCTCAGCTGAGCCATCTCCTCACTTCGAGTTGGGAGAGCAGTGTTGGGGTCCAGCCCTCTGCCTCCTTCTGGAAGTAGATCTGAGGCTATGTATCCATAGGAACTCATACCTATCTGTGTATGTCTCCGTGGGTGTGCACACAGGTCCCCAGGAAGCTAGTACCTGGGCATGGAGGATTGTGCAGGCCTGTTTCTGACTGACTTTCATGAACTTCCCTTTGTCCTTGGCTCAGGGTCTACCTGCTGTATCACACCTGGAGCCAGGTGCTCTATGGAGGCGTCGCTGGAAGCTTCATGGCCATCGCTTGGTTCGCCTTCACCCAGGAGGTCCTCACCCCTCTGTTTCCCAGGATAGCATCCTGGTAACTGCTTCTCACCCCTGCTGCTGCCCCGCCCATCTTCCCAGGCACCACAGTCCCGGCCCTCTTTTGTGGAAGGGGCTATCAGTGGGAAGACCTAGGAGCTCCTGCCCCAGCCTCGGTCTCCCTGGGAGAGCCCTAGTGTCCAGGCTTCTGGTGGGCAGGAGGCTGCAGGCCCCGCTTGCCTGGTTTCTGTGTCGCCCAGCTCTTCCTCAGGCCTGGAAGCCAAGGTGGCATCCTCTGTCCTCGCCTAGGTTCTCAGGGCCGTGTGTGCTGTGGGGGGTGCCCCTGCCTCGGTGTCACACAGGTGACACATCTGGGTCTTGCAGTGGCTCTGGAGCCACAGGCCAGGCAAAGACCCTCTGATCAGTGGGAGGAAGGTACATGGCTGGCCGCAGGCACTGATGGGAAACTCTGGCTTGATGACAGCTCCTGCCCTGATGTGGTCCTGGGGTTCTGGGTGTCTGTCTCCCCAGGCCTATCTCTGAGTTCTTCCTGATTCGAGACACAAGCCTCATTCCCAACGTGCTCTGGTTTGAGTACACAGTAACCCGGGCAGAAGCCAGGTAAGTTAGGGTTCAGCGGTCACTGGGTCCTGGCTCAGGGGCACAGACCCAGGGCAAGACCTGCCCCCTGCAGTCACTGCCCCCATTTTTGGATGGCTCCCCAAAAGCCAGACACTTGCCTAAGCACTGTTTTTACACTGTCATTGAATGCTCCCCTGGGCCCCATTTTACAGATGAGAAAACTGAGGCTCAGAGATGAGAGGAAGAGTCACTTGAGGAATAACCTAGAGATTGTGTGTGGGGGAGCTGGGCTGGGAATTCATGTCGTCTGGCCCAGAGCTACGCTTTTTACCTCTGTGACCCAGAACTAGGGAGCTAGGCAGCTGAAATTCTCAGGGCGCCTATGTGTGAACACCTATTAGGCTGTTCAGTCCAGACACTTTTTCTATAAATGGGTAAACAGAGGTGCAGTTGAACAGCAAGTTGGTGCAAAGCTGGGCTTTGGGGCCTACTGCTTGAGCTTTCCATCCCCACTCATCCAAATCCTGGGTGGGGTGTCACCGGGGTTGGGAAGGCCTGGCTCCTCCTGGGTTCAGAGGGGAACTGAGGCAGGGTCAAGCTCCAAGCAAGCCTGTGAGGTTTCCCCAAGGAGCTGGTGAGAAGAATCACAGGGCAGGGCAGGGCAGGGCATCTCATCTAGCAGCCTGGAAATGTGTCTAGTGCATCATGGTCCAAATGATGAGCTTAAAGAGTGAAAGCCCTGGGCCCAGGAGGAAAGGGGAGTTGAGTTGGTTAGGGCAGGCAGTCCTGTTGTTGGAGAGGCCCCAGTTGGCCCAGGCTCTCCATCTGGCTCCCAGAATTGTCCTGTCCCACAGGCCCTGCCCAGCCCCGCCCCCCTCACTTGGCCCCGCTGGCTATCACTTGCCTTTATTTACCAAAAGTTCTATGTACACATGCTCGGACCCAGGCCGTGTGCTGGGGTAGGCAGAGAGAGCCACAGCAGTCAGGGAAGACACGAAGAGTAGAGCAGCTGCCCGTGTGATGAGAGCGCTGGACTTGAGAGCTCAGGGCAGGAACCGATGTGGGGCGGGTGGTTGGGCCTGCTGGGCAGGGGAAGCAGAGCCGACTGCGGAAAGTGCATGCCTGCCACAGTTGGGGTTTGGTGGGAGTGTTCTCAGAAGAGGGAAGAGCATGCGCAGAGCTTCCAAGGTGGGAGGAAGTTTGGTGAGTCGGTTCCTGGGGCTACTGGGGTGAGTGCTCACCCATTTGATAGGACGGTGGGTAGGGAGTGGACAGCTGAGGGGGTCCCTGAATGCCAGGCGTCCTCTCATCTAGCCCCAGGCATCCTCACTCAGACTCCCACCCCCATTTTGCAGGAACAGACAACGCAAGCTGGGGACGAAGCTGCAGTGACTGGTGAGTGTGGCTGGGTCCAGCCTCCAGATCTGGCCTGCACGATGCCTTGCAGGATGGACAGTGACAGAGGGATGAAGCAGAGACCTCTACAGACCCAAGTCACCAAGTGGAGCCTTTTTTTTTTCTTATTTTAATTTTAATGAACAAGGTGGCCTTTTGGGCCAGCCCCTCGGCCAGGAACCTGGAGGGCCTGTTGCCGGGGCCACACGGTCAGAGAGCCTCGCTGTGTGCTGCTGCCAGCCCCTGGCCGGGCGGAAAGTGCTCTTGGTGTGGGCACTGGGGTGCGGGGTAGAGGAGGAGGGCTGCCCCTGTGCTCGCAGGGCCAGGAAGTCCAGGTGGAGTGGAAAATACACACTATTTATTTTTTGGTTTTGTTAATGGCAAGTAGGATTTTGGAGACGGGGCCGGAAGAGCCTGCTCTGTGGAGGCTGCTGCCCCATGTCTAGAGGGGCCCAGGCCCTTTGCCCTGAGCCCAGGAGGCAGACTGCCTCTTCCTGGGCCTGAAAGGTGGCCTGGGGACCCGGAGAGGGGAGCACCCTTCGTCCTCTCTGCCACCATTGCCATTCCAGAACCTCATTCAGTGTTTCCCAGTCTGGGAGGCCAAGCCCAGAGAGAGCACGCATCTGGCGGCTGCTATCAGTGTCCCACCCCGTACCGACCCTACACCACAAGGGCTTTCTCTGGTTCCCTGTCCTCCAGACAGTGGTCCTTTCTGACAAAAGAGCCTGCACATGTGGGTGAGCAAACCCAAGCTGTTTACAGCTCTTTTTGGTCCTGCCATTGGGAGCAGTTAGTCTTCATCTCCACGAGAACAAAATGCAAAGGAACCAGGAGCCGGGTCACAGGAGGGGTCATTGGGTGCCTGACATCCCCACCCTTCCCTACCCCCTCTGAGAGGCTGGGAACCTGCCTGGGTTCATCCTTGAGCCTGTTCTGGGGTGTGGTTCACAGATCCCCACTGTCCAGCTCAGAGGACGGCTCCTCCTGAAGGGACTTGATCTCCAAGTCTCTGTGAAGTGGAGCTGTGGAGTGGACGTGCTTCCAGACTCTTGGAAGTTTCTAGAACTGAACCAGACTGCTTGGACCTGTGTTTGAACCCTGCCCCCTCCCTTTTCTTTGTGGAGGTTCGTAATCTGCTGCTGAAGCACAATGTTTGGGTGCTTTCTTTTTTCATTTGTTAAAGACAGTGTCCAAAAGCCATTCCAGATGCCAGGACCAGGGGCCCGTTTCTGGGGAAGGTTGTTCAGTCCCCATGTTTCCCTTCCCTCCCCTCCCCTTACTTTCTTATTTTTTACATTTTGCCTGAGACAAGCCAAGTATGAGGTGGTTTGATTTAAGAAAAATCAATGAAATTGTTTACTCTTGTTTTAAAATAAAATCTTGAATTCTGGCAGCTTGAGCACATGTTGACTAGGGCTCCTGAGAGGAAGCTGGAGACACGTGACCCTGAGGAGCAAGGATCTAGTGAAAACCATAAAATCATGAGCATCTCCAAGACGTCTAGTCCCTTCCAGCCCTGAGAGCCGCGGTTTGAATGGCCCTGTGACATTTCCTACTAAAGTCTGAGGAGACCTCACTGCCATGGAGTTAGGAAGTGCCCCCTTTTTTGGTCCCAATCCGCCTCCCTGTTAGGTCCTAGCTGGCTCTGGACCTGCTCTGTAAGCCTCGTTCCTCCATGCAAAGCCCCGGAGGACTGGGGACAGCCAGTGTGCTCTTCTAAGCCTCTGCCAGGATAAACACCTCCACTCCTTGTTTAATTCAGTATTTCTTGAGTGTGCATGGATGAGGCTCTTGCTTTGGAAGGAACAGCTGCAAACTGAGCTGAGTTTTCAGGCTTACAGGAGCTAGATGAATGTAGTCAAACTCAAGGGCTGGCCAAGGTGGGGAGTCGAATCCTTCCTCGATTCACCCAGCCGAGATGCAGAATGGCTGTACCCTAGGGTCAGGGGGTCAGAAGTAATTCTGTCCTCACGTGAGCTCGAAGGCTGTGGGTCAGGGCCCCCAGTGGTCCACAGAACCTTGACACTCAGTAAAGTTGACGTTACCCAAGATGTGAGGCTGAGGCAAACAAATCTCTAGAGGAAGGAGCCTACATCCTAGACTTCAATTACTTGTATGATTAGTTTTGTGGGTTTTTTTAATCCTTACCTGAGGATATTTTCCCATTTATCTTCAGATAGAGCGGGAGGGAGGGAGAGAGAAACATGATGTGAGAGAGACACATCGATTGGTTGCCTCCCACACAACCCGACCAGGACTGGAGATGAACTGCAACCGAGTTATGTGCCCTTGGCCAGAATCAAACCTGAGTTTCTGGTCTGTGGGCTGACGCTCTAACCGCTGAGCCAAACCAGCCAGGGCTGTATGATTATTTATTTATTTTTAACTAAAGATCATTTATTTGTTTTTCACTAAAACGTTATCTTAGGACATAATTAAACTGTGTTACCACCCCCCCACCCAAACTTGAAGAAGGGTTAGTACAATGAATGTTATAAAGTAGTTATGAACAGTATTTAAACGACTGGAACCAACATTAACTTGACAAAGAAAAACTTCCTTCTAAACCATAATAATGTTTAAGTAAAAAAAAAGAAAAAAAGAGGGTGGTGGAAGTTCAGATTGAATAAGATCCTCACATTTCATCTAACACATTCAATCCTGGCTAGAAGGTACCAAAATGGAAACAGGATTACTATAACACGAAACTTCCACCGCAGATCGCTGGACACACCTGTATTCCAAGCCCACCCCCAACCCCCAGTGCTTCCAACACAACTCTCTCCCAGCCTGTTGGGCCTGCCGACCAAGGAGCATGTAGATCTCTTTAATCCCATCTTTGTTATAAGGCTGGTATGTCTGGGTATCAGCTGGGTGAACAAGACAGCTGAGGTCTGCCAGATCAATAAAATCAAACAGCTGGCTGATAGATGTACTAGAGGGGCTGCTGGGCTTCATTCTCTTCAGATGCTCTTCATATGTTTTACAAACACCTTCCAGGCGCTCATTCTCTGATTCATAGCATAAGTTCTGCCTCTGGCCTCTCGGGAGGCTGTACCAGTAAAATGGTGAGACATCGTGCCAAACTTGCTGCAGCCGCCGCCGCCAAACACGAGCTTAGCCTCAAAGCCGCCAGCAGCCAACCCCCCTATTTATTATTTTTAATCCTCACCCGAGGAGATTTTTACGTTTATCGTCAGATAGAGTTGGAGGGAGGCAGGGAGAGAGAGACACATTGACTGTGCTTCCCGCACGACCCAACCAGGGCCGGGATCGAACCGCAACCGAGGTACGTGCCCTTGACCGGCATCGAACCTGCAACTCATTGGTCTGCGGGCCTACGCTCTAACCGCTGAGCCAAACTAGCCAGGGCTGTATGATTAGTTTTTAAATTACAGTGAACAGAATATAGACAAAGATGGCCCAGAGGGAATGATACCATGATGGAGGACCAGCAGCCAACAGGTCAGAGAAACAAACCTGCCAGTACTTCAGGTGCTGGAATGATCAGGCAGAGACTGTAAATTTGATGTTTTGTTTTTATTTATGTTATTTTTTTGCATTTATCTTCAGACAGAGTGGGAGGGAGCCGGGGGGAAGAGAGAGAGAAACATCGACATGAGACACACTGACTGGCCACCACCCACACGACCCCAACCTGCGCCGGGGACAACTGAGGTACGTGCCCTTAGCAGGAACCGAACCTGGGACTCACTGGTCCGTGGGCTGACGCTCTAAGCGCTGAGCCAAACTGACCAGGGTTAAATTTGATGTTTTAAAGAAATAAAAGACAAAATTGGAAATGTCCTGGCCAGTTTGGCTCAGCGGTTGGAGCGTCAGCCTGCAGACCAGAGAGTCCCGGGTTCGGTTCCTGCTAGGGGCGTGTACCAAAAAAAAAAAAAAAAAAAATTGGAAATGTCTGCAGGGAATGGGAAACTATAAGGTGAGCCCTGGAAGATTTTTAAAGGAATCACAATGAAAGAATCCACAGGTAGGTTTCATAGCAGGCTAGACACAGTTGGAGAAAAAGTCAATTGGACGAAGTGCAGAACTGGAGCACAGTGTGGAGAGGAAGGGCTGGGGGCCCCCGTGTTCCCTGAGCCCCAGCTAACTTCACTGCTTTCATCTCAGTCGACACACAGCTGTTCCCCCAACTTATTTTCCTGTTGTCGGTCACAAAGTCTTGCTCACTGCAACTCCTAAGTGTCTAAATGTCCACGTTTCCCCAACTCCCTGACCGCTCTGTGGGGCCAGGCTCTCTCCAGTCCCTCAGCATCTTCCTAAATGCCCACCTTGGCATCTCTGGTAAAGCCCAAGTCTTTAACGTGGCCTCTGTGTGCACCGCTCCCCAGTCTGGCCCTCACCGCTTGGCAGGCCGCCCTGCAGGTCTGCCCTTGCTTCCAGCCACCGCACTTCCCCCATGAAGAGCCAAAGCCAAGTTCATGTCAACCTAAAAGCCAAACTTTTTAGAGGATCTAGGTAAAAGCCAAGTCTTTAAATTCATTAATATATTACATGTTCACATTTCAACTAATTTATTGCACAGAACAGTTCTTTTTCACTCATTTAAAAAAATCAAATTCTTGCCCTGGCCAGTTTGGCTCAGCAGTTAGAGTGTCAGCTTGTGGTCCAGAGAGACCCGGGTTCGGTTTCCACTAAGGGCGCGTGTGCCTAGGTTGCAGTTAGTCCCTGGCCCTGGTTGGGTCGTGCGGTGGCAGCCACTCAATGTGTCCCTTTCACGTCGATGTTTCTCTCTCTTCCTCTCTCCCTTCCACTCTATCTGAACAAAAAATGGAAAAATGTCCTTGGGTAAGGATAAAAAAAAAAAAAAATCAAATTCTTCATCTTCATCATTAGCATCGGTCTGGTTACCCCTGGTGCCACCTGTGGGTCAGCTGACCAAGTTCTATAGGGTCCGCTGGCTAAGCTGTTTGAGATCCAGCACCACTTTCTGGATTCATGCATGCTGCTGTCACTGGAGATGTTATCCCAAGCCCGAGTGCCCATTGGCAGAACATTCAGACAGTGGATTTAAAAAATCCTGTAAGGTCTGGCTGGTGTGGCTGTGGTTGAGTGTTGACCCTGCACCAAGAGGTCACTGGTTTGATTACTGGTCAGGGCACATGCCCAGGTTGTAGGCCTGGTCCCCAGTGGGGGGCATGTAGGAGGCGGCCAATTGATGTTCTCTCTTATCGATGTTTCCATCTCTCCCTCTAAAATCAATAAAGGAAAAAAAAACAAACTTAAAAATCCTGTAGAAAATAAAAAACAAAAACAAGCCTGGCTGGTGTGGCTCAGTATTGAGCATCGACCCATGCACCAAGAGGTCGCCAGTTTGTTTCCTGGTCAGGGCACATGCCCAGGTTGTGGGCCAGATCCCCATGGGGGGGTATGCAGGAGGTGGCCAATTGATGTTCTCTCTCATCCATGTTTCTCTCTCTTCCCTCTCTCTCTAAAATCAATAAAAGAGCCCTGGCCTGTTTGGCTCAGCAGTTAGTGTCAGCCCGCAGACCAGAGAGTCCTGGGTTTGGTTCCTGCTAAGGGCACGTACCTCAGTTGCAGTTTGTCCCCGGCTCCAGTTGGGGTGGCAACTGCTCAATGTGTCTCTCACATCGATGTTTCTCTCTCTCTCTTCCTCCCTCTTTATCTGAAGATACATGCAAAAATGTCCTCGGGTGAGAATAAAAAATAAAATCAATAAAAGAAAAAAAAAGCACAAAAACCACAAAAAAAGAATAAAAAATAAAAAATCCTGTAGGTGTGTCATCTCTCCAACACTTCCTTCCATGTGTCCAGAGGCCTTGGAAGCACCTGCTTATCCCACACCCAGCACTTCCAAGGTTGGGGTCACAGGTCACACTCAGGAGTAATTACTGAATTTGTTTCTCAATCTTTTCCTTCCTCACCAGGGACCTCTAAACATTCCATGTAACACTGATGTTTTAGGCTCTACTGAATTGAGTTAGCCTTCAGGGGTGCACCAGAGCCGCCTGCAGGGAGGTGCCTGTGCCCCCAGCACAGGAGCGCTTTGCTGAGGGCTGTCCTACAGGAAATGTTGCTGATTCTTCCATCAAGGGCCATGCAGACCTCAGGCCCCAGGTGTGCTCCTGTTCTATCAAGATGGAGGAGCCCTCAGTATCGGGACGTGAGAATGGCTTCTAGGAGCTGAGAGTGGACCCCAGCCAGTAGCCAGCAAGCCAGTGGCACCTCAGTCCTACAGCTGGGAAGGATCGATTCTGCCAACATCCAGTGAGCTTGGAAGAGGATCAGAGCCCAAATGAAATGGAAGCCACAGCTGACACCTCGATTTCAGCTACTGAGACCCTGAACAGAGAACCCAGCCATGCCATGCCTGCCCTTTGACCTCCTGGAACTGTGGGATGATAAGCAGGTAGTTTTAAGCCCCCCATCCCCCACCCTGGCCGGGTTGGCTCAGCGGTTGGAGTGTCGGCCTATGGACCAGAGAGGCCCGGGTTAGGTGTCCACTAGGGGCATATACAAAAAATAAAAAAATAAGCACCCCCCCCAAAATTGAGTAAGCCTTTATATAAGATCTGTAACACCCAACTGCAAGGGAATATCCTCAGTTCTGAAGGAGAATCTTTGGGGAAAATCCTGCCTTATATTCAGGTCTGTATGGTTCTTAGAACTTGAGTTTTGGGAGTCCCAGGTGTCTGTCCATGCAGTGTCCGTGGCCTGGCTTGCTGTCCCCTCCCATGTGTCCCCACCCTAGCACTGCTCACACAGCACTCACTCAAATCCTGCTGTGGGTCCCCACTTCCTGGGACTCCCAGGAGCTCCCAGAGGGAGCAGAATCACCCCCACTGTACAGATTGAGGCCTGAGTCCAGGGCGTTTCCTCCCGCGGCCTCCTTCTCCACCCCTGCCCCGTAATCTGAGTGGGTGTGGCGTGGCGCTAGGGGCTTGGCTACAGGGACTCCTCATACCCTGTCCTGAAGTGTGGCTTCTGGGAATCTCTGTTCTGCTGTTTAGTAACTTGGTACTTTTACCTCTCTGAGCCTTGTTTTCTTGTCTGTAAAAAGGAGAAAACCATAGGACCCATCCTCACGTGACTATCACCGGCCAGGCCATGAAGCTCCTCCTCTCACAGGCTCAGTGAACTCTCCCGCCCAACCCCCAGCGTTTGCTCTGGGTTTCTGCGTGCCTTAGGGTCAGTGTCCCTCAGAGCAAGACTCCTCTCTCCACATACAGCCCACCTGACTTAGGCAAGACATCCTGCTTCTGGGGATGGGGACAGGAAGTTTTAGAGTTCTGATCAGGTGGTCGTGTGATCTGGGGCATAACTCCTGTTGGGCTCAGTGGGGGCTGCAGGATGAGGCCTTGGGCCGAGTGTCAGCCACACATGGTCCACCAAACCCAGGCCTATCGGGCCCCACAGCCCCCTGGGAGAACCGTACCCACCCACCCACAGCCCATGGTACTGGAGAGGCCTAAGTCATGGGTAGGTGGGAGTCGTCTGAGAATGCAGACCCGGGTCTGGAGCCATTCTGCCCAGAGCCCTGAGGTCAGAGCTGGCCCCAGGCTCCCTAGCCTAAGCTTGAGCCCCTCATCGAGTTCTCTGGAAGCCCTTGGGCCACTGGCTGCTTGGACACCAGATGCAGGGAAAGCTGGAAGGAGGCCGGGTGTCCGCCCCCACCTGCCTACCTCCTCAGCTGGAACGCCTCTTCACCAAGAAATTTTCCCTTTATTAATTACCTCGCATGTTACTATTATACAACCAGGAACATGGTTCAGGAATCAAATTGAGTGGAAGCAAGTGAGCCAGGGCCCTTGAGCCACATTCTCCAAAAGGGCATGGCAGTCCTGTGAAGACAGCCCTTCCCCAGGACCCCTCGCACCCTGGCCTCTCAGCCTCGGGGAAGCCTGGAGTCCCCCCCACTCCAGACAGTCCTGTCTTTAGGCCCCTGGAGATTGAGGATGGGGGTGCAGGTCCGGCCCTGTGTGCAGATGGCAGGGAAATTGAGAAAAGGACTCCCCAGTCTCCCACGCCGGCGGGGGATGGACCGCTTCCGTTCTTCAGAGGAAGGCCTCCGTAGATGATACGTGGGGTGCCGGGACCGACGTCCTGCTCAGCCCAGGAAGCTGGGGTGGCCCATGGAAGACATCTGGCTTGGGCCTGCAAGCCCCACTGGGGGCGCCAGGCCTGGCTCGGTCAGATCTGCAGAGCCCACGGGGAGAGGAAGCCAAGAGTGGAGCCCTGGTGGGTGGCTCATCTGAAGGTGGCGTGGCCATGGCACCGGCAGCCCTGAACACGGGAGCTCAGAGGTTGGCCCGGAGGTGGCTCTGCAGCAGAGTACGCATGTCCAGGAGCGCCTTCTCCAGGTAGTGCGCCATGCGGGCAGCGTTGGTCTCGGCACAGCTGTTGTAGGCTGACACCGAGAAGTTGATGTGCGCCTCCGAGGGGTTATAGCAGATGCCGTAGCCGTCTGGGACCACAGGCCCAAAGAACATGACACAGTCTACCTTGGAGGGGACCTAGGGATGGCACAGGACTAAGGCTCTTGCCCCGACCCCACCGGGTCCCCTCCAGCCCCTTAGTGGCACCAGCCTGCCTTCCTCCATCTCCGCTCCTGCTGCGCTCTGCCCGAGACACCCTTTCCTCTTCTCCATCAGCCTCCACGAAACCTTCTTTACATTCCTGGGGAGCTTTAACTGCTCCCTACCCTGGCCTCCCCAGCACTTCCGGGGGGCCATCAATACCTCAGTCCCTGTGCTTCCAGCCTACACTGCGAGCCCCTGGGGAAGGGACAGTGTTGTCCCTGCTGTGTCCCAGAACTCAGCACTGTACTGGCTGGCAGGGATCGGATGTTCCTTCGTGTCTGACTGGTGAATAAATGAAGCAGATCCTCCCCTGGGGGAGCCTGCCTGAGATATAGTGAAGCCCCCTGACCCCAGTTCCTCTGCCAGAACTCAGCCACTTTGGCAGTGGCCTATGGTGGCCTGTGTGGGCCACGCTACCACCGAGGTCTCACTGCAGCCTCTGTTCCATCCCACCCCAGGGCGCCTGGGGCAGGGGCCCACCTGGCTGGTGGAGAGGTTGAAGTGCATGGCAATGGCGTAGGAGGTGTCCATGAAGATGTCAGGCATGCTCACCAGGTCCTCGATGGCCTGCAGCTTCAGGCCCAGCAGGTGCCGGTCAAAGGCCTCCCCGCGGATGGCCTACAGAAGGGGTGCTGTCAGGAGCAGGGGCTGTGGGACCACAGGGCGCTGCTGCCCTCCTCAGAAGCCTGTGGCAGCAACACCTCTTCCATTTACTGGCTTCTCAGACCCATGAGACCAGAGCAGCCAGGCAGGTGAGCCTTCATTTCACAGATGGGGAAACTGAGGCCCAGGAAGGCAGGACAGTGTAAGATTTAAGAGCACAGGCCTGGAGCTGGGTGGCCTAGCCCCATCCTAGCTGTAGGACCTTGGCAGGTCACTTACATCTTGGAACCTCAGTGTCTTCATCTGTAAAATGGGGGCGTCAGTGGGATCTAAATGAGCGTCTGCCTGTACCATGGGAAGAGCCTGGTACACAACTGCTCAGAGACAGGGTCAGGATGGGAATCCAGACCTACCCGCTACTGACTGTAGCCCGAGATGTCAGATGGCAGGAACCCTGTTGTCTGCCTACTGTGTATACCCTCAGCATCCTGGGCTCCAGGGCACTGGGGAGAGCATGACACAAGATCCAGAGGCTCCCCTGGAACCTGGGACCAGGGCAGTCACTGGTCCCAGTTTCTCCAACTTTAAAATAGGGATGTTCAGCCTTGTTCCAGGTACCCCACGGATCAGGGGAGGGGTTGTTCAAGCTAAGGGTGAGCAGAGATTTGCTGCAGTGATGGACAGGCAGGTGTACAGACAGGTGGGAGATGCTGAGGGTCAAGCGAGTAGGGACAGAAAGGGCTCACTCACCCGGTCAGTGTAGGCTCGGTGGGCCTGCACGGCCTTCCGCAGTAGCTCTACCTTCTCGTGCTCCTGTGGGGGTGAGGGTAAGAAGGAGCTGAAGTGCGGTCCCTCCCACTCATCTCAGGAGTCCACTCCCCACCAGCACTACATTCTGAGAGGAGGAAGTGGAACTACCATCACTCTACAGCAGATGCTCACTGCTGAGGAGTGAATGAATGAAGGAATGGTTCCCTTTTCTCTTGGGCTGCCAGGAAGCTCAGAGCTTCATCTTCTGTTATATTCCCAGCACCCACCATCGGGCTGGAATACAGTAGGTACTCAATCAATGTGTGTTGACAGAGTGAACAGGAAGGTAGATGGCTCAAGTGCAGCTCACCCACCTTCACCCTGAACCTCTCACCGTCACATTGGGGTCATCCATGGCTTTGACAAAGGTCAGTGAGTCCACGGAGGCTGAGCGGATGGTGTCAGTACGGCCCAGGTGAAACATGCGCAGGGAGGCACTTTCATACGTGGCACATGCCTGCCCATAGATCCTAGGTGGGAGAAGGGGGTGAGCACATCCCACCTCTGCCCCCAGGTCTCATCCCGCTTTCACGGGTGGGCAGGGCAGGGCACACCTGTAGTAGGCCAGCTGGAGCGCCATCTGGATGAAGGCGTCGGGGCTCAGCTTCACTGACTTGGGGAAGTCTTTTCCAAAGTGGTGGAACACTGTCACAATCATGTCCAGATCCTGGATCATGCTGGGGATTCAGGAGGAGGAGGTGAGAAGCAGGCACCTGACGGCCTTGCCAAGCCCAGGGAGGGAGGTCTCAGAACCATCTGGGCACAATGACAGACCTGGAACAAAAGCCTGTCAGACTTGAGGGACCTGGGTCCCCAACCCAGTGCCCAGCACTCACATGCCGAGGTTCTGCTTGGCTTTCTCAATGTCATTCTTGATTTCAGGGGTGATATTGAACCGCAGCTTCTTGGGCATGGGCAGGGGCACCATGGGAGATCGCACGGCCTCGGCCTTCTTTCTGCATGGACATGGGGGCCTCAGGCTCATGCTGGTGCTGGGGGAGCCTGGGTCCATCCTTGGAATCAGGGTGGGGAGGATGGACCCCTGAAGTTGGAGGGGGCTAGCCCAGGGAGACTCTTGAGTTTATTCTTCTGAGACTACCTCCAGCTTCCAAGTGGCCAAATGAAGGACGCCTGGAGAAGGGACGGGACTTGTCCAAGGTCATGCAGCTGGAAAGTAGCTGAACCAGAATTCAAAACCTGGTTTGTCTGGCTCTAAAACCCATTCCCTCTTCTGGCCTCCTTTGAAGAAACAGATTCCCAGACATAGGAAAATGCCATTCTCCCACCAGGTAGTCTGTCACCTGTCACCAGGAACTGGGGAAATGGGTGGAGGGGGGAACCACACTCACGTGTACTCAATGACGTGGTCCACAAGGGCGATGATGGGAGGCCCCTCTGCTGCTGCGTGCTCGTAAACAAGCCCACAGGAGCCATCTTCTGCCACGATGAACTGTGAAGGGGAATGGGGACCTGTTAGCCCCCGGTCTCTGGAGCCACTCTTTGGTTGGGTCCCAGAGGAAGTCACCTCGGGGGTTATGCTGACTTACTACGGTTGTTAATAAGAGCTAACACTCATCAGGGGTCTTGGGCCCATCCCAGGCCACCCAAGCACACCCCATGCTCGTATACTTCATTGAGTCCCCACAGCCACTCTAGCGAGGAGCCCTACCACAAACACAGTTCACAGTTGCAGGAAAGAAAGTCATGGTCAAGACTGCACCGCGCTCGCCTGGCCTCCGATGTGCTGTAGGGCTGTGCTGAGAGTGACAGCGGTTTCTAGGCCGCTCAGTAATGACAGGCTGGTTGCTTGGTAATTACAGCCGCGTCCACTTGCTGGCTTCCACCGGCTTTACGAGCTAGGAGGCCAGGGACGCCCTGGCGAGGGGCAGGAAGTCCTGAGGCTGCAGGGGACCAAGTGTGGATATGTGTCGGGGTGGAAGCCAGCGCCCTGCCAGGTCCTCACCTGCAGCGTCTTGTCGAACCAGCGGTTGCCGCTGTTGAGCTTGCTGCCACCCCCGTGCAGCATCTGGCCGGCCACTTGGCTGCGGTACATGTCTTCTGAGACCCGAGGCATGACTGCGTCCAGGCACAAGGTGAAGATGCTCTTCTGGATGGAGTATACTGACTCCCGGTTCACCTTGTCTGCAGGCGGCATGGTGGGGAGGGGACACAAAATGGTGGTGTCAGGCCTCGGGCAGCCTGGGAAGCCTCCAGAATGTTCGCTGAGTGCTGGGACGGGCTTCAGAGATTCACACTAAACAGGGCCCTGCAGCTCCACAGCACCCTGTGAGGTAGCACCTCATGCCTGGCCCACTTTATTTTTTTATTTTTTATTTTATTTTTTTATCCTCACCTGAGGACATTTTTTCCCCATTTTTTGTTCAGATAGAGTGGGAGGGAGAGAGAGGAAGAGAGAGAGAAACATCGACATGAAAGGGACACATCGAGTGGCTGTCACCCACACGACCAACCAGGGATGCCTGGCCCACTTTAGAAAAGAGGAAGCAGCCCGGCCAGTGTGGCTCAGTGGCTGAGCATTGACCCTGCACCAAGAGGTCGCAGGTTTGATTCCCGGTCAGGGCACATGCCCAGGTTGTGAGCCTGATCCTCAGTGGGGAGCACGCAGGAGGCAGCCGTTGATGTTCTCTTTCATCGATGTTTCTCTCTCTCTCTCCTTCTCTAAAATCAATAAAGAAAAATAAATTAAAAAAGAAAAGAAAAGAAAAAGAGCCCTGGCTGGTTTGGCTCAGCAGTGGAGTGTCAGCTCGCGGACCAATGACTCGTGTGTTCGATTCTGGTCAAAAGTACGTACCTTGTGGTTCGTTTGTCCCTGGCCCTCGTCAGGGTCGTGCGGGAGGCAACCAGTTGGTGTGTCCCTCTCACGTCGGTGTTTCTCTCTCTCTCCCTTCCTCTCTCTCTAAGGGAAATAAAGAAAAAAAATAGAAAAGAGGAAGCAGAAGCCCAGGGTCTCACAGAGAGCCATGGTGGCCGTCAGGGATCCCACACAGGTGTCTGACTCAGGGACAATGCCCCTGACTAACATGGGGTTTGAGGGGGCTGTGACAGCAGGGGGGGGCTCCTCAGCCAGGGGACTTAGACTCTCATCCCATTTGCTACTTAATAGAGGGAAACAAACTTGACCCAGTTGACTTTCCTGAACTGAGGCTAACAACACCTGCTCTGAATTGAGAGGATTCAGTGAGAAACGAGGCCACCCACAGCCAGGTGTGCACAGAGGCCGGGATGTGGGCCTGGCCTCCCACCTTCCCTGACCCGGGGCACCTTTGATGAGGGTGTTGTATGCCTTGGCCCAGGAGTTGCGGTGGTTGGAGGTGAGGATGCCCACGGGCTCTTTGTTGGTTTGCAGCGACGAGTTCCAGATCTTCTCCAGCTGCACGAAAATCTGATCCGAGGTAAGGGGCGTCCCATCGCTGTGGTACACGTCCAACTCAAAGAACTGCCGGTGCAGGCAGGTGCATTGAAAAAGGCTGGTGAGGATCAGGACTGGGCGCAGTCAAGTCCCCCCGCCAGCCTCCTCCTGGCCCAGTGAGTGCTGTCCTGGGCCCAGCTGAGGGGACAAAGTCAGGCCAAGGCTGAGAAATGGGGAGGATGCCCTTGCATTGTTCTCCCCAGGCTGGGCAGGCCCAAGGCCCCTCTTGGCATCCCTGAGGCTGACGCCTAGCCGGGCACCCAGTGGAGACGCCCAGGACATGCCAAGTCCTGTAGGCATGTGTGTGGGGGAAGTGGACTTTTGGCCTGCAGTAGTGTGGGGGCTGAGGCCTGGGGGGCCACCCACCTGGTAGTTGTGTACCACTGTGATGTGCGTGGGCGGCTTCTTGATCTTGCTGAAGTTGATGACGGAGTCCTGCTTGGGGCCTGGGACGCGGCAGGAGGACAGGATCTGATAGTACTGGTTCATGCACAGCGGCTTTCCGCCCAGGTACTCCACAGGCAGGGTCTCACTGTGGGGCGGGGGACAGTGAGGGGCTGCTGGGAAGTGCGAGGGGAGGAGGGAGCTGCTGGGTATGGCTGGGGGCTGGGCCAGCTGAGTCAGGTTTTATAGCAGCAGTGTTTCCCTACTTCCCCTTAGTCTGAGCAGGGGGCCTGGCAGAGCTGGGCTGGGGTCAGGAGGCCTGCCGTGAGTCACCCTGGAAACTCCCTCCCCCAATCTGGGCTTTAGTTTGCCAAGGGGGAGATGAAGCAGCCAGTCAACCTTTGGGCCTCTTTGGCTGGGACACCAATTCCAGGGGCCTTTAGGGATAGGGTCACCAAGAGTCCCGGAAGCTGGAACAGGACCTAGGTGTCCCAATCCGCAGGCTGTCTCCCCAACCCCAACAGAGGCCGGGCCAACAGGAAGTGAAAGCAACCGAGTTCTGGGCCTGCCCAGCACCCAGAGCTTGGGGTCAGGCTGGGCAAAGCTGGAATGTCTGTGTCATTTGGGCAGGCAGGGTGAGGGCGGGCCCGACTGCTCACTTGTCAACCATGGCCTTGAAATCCAACACGCCCTCGATGAATTTGGCAGCAAACCTAGAGGGAACATCAGAGATCAGAAGCTGTGTGGACACCTGTAGGGTGAAAGGAATGACCGACTGCTTCACACACTGCTGGTAGATGTCTGAAGGGGTTTAAGTTCAGGATCTGTGTTCAAGTCCCAGCTCCGTCTTCTGAGCCTACTTTCTTTTTCCTATTTTATTTATTTATTTATTTTGTATGTGCCCCTAGTGGGAAGCGAACCCGGGACTCTGTGGTCTGCAGGGCGACACTCCAACCGCTGAGCCAAACTGGCCAGAGCTGAGCCTGCTTTCTTGCAACCTCTAGAGGGAGATGTGGAGGGCTCAGGGAGAAGCTGTTGGCCAAATGCCTGGCAAGATTTAGGTGCTAAGGCACAGCAGCATGATCATGGCTGGATTATGGGTCAGTGAGGCTGGTTCCACCCACAAAGGGCCCGAGCCCCTGAACCACAGTCTGGAATCTGGAAGGAGGACACCCTTCTCTCAAGAATCAGTTACAGAGGGACTTGGGACCCCAGGGGAGGGGGAGTGTGAATGGGAGGGCAGTGGCTCAAAGTGTCCCCTCTCCTAGGTCCCTATTTCTGGACCTCTGTGTCTCCCAGGCCACCTCTCGTACTGGCTTTCCTCCCTGGACTATCTGGGCTACACCAACCATGTCCAATGCCTGGGCTGCCCTTGGCCCCCAACATGGGGACCACCAGCTGAAGTTCCTGGGCCTGAACCCCCAGAACTTCCCAGGGTACCCTGGTGTCTTTAAGAGAAGCAGGTGGTACCCTGGCCAGTTTGGCTCAGTGGTTAGAGCGCCAGCCTGCAGACCAGAGAGTCCTGGGTTCAGTTTCCTCTAAGGGCACATACCTTGGTTGCAGTTTGTCCCCGGCCCTGGTTGGGGCCATGTGGGTGGCAACTGGTCCATGTGTCTCTTTCACGTCGATATTTCGCTTTCTCTCTCTTCCTCCCCTTCTCCCTCCCACTCTATCTGAACATAAGTGCAAAAATGTCCTCGGATGAGGATTAAAAAAAACAAAAACATAAAAGAGAGAAGCAGGTGGTGACTAAGACTGGCTGGTACTTGGGCAGGAGATCTCTGTCACTTGTATTTTTATCTTTGGTAGGACTGGAACAGAGGCCAGGGCAAGTGACATGGCCAAATGTGGGGAAAAGAACTGTGTACAAAGTTCACCCCTATGGCCAGAGGAGAGAGGGAAGGCGGGGTGAAGTGCCAGAACTGGGGTGTGGGTAGCCTCAGGTTTCAGGAGAGAGAGAGGGGACCCAGTCCACAGTGTGGCAGTGAACAGTTATGAAGCTTTGGAGCTGGGAAGACCCTGCTTCCTGTCCCAGCTCCACTAATAATAAAAGGTGATCTTGGGCAGGTACCCTCACTGCTCTGAGCCTCAGTCTCCCCATGTGTAAAATAGGAGTGAAGCTCACTACTTCATAAGGCTATTTGTGGGGATGAAAGACAATGAGCAGGGCAGGGGCCCCTCCAACCTCCCGGAAGCAGTGGATGGCAGGGCCCTGGAAGTGCCCAGGAGCCTGGCCCCTGCCACCTCCTGGCCCTGCCTCAGCTGCAGCCACTCACCGGAGCTGTCCCTGCAGATCCACAAAGTCCTGCCTGGGTAGCACTAGGCCGGGGCTGGAGTAGATGACCAGGGGTTGACGGTACTGGAGGTAGGCCGTCTTGAGCCACCACTCGGACAGCTGGGGAAAGGACCAGAGCTTGTCAGGACGGGTGGGTGGGGACTTGTTGACCCTTCCTCTCAGGACCAGGGGATCCTCTGCCCCTTTGTAGAGCATACACACACACACACACACACACACACACACACTCACACTTTTTGTTAATCTTCACCCGACGATATTTTTTCTATTGATTTTTAAAACGAGTGGAAGGGAGGGAGGGGGTAGGGGAAGAAAACAGGCAGAAATGTGAATTGTGTTTCTTTATCTTACAAACTTTGGTCAATTGGTTTTACTGCTTTTAGAAATAAAAATGTATGCTTGAAAGATAGAAAAGTAGAGGAAGATATGGGAAAAGAAGTTCCAGTGAGTGAGTTTTGCCTGTTCCAAATGGGCATTCTCCAGGAAAGCAGGGGCCCAGTGGTCAGCGTAGAGCTGGAGACCCTGGTCCTCTGCGCCTCGGCTCTGTTGGTGTCAGACTCAAGGGTAGACACTCACTTGGATCTCAAGGTCAGGGCAATCTGGGGGAAGCTCACTGAGCATAGATTGTTGTACTAGTGACAATATGTGGGCTATAGCCAGTGGGTACGCATCGTCTCTCTGGGGACCTACCATGGACTTGTCTTGGAGCTGTGCAGTTCCAGGTGACTGTCACCCTTGAGCCTTATGTGCTTGACTGCAACACTCTCTGTCCTACCCTCCTGCCAAGAATATGCCCAACAAACCTCTCTCTGGCAGCTCCTTTAATCCCTGGAGACCTGCCGCTCACTGTGCTTCCTCATCCCATCTCAAAGAGCAGTGGGACTGAATGTACCTCTTTACCAACCAGCCCTCCCTTGGAAACTGCTGGTCTGTGGCACCAGGCCATTAGCCTTGGGCCTTGGCAAGGGGCAAGGAGGGGTGGCATGCCCAGGCTGCACAGCACACCAGTGGGTGCTTGCTGTCTGCTGAGCTGTCGCCTGTTTGAAGGGGTTGCGGGCCAAAGAAGTTACCAACTGCCGGACCCGGATACTCTCAGTTCCCGACCCTGGAGTCCGAGGCCCTGCCCCGCCCAGGCCCAGCACAGCCGATGGTTCTTGCCTCCTACGTGCAGCCCCCACCCTTCCACCTGCTCCCTCAGAGCACCTACTTTACGGGGCCAGACCTGGCTTTGCTTCTCTTCTACAAACCTGCCTTTCCCTTGGTCATCCACCTCTCCGTAAGGCCCCCTCGCCCTTCCTCCACACAGTTGCTTTAGGTCAGGACTGTCCCCCCTCCCAGCAACTCTACTGGCAACAAAACACATTCTGGACTGAATGACTTTCCGCCCTCTCCCTGCAGCGTCTCCCTCGGGGTGATGGCACCAGCCTTCCCACCCGCCCCCTGCTCCCACTCTTGCTTCCCTCCCAGTGGCCAGGGTGGCCAGCATAAACCTTATGTTGAGGTAAAAGACTCATACCGAAAAGTACACAGAGCATCAGCGTAGACACATTTCCACAAGGTGAACACACCTGTGTGACAGACTGAGCCACAGAATGGGAGCGATGCATCACTGAACACAAATGCCCTGCTTGAAGCCATCCTGCAGCCCTTTGCCACCGAGCTCAAGGCCAAGTGCCTTCTGCTTGCACCGCTCCCTCCCACCTCACTCCAGACCGTCTGTTCCCGAATCCACCAGACTTGCTGCCTTTGCCTGTGCTGCACCTTCTGCCGGTTGCTCTCAGATTCGACCTCCTCCCTGCCTTCCCTCCCCCCAGAGTAAAGACGCTGCCATTCTCCACCCCTCTCTCATCACCCTTTTTTATTTCTAAAGACATTCACCGCCTGAAATGACCTTGATCACTGGCTGTGTTTTGTTTAATCACCTTTCTCCCTGCCCTACTTGAGTGTCAGCTCCAACGGGCCATCACGGTGTCTTTCTTTCTCATCTAGCACTCTGCCTAGTGCCGGGCACAGAGTAAGAGTTCGTCTACACTGTAGGATGCACACCGTAGGAAGCTCACAACGACCCACAGCCTCTGAGAAGGCCTCTGTTCCCCTTATCCTCTGTGGGAACTGGGGGATCGGTGCATCCTCAGTTCTTTTTTTTAAATCCTCATCCGAGCATATTTTTTCATTTATCCTCAGATAGAGTGGGAGGTGGGGGTGGGGGCAGAGAGAAATATCGATATGAGAGGGACACATCGATTGATTGCCTTCTGCATGACCCCGACAAGGGCCGGGGACCGAACTGCAACCCAGGTATGTGCTGTTGACTGGAATCGAACCCGTGACGCTTTGGTCCACAGGCTGATGCTCTAACTGCTGAGCCAAACCGGCCAGGGCTACCCCCCAGTTCTTACTCACCCAGTTCTCCATCTTCCTGGCCCTGCGCTCCAGCCCCTTCTGCAGGCGCTCTCCGACTCCCCCTGCAGCCTGAAACTCTTCCACCAGCTGCTTGGTGTGGGCCCATTCCTCCTCGCTCACAATGGGCTGCAGTGTCTTCAGGTAATGGTCCAGAGACTGCTGGAGGGGGGGCACGGGCAGCCGGGGCAGGGAGTCCTGGTGCGCCTTGAAGCGGCTGGCAACCTTCGTCAAGGAGGAGGGCTTCAGGAAGCCCAGGGGCTTCACCTGCAGGCAGCAGAACATCCTGCTCATTCTCTCACCAGCTCTGGGAGGCCCTGGTAATCCCAAGCTGCAGTCCTGGGTACTTATGTGCCCATCTCTGGGGTCAGAGACAGCCTCTTGGGTGGTGCCAGCCTTGGCTTCCCAGTCCTCCAGCTATAGGTGTCTCCACCTCCACCTCTAGGGCCTGGAGATGCATATGTAGGGATGGGGGAGGGTGGGGTGTGGCAACTGATCTTGACAGGGCTCAGGATAAATGGCATTTGTTGGGGATGGCGGAGGTGAGAGGACCTCTCACCTGTCTGAAGGCACAGGGCCCCACCTTTCTCACCCTGGGACTATGAGCCAGTCAGCAGTGAGGTGACTGTTCCTCCCAGAGGACCCCACCTCCTTTTCTCCCACCCTTGCCAGGTTGAGAAACAGGAGGAAGAGAAAATCAGAGAGAGCCAGATGATTACAGCACCTTTGGATAAGGGTGAAGCCAGACTTTTTTCCTGTCTGTGGGATGGGGAAGGGGGTGGCATGGGGCAGCGCTGCGGCAAGAAAGAGCTGAGTGGCCTGGCAAGGAGGGTGAGAGGTGGCAGAGAGAGTCCGGAGGCTCTGAAGGCGGGCAGAAGGAGAGACGGGAGGGTCTGAGGCTACTGGCAGCAGTAGGCGGGCAAGCGGCAGAGGCTCTGTTCCATACCTTCTCTTTCTGCTGCCCGTCCTCCATGGCAGGACTGAGGTTCTGAGCCCTGTCTGTCTGCCTTGGGCTGGATCTCTAAGCCTAACTGTGCTACCAAGTGGGCGAGCAGAACCTAGCAAGAGGCAGCCACTTGCCTGGGCTGGAAAGAGAAGACAAGAGCCAAGATTCAGGGGGGAGGCAGAGGTGGCAGTGGCGATCGCTGTGGTGGCATCTGGGGCTGTGGCTGTGGCAGGAGAAGCTGCTCCACCTGCCCTAGCTTCCAGAAGTGGGTGAGAGGACTGGTGTGGGCACTGGAGTAGAAGTAAACCTAGAATACCTTTTCCTTTCTCCTCTGGATGGGCCCAGAGCCAAGGAGGCAGGCCAAGAGGTGTTTAAAAAATCCACCTGCTAGAATCTGTGGAGGTCTGTTTGACGAAGGAAAACTGAGGGCAAAAACTGACTAGGTGCCAAGTATACTTCAACCCTGAGCTCAGTCCGGAAAGTCGGGGTTGGTGCAAGGGGGCAGGCACTGGGAAAGAGCACATGTGGACAGCGGCCACTAAGAGCCCTGCCCATCCTCTGTTTCCAGCCTCGTAGGAGTCCTTCTAGGCCACCCTTCCACCAAAGCCTGGTTCTCTCGAGTTGTAGCTCATTCAGCTGGGGGCCAAGAGTAGAGGACTTTAGGTGTTAAAAATAAACCAAAGTCCCTGGCCGGTGTGGCTCAGGGGTTAGCGTGTTGGCCCTTGGACCAAAGGGTCTTGGGTTTGATTTCTAGCCAAGGGCATGTACCTGGGTTGCAGGTTCAATCCCCGGCCCAGGTTGGGGGCACGTGTGGGAGGCAACCAACCGATGTGTCTCTCTCACATCGATGTCTCTTTCTCTCTCTTTACCCCGCTCCCTCCCTCCCTTCCACTCTCTCTAAAAACAATAGAGAAAATATCCTCAGATGAGAATTAAAACAAATAAGTGAGTAAATAAATAAGTAAATAAACCAAAGGACACTGGCTTTGGGATTGGACTAGATTTGAGTCACCAGATCTAGGGGATCCTGGCCAACTCTCTCCTTGCCTTGGTTCCCCCAGCAGTAAAGTGATCAGGTCACCCAGTAGGTCCTGGAGAATGATCTACAGGATGTTTGTGGGATGGGGACACAGCTGAGGTGGCAGTGGTAAGAGTGAGGTGGAGCCTTAGGGTCCTGAAAGAGTCTCTCACCAGAAGCCAGTGGACACGGACCCTCAGTTCTCTGGGCCTGGTGTGTCTGCTTGAACCTCGTACTTCTTGGCACAGACAGAGGGAGATACAAACAAACATACGCTTGGCATAGAGAATAAAGGAATCCAAATCAGAGTACTAGTAATTCTTGCCACAGGCTGCCCTCTGGGGAGGACTGAGGGGTGGATGTGGAAAGGTTTGGGGAGGGCTGGTGGAGAGGGAGGGCATAGGGCTGCCACCTGCCACCTCCTGCCAGTTCTCAGGACTTTCTGGGCAGACCAACTTGATGCCTCCACGTGAATTTCTCTGGCTACACACGATTCCCCAAGGACCATTTGATAAGTCCAAGGAGGCTGACCAACTGGATGGAGTTGGAAAGTGGCTCTGGCCTGGACAGAGCCAGCTTAGGCTGAGCGTGCAAAGGGCGTGTGCGGCAAAGGATAGGAGCGAGACACACTCCACGTCAGGCGGCTCCATGGCTCCGGGTCTAGGGGTGGGGTTGCTGCCTGAAGCCGGGGTGCCGCTGTCTTTTTCAGGTTGTTGAAATGTAGCGCTACAGGACATGGGTTCCATCCAGCCTCTGACCTTGAACCTCAGTCTCTTCCTCCACCACACCGGGGAAGCCCACCAGCCAGCCTATCCCAGCAGCCGCTGACCAGGCTGGAGAGCGGCCTCCCACGCCGTGTCGCCTCCACTGCCTGTTCGCCTGTTTACTCATCGGGAGCAGCTGCGTGGCTGGCCCGGCCCGAGGCCCGCCCGCTCCGTCCAGGGCCCGCCCGGCCGGGCTCCGGCCGTACTTACCACGGTCCGGACTGCGAATGCCAACATCTCCGCGGCCCGCGGGACACACAGTCCACTCTACACCCCGCGCCGGGCAAAGTCCGCGCCGCCGCCGCCAACGGTGGGTCCCCGCTAGAGCCTCCAAGCCAAGGTCGCCGAGTCACGGCCGCCAGCTGGTACCGGCGGCCCCGCGCCCACCCACCGGGCCGGGCGGTGGCGGGCTGGCGGCCGGGCAGGAGGACTCCGGGCGCAGTCGCCGGCTAACTACGAGCCCCGGAGGCTAGCAGCGAGCGCGGGGCGGGGCCACAGCGCGGGGCGGGGCCGGGGCGCAGGGAGCGGGCCCGGGACTCCGCGAGGCGCTGGGGCCCGGGGAGAGGGGACGAGGCGTGCCGGCCGCTGTCCCGCTCGCTCGCCCCCACCTCCAGATGCCGTCCATGTCTTTGGAGGCAGCGGTGTGCACCCCGCCCAGACCGTCTGGTGTCCTAGAGCACTACTGTCCGTGGTAGGAAAACACGACCATGTTGACAGGGGAATGTCCCCTAATATCCCTCGGGACAGGGTCAGAGCCACGCACAAAGATGACAGGTGGGGACCGCCCCGCAAAAGCATGGCTGCCGCAGCGTCCCTCGCCCGTCCCGCAGAAGCACGGCCGCCGGGCTCCCAGTGCCCCGCGGGCCGCTGTCCGTCGGGTGGCGAGCCGGCCGTTGGTGCGCATGCTCCGGGTGCCCCGCACCAACATGGCCGCCGCCTCCCGGTGAGCGGAGCCCCGCGAGCCGGCCGTTGGTGCGCATGCTCCCTGAGTGCCCCGCACGGACATGGCGGTTATGTTCAGTGGGGTGACTGTAATTCTCGGTTTTCGGTTGTAGCTGGCCGGTGCTCATTTCTCTGCAGAGAGCTCCGAGCGCGGGGAAAGGAAGGGTGGGCGCGGAAGTGAAAGGTGAGGGGACTGTAGGCCTCGGGCCCGCTCGTGGCGGCAGGAAGATGGCTGAGGGCGAGCGGCAGTCGCCACCAGGTAGGGCGCGCCGGGCCGGTCGCGCCAGGTTGGGGGCGTGGGGGCGGTGCCAGGAGTGGGGGCGGGGAAGGGGTGTGGTGTGGGGGCTCGGCAGATGGAGGAACTCGAGGGGCAAGAGCTGGGGGACCCCTAGGAGGAACTAGCGTTGAGGGGCCCTGGGGGAGGGAAGAGCCCGGGACTGCGGCGAAGGGCTGGTGGATGGGGCGCAACACCGGACTTGGGGAGCCCGGGCTGTCCGAGGGTTGGGTGGGCAGCGCCTTGGCCGGAGGGGTGGGGGGGCCTTTTGCACGCCTGGGCTGCGCATACTGAAGTTAGCCCTTGATCCGGTGGGGAAGATGCCAAGGATGGGGGCGTGGGGGTGCCCCATGGGGGTGCTCCGTGGGCCTGGGCCTGCTGGAGCCCAGGACCGGCCTGCCACCCCTCAGACACCGCCCGGCTCTCCGGGGGGCCGGCCCCTGGAGTTTCGGTGGTGGAGTATTTACTGAGCGGCTGCTCCTGCCCGTCTAAACCACTCATTTCAAAAGGCTGTTGATGCAAGAGGTGCGTGTCTGGCCCCGGCAACACTATCTGTAACTTGTATTTACGCTGTGGCCTCCTTTTAATTCGTCTCAAATACCTGGGATGGAGGTGCTAGGGAAGCGATCTTCTTACACCTGTAACCTGGAGAACCGGAAGGCTGCTGACACCCCCTCGTCCCCAGCTTGAGCTAAGAAAACTTTCAAAGCTCTGTCCGGAGCAGATAGGTTGGCCAGACTCAGCTGGTGCTCTGAAAGCATTTGATATCCCTCCCCCCTGTCTCCACATTCCGTGATCCCCGGAAAGGTCTCAGAAATGTTGAAGATCAAAAGAGCACCCCCCTACCCCCCCCCAATAGATGAACAAAGACCTGGGTATGGTCTGTGAGGGCATTCGAAACCAGACATTTATTTCATTTAATACAAAACTTCTGTGTATGTTCCCTTAGAAGTGCGGGTAATGATATCAGGAGATAGAAGGCAACCAGAATTCTCGGTGGGTGGTGGGTGAGGGGAGGGAACCCCTGCACTGAAGGAGAGGGAGGCTCCAGAGTTAGCTATGGCTGGGAAGATCCTGCTTCCCTGCATGTGGTCCTTCTTTGAAGTCTGAAGTAGGATGTTTTGGGACAAGAGGAGAGAACTACTTAGTGTAGTGGTGAAAACCTAGGGTTTTGGAGTTACACAGACCTGGCTCTGCTCTGCCTTGCAAATCACAGCCTCTGGGAGCCTGTTCTCGTACTTCTTAAAATGGAGCTACTCTGCCCTCTTCACAGAAACTATAAATGTAGTGTGTGCTCCATAGACCATGTGGGCAACGCATAGGACATGGCAGTTAAGTCAGTGTGGGTTACTGTTATCCTTTTCAAAGGTGGTATAAGCTGAACATGTGGTCTGGTCCCCAAATGGTAGATGATAATACATTATACTTTCTGAGGGGTTTTATAGGAACATCTCTAAAACTCTGGATGTTTTCATCTTATACTGAGAGGTTTTAGGGGATCCAGTTGTCTGGAGGTCCCTTTATCAGAGGCAGAATCTGAGGCTGGAGAGACTGTGGGTCTGACTTCATTTATCACAGTCCTGAGTTTGAAGGCTTTTTTTTTTAATCCTCACCCAAGGATAGTTTTCCCTTTATCTTCAGATAGAGCAGAGGGAGGAAAGGAGGAAGAGAGAGGGAGAGAAACATTGATGTGAGAGAGACACATCAATTGGTTGCCACCTGCATGACCCCAACGGGGTCTGGGGCCGAACTGCTACTGAGGTACATGCCCTTGGTTGGAATCGAACCGAGGACTCTTTGGTCTGCAGGCGATGCTCTAACCACTGAGCAACTGGCCAGGGCTGTTTCTTTTTTTCTTTATTGATTTTAGAGAGGGAGGAAGGGAGGGGGAAAGAGAGATAGAAACATTGATGAGTGAGAACATCGATTGGCTGCCCACTGGGGATTTGGCTCACAACCTGGGCATGTGCCCTGACCTGGAATTGAACCTGTGACTTCTTGGTGCCACCACCGGTTGGGCTGAAGGCTTGTTTTTTTGATTTGGGAGTTTTTGTTCTGGCAATTTGGGTGTTGCATCAGTAATTTGTAGCAATGCTCTTATAGGATAAATTTTCTCCTGGTAACAGGGCCTGGCCTGGAGGTTTGTCTTTCTGTGGAATAATGTCAAGAGGGCTATCCCCTTGTAGGCAATAGTTCTTTCCAACATACAAAAGGGCTCTGTTCTCAAAGATCATTTGCAAGTTGATTATTTGGAATGTGGAACACATTTTTCTATAAAAACAATGTGGTTAGGTTACCAGCCTGACCTACAAAGCTTTTTATTTAGCATCTTACTTATAATTGCAATTTACTAATAGTAGGGGGTTTCGATTTTGGATTCTGGGACCAGGGCTTGCAGAACAGGTAGGACGAAGAGAGTTTCTGTTCTCTTTCTTGAGCCCTGGTTTGAATTCTGAATTAGGCAGAGGTTTGTTTTGCTCTTATCTCAGATTCTCTATCCTATTCCTTAGGTCTCCAGGTCTCCTGGCATTTCTCAACAACTGATACCTTATTTTCCTTGCAGAGAAAGGAAAGGCAGGAGGCCAGTGGGTTTGGGAGTATGTCTGGTTTATACTAGGGCTTGGGTGTTGGAGTCTTGATTTAAAAGTGTGGGTGGCCCAGCCGGTGTGGCTCAGTGGTTGAGTGTAGACCCATGCACCAAGAGGTGGCTGGTTCAATTCCCAGTCAGGGCACATACCCAGGTTGTGGGCCAAATCCGCAGTGGGGGACATGCAGGAGGCAGGCAATTGATGTTCTCTCTCATCGATGTTTCTTTCTCTCTCTCCCTCTCCCTTACTCTCTCTAAAACTCAAAGAAAAACATTTTAAAAAAAGGTAAGTATGTGTGTGTATGTTGGGAAGGGGTTCTGTTTATCTGTTTGCTTTTTTATTTCTCTGTCAAGGTTCTTCGGAGGATACCCCTGCAGCCACTCAGAACTTTATCATTCCAAAAAAGGAGATTCACACTGTTCCGGACATGGGCAAATGGAAGCGTTCTCAGGTACCAGTGGTGTCTATGCTGTAGGCTCAGAACTGCGAGGAGAGACTTTGGCTTTTTCAAAGACACTGGTTTTCTAGGCATGATGGGCTATGAGCTCCTGACCCTTCTTGACCTTGGAGCCACAGCTCTTAGAAGCTAGGGAGAGAGGGACAGAGGAGATGATTATCCCTCCCGGTCAGGGACAACACTCAGATGCTTTAGTGGGAAGATCTCTGGGGGCCAGGACCATGGTTACCCTGCAGAGTTGTGCTCCTGGTTCTCACATACCATTGCCTCTTCAGTGTTGTGTTGGCTGAACATGAGTGTCCTAAATGATGGAGTGCATCACTTTGATTCTTGGTTACAAGTAACAGCAAGTTGGGGAGCCAATGCATCAAAGGGAGAGGAGGTTGTAACATGAAAACCTAGGCCAGAGAAGCGGCTGAGCCTAAAAATACCTGGGAACTGGGACCTAGAGCACTGTCAGGACAGATCAGTTTTCTGTGCAGCTCAGGCCACACAGTGGGCAGAAGATAACAGCTTGTCCCTTCCGGGCTATGGTCATGCTGCGGAAAGACTGGGACCAAGAAAAAGAAAGCCAGTTTCAAATTCCCAAGGAAGGCCTTGTGCCCAGCTCCAGCCAGGTGCCTACACCTGATCTGGTCAGCTGGGGTGGGAAGTGTCACTTGCAGAGAAGGGCAGGCTCAGGGGTCTGGCAAGCTTGGCAGGTTTCCTATGAGGAGTCTGCTGTTGGTCTGGGCCACAGGTTGATTGGCAGATTATTGCCTGCCAGACTAATCTGGCTCTCCGCCTGTTTTTGTAAATACAGTTTTATTGGAATACAGCCATGCTCATTTGTTTATCTGCCGTCCATGGCTGCTTTCATACTGCAGGGGCAGAGTTGAGAATTTGTGAACCAGACTGTATGGCCCGTGGAGCTTAAAATATTTACTATCTGGCCCATTACAGGCAAAATTTGCCAGTCCTGCACTTTTGGGGAAGTGTTGGTCACATTCTCTTCTGATGTGCATGGTGACAAATACCTGACAGAAGTCTTTCACTCACTCATCGTTGAAATGCATGGATCTCCTGTGGCCAGACAGGTGATTGTGCTATGGCCCACAGTATTTCACTAGGCAGCAGAGTGCAGTGGCCAAGAACATGGGCTTGGGGGCAGAGAGGTCAGATCTTGAAGCCCAGGGCTGCCCTTTTCTCTTTTTGTGACTTAGACAAGTCATCTAACCTGACCAAGCCTCAGTTTCCTCTACTATAAAATGGAGTTGTTTGGAAGCTTAAATAATGTAAAGCCCATAAAGCACCCGGCCCAGTGTTAGGCAGACAGTGAGCCTTACTGAGCAGTAGGTGTGATTTTTATTACTGTTATGATGCTGATGGTGGCGTTGGTAGAGACTTCGCACAGTCACATTCATAAGAATGTCCTGAGTTTTAGTCACCAAGAGACCCAGGCCCATGTGAGAACAGGGACTATGGAGGGTGACGCTGCCCCTTGCTGCTTCCTCTCCTTGCATCCCAGTGTACTTTGCAGGGGTGGTTGTGGACACTGGGTGTAGTCAGGATGAGGGCTCAGATTTGCCCTGGGCTGGGAGTGTTGCTGTAGGTGACTCACTGGGCCTGCTGTGTGACCTCTCATTCCCACCTGCAGCTATTCCATAGCCTGGCAGGAGGATCTCCTATAGGAATACCTCTCTCCCCTCCCTCCCTCCCTCCCTCCCTCTTTCTCCCCTAGCAGGAACCAAACCCGGGACTTTCTGGTCTGCAGGCCCATGCTCCAACCGCTGAGCCAAACCGGCCAGAGCCATGGTGCTTTTAAAAAAAAAAAATTTTGACTGCTTCTGCCTGGTTTTCTCTGACGCTGAGATGGCCTCCCCGAGGCACAACCTCCTCTCTGAAGACTGTAGGGTTGCTATTAATCATGTGGCATCTTATGAGCTGCACATCAGTGATGCTTATTTATCTATGGCCTGTTATTACAACCAAGACACGGGAGCACCTCTTTTTGCCTCATTCTTTGAAGACCAAGCTGAGGTGAAGAGGGAACATGCAAAGCAATTCCTAAGATATCTAAGAAAACGGGAGAGTAAAATCTGTCTTCCGGTGATAAAGAGGCCTGACATAGATAACTGGGGAACTGGAATACAAGCTCTAGAGTCTGCTCTGGAGTTGGAGAACAAGTTAACCAACCTCCTGCAAAACCTGAAGACCATGGCTTCTGCCAACGAGGAAACCGATCTCTTACACTTCATGGGAAAGTACCTGGATAAGCAGAAGAGGAACACAAACTACCTGGAGCAACAGCTTGCGTATCATAAGAGATTAGAACAGCAGGCCCAGGAGGAAGACCCTTTTAAAAAGCCTGCTCAAGTGTCAGGGAAAGAGACAGACGTCTGAAGGCAACAAAGCAGGTCTTCATTGTAGTAGGTCCCAAATCAGCTACTTAAGAATCTTAATTGTCTCCATTTGACAGAAGATGGCTTTCCTTCATTAGTGTGTGTACAAATAAACCTGTTTTTGCATTAAAAAAAAAAAAAAAAAAAAATTTTCTTTATTGATTTTAGAGAGAGAGGAAGGGAGAGAGAGAGAAACATCATGAAAGAGAACATTGATTGGCTGCCTCCTGCATGCCCCACACTGGGGATTTGGCCCACAACCTGGGCATGTGCCCTGACCGGGAATCGAACTGGTGCCCTCTTGGTGCATGGGTTAGCACTCAGCCACTGAGCCACACTGGCCAGGCTCACCTCAGTGCTTTTTTATCCCTGTGCTGGGTGAAACCTGCAATCCAACAGGGAAAAGAGTGCCCAGTTGGAAGCTGGGGATGAGTGTGCTGAGAGACCTGGCCATGGGCAGAGAATAGTTTCTTCTCCTGGGAGCAGGGCATCTGCACCGCAGGCAGACAGCCTGGTGGGGAAACATCTGGAAGATCAGCAGGGGAAACCTTGGTGGTTTCCTGGGACTCCTGGTGGTATAGTACAATGGTTGAGTACTCGGCCACTCTGCTTGGGAGTTTGGTTGGCTGAGTCCTCTTCCACATCTAATGAGATCTTGGTCTTAGGAGACTTTGGGCAAGTCACTTCTCCTGAAGCCTTGGTTTCCTCATCTGTAGAATGGGATCAGTGATAGTGTATAGCTCGTGGGTTGTTGTGTAGAGAAACAGCTGGTTGTCCTGGCAGTGTGCTCAGTGGTTAGAGCATCGGCCTGCACACCGTGTCAACAGGTTGGATTCCTGGTCAAGGACACGTACTTGGCTTGCAAGTTTCATCCCTGGCTCTGGTCAGGGCGTATTCGGGAGGCAATCAATCAATGTGTCTCTCACATTGATGTTTCTTTCCTTCTTTCCCTCTCTTTTCCTCTCCCTCTGTCCACCCCCCCCCCCCCCCCGCGCCTTCTTTTCACTCTCTAAAAATCAATGGAAGAAATATCCTCAGGTGAGGATTAACAAAAAAAGAAACTACTGGTAGCAGTAGTGAGCACACAGTAAACTCTGGCTGGAAGCCCAGGTGTCATTGGCTTGTCAGTAGTATTGGATGGGGGTAGAGGTGGGATTATTTGACATTATCTTTCTGCGCTCCTGCTACCGAGCTGGGAGCCAGGGGCTGTTTGGAGCAATTTGGTAATTGGGTGGGGCTGGGGGCTGGCTGGGGTATGAGAGAGTGGAGGGCTGATAGTTCTTTCCATATCCCACTTTCCTCCGCCCTGTTTGGTAGGCATACGCTGACTACATCGGATTCATTCTTACCCTCAATGAAGGTGTGAAGGGGAAGAAGCTGACCTTCGAGTACAAAGTCTCTGAGGTAGGCACGGGCAGGGAGCCTGCTGCGGCAGGGCCTGTCCTAAAATAGCTTCCCGGAGTCGTGTGTGCTCATTGCCCACAGCAGGGCCAGTGTGGAAAATAAGATCCCCCAAACACATGTGCAGTTGACGTTCTGTGTCTATATTTCTGATTTTTAAAAATCTGAATAGAAAATTGGGATCAAGGTGAACATGCCATTTTGTACCCTGCATTTTTGCTAACTGGTGTCTTTACATAAGTTTTTAAATCAAAAGAGATCACAAAAGAACTAAACATGCTCACTGACGAGATTACTGAGAAACGTGTACAACCTCAGCAAAAAACTGACCTCTCGCTATATTCCCCTTCCTACCTAACAGTTTGGGGAGTGTCATCCAGACCTCCCCTGTGAGCACCTCTTCTCCTGCCATGTAAATGGCTGCCTCATTGAGCCATGCCCTCATTTATTTAAACGACCTCATAACTGTAGACTTTTAACTTGTTTCCCTAAACATCGCTGCTCTGAATAGCCTTGTACCTAGATCTGTTGGCATTCTGTCCTGAGGATTCACTCACACTGCTAGGTGAGTGCCCTTTGGCTGTGTTTCAGAGACAGGCTTGTTTGTGGAGGGAGGGCGAGAGCTGTGAGGAGGCTGATACCCATGGGAAGGTGTGGTCTTGCAAGCTGTTTGCTCTGCTGGATGCCATCTTCCAGGGCAGGGTCCCAGGCCTCCAGTGGCCTCTTGGATTCCTGTCCCAGTTGGCCTGGAACCATCTTGAGCCTCTTATCTGAGACAGCCTCTCTCAACACCTTGTCTCACCCGGTTCTCTAGCTGTAGCTTTGGCCTACTGGGTAAAGTCTGGCCCTGCCCTGGCTCTGTCTCCACCTGTACTCCCTCACACGCCTGGGCCCTAAGTGGTTGCTGGGTGGCCAAGGTCCTCTGTCACTTGTGGGGTATAAGGCTTGTGCTGGGGATGGACAGTCTTCTCTCAGGAGCTGCCCACCAGTGACTTCCTGAGTTCCTCTCAGGCCCACCCAGTGCTCTGGGACTTCAGCCACAGGTGCAGATGGCGGGAGAGAGGGCTCCTCTTTGAGCCTGTGGCAAGGGATGCTCAGCTGTGCTCAGTGGGCTGGGGAATGTGGTGGGGAAGGCTAATTAAAGGGGAATGTTATAATTACCCCAGCAGATTCTGAGCTGCCAAATCTCTTCAGGTCCCTTAATTGCCCCCGAGACTTTGATGGTAGCATGCCACACCAACCAGGTGTTGTCTTAGCACAGGAGCTGTTCTTTTGGCAGAATTGCAGTGTGGTTAAGTGGTTGAGCTCTGGAGTCAAGCTGATCAGGTTTTGATAACCTCTCACTTCTGAGCTGAGTGGCCTTGTTCCCTATGACCCTCTATGTCCTCTTCTGTACAGTGGGAAGAGCTACAGACCTACTCATGGCCCCTGGAGAGGATCTGCTGAGATCCCACATGTAGGATGGTTTTGCATAGTGCCTGGCATGTACTAGATGACATTATCATTATTTATCTTTTTTGTTAATTCTCACCTGAGAATATTTTTCCACTGATTTTTTAGATAGAGTGGAAGAGAGGGAGGGAGAGAGAAACATTGATGTGAAAGAAACATTGATTGACCGCCTCTCTAACAACCCTAACTGGTTCCGGGGCTCAAACCCGAAACCCAGGTACATGCCCTTGACTGGGAATTGAACCTGAGACTGTTTGATCCAAGGGCCAATGCCCAACCGCTGAGCCAAACCAACCAGGTGACATTTTCATTATTAGCTATTGTTAACATTAGCTCTTTTGTAGTTCTAATTTCCAGTAGTGTTGTAGCTCCAGTTAGGGCTCTTCCTGAGCTGGGGTTCATCCCAGCACCAGGCCAGTGAACTGCTCCTCACTCAGTACACAGAGGTGACTAGTTTAGTCTCCAGAAATCTCCCAGATTCTGCCCATAGCTGGCAGGGGCAGCAGGAGGCACGGCTCACACCACGTGGCTTTGGCCCACAGATGGGAGTTGTGTTATGCAGAGTCGAGGTCTGAGAAGGCCTCGGCATATTACTTGCCAATTCCAAAGAAATAACCTGGGGGCTGCAAAAGCCAGGAGTTTGTTAGAACTTACTCACTGGGAGGGGTGGCCTCCCAGTGAAGTTTCTGCAATACAGGCTCTCAAAGTATAAGGTTATATAGAGTACAGAAAACAAAGCAAGCAGGACCATCATTTGCTTTGTGAGATCAGGCTATGTGAGATCAAAATGCCAGCTGTTTACAATCTGGGCTCACATCCAGAAACAGTTTCTTTTGGGCCATTCCTTGGCTGAGGAACTGGCCAGGCTCCCAAGGCCCTACAGTACACTTACAGTTGGCCTTCATTATATTCCCACAGGATGAGAGGGGGAGTTGGAACTTAGGAAGGGACCCATGTTCTCCCATATCACACTGTCTTGTGCTTGGTTTGGCTTCGGTCTCCTAATTCTTCTCACTGCTGCCTCCTACTGGGGAGGGGGCATAGTGTCTCGGGTGGCAGCTTCCAGAACTGCCCATAGGAAAGGGAACAAGTAAGAGTGACATGGTGAGCTTGTCTAGACCCATGTTTAGAGGGCTCTCCTTCATTTTGAGATTATGTCTGCCCTTTGGGGGTTAGAATTTTTGATTTTTGCAAAATAAAGATGATAGTAGATAGGCTTATTTTTTGTTACTGTTCTGTTTGATTTTTTTAAATGAGGGCAAAATAAAAAATTGGTAATTAAAAATTTTGGAGAAAATTTTACTTGTCCATGAAATCCAAAAAGGAAGCATTAGACTTGGGGGAGAGAGTATAGCTCAGAGTAGTCTTTGTGTTTTTGGGTTCTAGCCCACAATTCCCTCTCTAACCTTCTCCCACAACTAGCCAAACAATAGAGGCAGCCCCTTCACCCCCAATTAAAAAATCCTTCTGCAGAAAGAGAAGCTAGGCGCCTTTTAATTATTCATTGGCACAGCTGAGCTAGCAGCTGGGGCCTGGCTGCTGCGGCCGGAGCACCTTTCTGATCCTCCTCAGTGTATCACCAAGACTGACATCTCTGGACGGGCCTTGCTGGTGATTCTCGGGGCTAGGATTACGGCACTGTCCTCCTAAGTCCAGGTTGCTACATGGGGTCAGGTGTGCTCTGTCCCTGTTATCAGTGCTTCGGGTGACCCGGTTCTTCACAAAGCCAGGCTCTGGCAGCACTTTCTGTCAGCAAGGCAGATTTATGTCACCTTGCCCTCTGCTTCAGCCAAATATAAAGGGAACTTTGTCCTCTATAGGCATCTTTTTCTCTCCTCCTGGGCCTAAAGTATAGGGAATGGGGAGGTGAGGGCCACTGTCATGTTGCACAGTGACAGGAGGCACTACTTATGTGGACAGCAATGCGATCTCATGCTTCCTGGACCTATGCAGTGGGGCAGTGGCTAACATGTACACCATTAGCTCAAGCCTGCCCCCGCCCCCATACATACACGGCTCTTGGGAAGCACCTCTGCGTGGCAGACCCGACCATGCCTTGCCCTCCTTGTCACAACTTTTTTTGTGGGCACCACCCTGCTAGTTCCTGCCAGTGCCAGGAGCTCCTGGAGGCATCTCCTTATACCATTTGTGCCCAGTAGACACAGGCATGATCTGCCTCTTGGCAGGGTCCTTCCTCCCAGGGACACCTGACTTCAAATATCCTCTGCATCGTGTGCTCCCTCAGCCTTTCGTTGCCCCTCAAGTGGCCCATTCTGTGAGCCACGTCTGGAAGGAGCACTTTCCTCACTGTCCTCAGACAGCCTCACCTGATCACCTGAGCATTCGTGTCGTGTGCTCATGTTGCCTTGGCCTCGGACACCGACTCCACTCCTTAGTCCCTGCCTTCTATGGGAAGGGAGAGATGGGAGATGGGATCTGGAACACCTGCAGCCCTCCAGAGCATTGCCCACATTCATGCCTCTGACCCAGCATCTTCACAGAGGATGAGTCGCCAGGCTGGTTACCACAGTGTTGTTTGTGGTAGTAAACAATTGGAAATAACCCAAACATTTAACAGGAAGGGATTTGGTAAATAAATTGTCCACTGGTACAGTGAAATCTGAGTCACTTATTAGAGGCTATTGTAAAATTATGTTTACATGTTGATGTGGAACAAGGTTCTTGAGGAAATAGCAGGCTGCAAAGTAACGTGTGCCCTGTGACTGTGTTTAGAGTCTGTCTTTGTATAACCATACCCCACTACTCTGTGCTAGGCATCCTTCATGGGTTGTTATTTAGTCCTCATGATAGTCTTGAGAGGTATTTATCATCACGCCCATTTTTGAGATGAAGAAATAGGCAGAGAAAGTTAAAGTCTGTGGTTCAAAGTCTTGCGGCAACTAAATGGTGTTTTAGCTGGGATTTGAGTCCAGGTCCAGCTGCCTTCAAAACTGTCACCATGCCCTGGCTGGTTTGGTTCAGCGGTTAGAGCATCGGCTTGTGGACCAAAGAGTTGAGGGTTCGATTCCAGTCAAGGCCCTGGTCGAGGTTGTGTGGGAGGCAACCGATCGATGTGTTTCTCACGTCGATGTTTCTCTTTCTCTCTGTCTCTCTCTCCCACTCTATCTGAAGATAAATGGAAAAAGTATCCTTGGGTGAGGATTTAAATAAAAACAACTGTCACCATGATAAGCAATAGAAAAAGACGAAATTGAAGATTAAGTTAAAATGTCAGTAGTGTTTATTTGTGGGCAGCAGGATTACTGGTCATTTTTGTTTTCTTTTATGTTTCTGTTTTCTGTGGTGAGGAGGTGTTGTGTACTAAACAGAAGACCCCACTGATTCTGTTGAAGAAGGTCAGGGCTGCAGTTCATGCTCATTCAGTAGCTTCTCTAGGCTAGCTGGAGAACCCAGCTGCTGAAGCCCCACTTGTCCCTTCGGCCTAGTGCTGGTCCCTCTCTGTAAAGCTTCCCATGCTCCCCTGGCCTCTTTTTATATTCAGGATGGGTTGGGAAGAAAAGGGGACAGCAAGGGGGATGCCGGTTAGCACCATGCCTTGGGGTCATTGTTCAGCAATGGTTTGACTTCCTTCTGTGGCTCTAGCTTAGTCACTGTGTCTTGGCTGCCTCTATTTTGCCTCCACAGGCCATTGAGAAACTGGTCGCTCTTCTCAACACGCTGGACAGGTGGATTGATGAGACCCCTCCTATGGACCAACCCTCTCGATTTGGGAACAAGGCCTATAGGACCTGGTATGCCAAACTTGATGAGGTGAGCCTGCCATAGACAGGCTTGGGGGCTGGGCTAGGGGGAGCTTTCAGGCATATTGAATCACTGGGAGTTTGTTAAAATGATAATTCCATTTACCAAAGTACAAATGCATTTAGCTGTCTTCTAGGAATCAACCATGTGGATGCAGTCCTCTGCACAGGACTGTTGAGTAGGTCACTGTTTGTATTGGTGACCGATTAAAGACATCCTAGATGTCTGACTGTCTGCCTGGGATCAGTTAAATAAACTAGTGTGTCCACCCATGGAGCACTATGCAGCTGTGAGGAAGAAGAAGGAGCTAGGGAATTCAGGAAAGAGACTCTGCGATTTACTGTCAGGTTCAAGAGCAGCCAGGCCTGTAATGTACATTGCAAGCTGCCTTTTGGTTAGAAAGAGGGAGAAATAGAAAGATATATTTGTATTGCTCAATTTGCATAGAGAAACATCACTGGAAGGATACACAAAAGGCAAAGCTGTGGTGTCTTTTATTTTTTTTTTAATTTATTTTTCTTTATCGATTTTAGAGAGAGAAGGAGGGAGAGGGAGAGAGAGATAGAAACATTGTTGAGAGAGAACATCGATTGGCTGCCTCCTGCATGCCCCCCAATGGGGATCGGGCCCACAACCTGGGCATGTACCCTGACCAGTAGTCAAACCAGCGACCTCTTGGTGCATGGGTTGGATGTTCAACCACTTAGCCACACCAGCCGGGCAGCTGTGGTTTCTTTTTGGGGGCAGGGGAGAGGAGGTCGATAGGGACAAGGGTGGAACTTCTCAATGGATCCCTTTTATAATGTGTTTATTGATTTATTTATTTTTATTATTATTATTTTTTATCCTCACCCGGGGACATTTTTGCACTTACTTCAGACAGAGCAGGAGGGAGAGGGGGAGAAGAGAGAGAGAAACATCGATGTGAGAGAGACACATCAACTGGTCCCCAATTGGGGCCAGGGACAAACCATAACCAAAGTACGTGCCCTTAGCGGGAACTGAACCCGGACCTCTCTGGTCCATGGGCCAACGCTCTACCGCTGAGCCAATCTGGCCAGGGCAATAATGTGTTTATTTTTTAATCATATGAAGGCGACACCTGTTCAAAGCAAACAAACAAACCAAATACAGGATCGCAAACCCATCCTTAGAAAAGCAGAATCTGTAGGTACAGAGTGGGTCTGAGAATCCAGATTTTCACCAGGTCTCCTGGAGATTCTCATGCCAGGTGTTCGTACGCCGAACTTAGAGGAGCTTGGGTTCTAGTTTCTCTGGCCCAGTGTTTTCACATGGAGCAGAGGGGAGCTCCAAGGACCCAGCAAAATGCTTTCCTTTTCTAAGAGTAGCCCTGGCTGCCTCTGGATTCTAAGATGGCACATGGGCTTGAGTGTTTTTTTCAAAAGATTTTTATAGAGTTATAACTTAAAGCTGACAAATTATAGCTGTACAGCTTAATGCATTTTTACCCTTGCACCCACCACCCATATTAAGCTATAGAACATTCCAGCACTCATGCAGGACCTTCCTGCCCCCTCCTACTTGATATCTCCTCAGATCTTTTGATTTCTATCCCATAGATAGATTTTGCCTTTTTTTTTTCTTTTTTAACTTCATATAAATGTCTGGCTTCTTTTACTCAGCGTTTTGTCTGTGTGATTCATCCATGTGGTTGTGCACAGCAGTGGATCTTTTTTATTGCTGCATAATATTCCATTGTATGAACATAGCACAGTTTATCCATTCTACTGTTGATGGACATTTCAGTTGTGGATTGTTTCCACATTTTGGCTACTGTAAAAATGCTGCTATGAACATCCTTGCATATGTCTTTTGGTGGACATATGGCACAAGCTCCCTTGCTGGGAGTGTGAAGAAAGATAACATCTATGGGGATGTCAGTGAGTTACCAGAGGGGAGAATTGAGTGGCTTCTTTTCAGATCCCTGCTGTCTTGCCCCCAGAACCTTATTGCCTGGAAGAAGGGTCAGCAAATGAAAAGCCACCCCAGGGTAGTTTTTGTTGTGTAAGAATAAATGCCCTCCCTTCTCTTCCTTCTGTGGCCAGTCAGAGCAGGGAGCCAGGCCGCCTGGTATAGCAGCCTGAGTCCCAGCCAGATGCTGCCCCTAGGCGCTTGCCCACCACGATGCTGCTTAATCTGCTGCCACCACTTTGTGTCTCTTGTGTTATCAGGAAGCAGAAAACTTGGTGGCCACAGTGGTCCCCACCCATCTGGCAGCTGCTGTGCCTGAGGTGGCGGTTTACCTAAAGGAGTCAGTGGGGAACTCCACGCGCATCGACTATGGCACAGGTACCTGCCATTCCCGGCTGTTACTTGGCTTCACCAAGTCCTTTTCTTGGGCTGCTTCCTCTTTGCTTCTGGGTTGTCTCTGGGGGACCCCAGAGCAAGAAGCCAGTCAGGGCCAGGTGGGGTGTAGCACTGTTGGGTGCAAGGAAACTTGGTGCTGCTCCTGTGGCTCTGGCTCCATTCACCAGGGGACGCTGATGCCATATGCCGGCTGCCATATAAACAGAGCTGATTCCTGTTCTTGGTAAAAATGGTCTCTCCAAATGGTCTCTCATTGTCATCACCAAAATGATTTACTGAGCATTTATTATATCTCAAGGCAATTGCTTACAGAAGCCTTGAGAAACAAAAGAGCTCAGTAGCCTCTGGCAGCATTGTGACCACCCTCTCCCCTTGCCTTTTGCTCTTAGCCACATTCCGTGTGTTCTTGAGCTCTCAAGGAATGGAGCATGTGGGCACCTTAACAGGGGAGTATTCTCTTGGTCAGGGGGTGGCCGAAGAGGATCCTTGCTGTGGTAGGCCTCCCTCTCCTTTCCCTTCCACCTCGAAGCAGGCAAATGCAAGTGCTGCCACTCTCTTGGGCCCTCCCCTTGCCTAGGTTTCAGGATCCTCAAGAGAAACCCAGACCACAGAGGCAGGCCTGCAGAAGGGCCCCCTTGGACCTGGGTCCTGGGAAAGCTTTCTGTCGCTTCCCCTGTTGCTAGGGAACAGGTTTATCAAGTGTTTTGATACTTTGACTAAGACTAATAGGTTAAGACCCCGGAGGCAGAGTGGCCAGGCCAGCAGGGGGTGGGTTTTTATTCCACTCTCAGTTGCTCTCAGGTGTGTAAGAGTGATGGTCACCCCTGAATGATGATGGCTTGGATTCTGGCTAGTCATGATCAGAAAGTGTGCAGGTGAAAGTAACAGTTCCAAGCTTCCAGGTCCTTGGAGGGACCTTCATTGTGCAGAAATAGGACAGGAAGTCATTGAAATACTCTTTCTTCATCTCCCTCCAAATATGTTTTCTGTGACACTGAACCATGGATTCAGTCCAAAGGCCAGTGTTTCTCGTACTGCTGACCATTCCTATTTCACATGACTAGGAAAGGAAGAGGTTGCCTTTTCACCCTATAATGTGACCATGCTTAGAATGTGACTTGCTTAGAAGCCTTCAGTGGCTCCCCATTGCTCTGGGGATAAAGTCTGAGCTTTTTATCATGTCTCTCAAGGCCTCTCTGATCTCAGCTTCATCTTGTTACACTTTCTCCCTTACTCTCTGCTTTTGTCATACCGGCCTTCCTAGGGCTCTTTAAACATATCCGATTTTTTTCTTGTCTCATGGCCTTTGCACATGCTGTTTCTTTTGGCTAGAATGCTCTTTTTGCTTTCCTCACCCCATGCCTTGCCAATTCTTACTCATCTTTGAGATTTCAGGTTAAATATTTCCTTAGGGAAACCTTCTGAGCCCTTATGTTAGGGTCCCTCCGTGACAGTTTTCACCCTGTTTTTCTCCTTTAGAGTTAGAATCATAGAAATGATTGTGTATTTAATGTCTGTCATAAACTAAGGGCAAGGACTTCTCCCTGGTGTCTGACATGGACAGTGACCGTCCCCATAGTAGGTGCTCAATCAATAGAGTAGAATTAGTGAGTTAAACTTACAAAATAAAATATAAATGCCTATTTAGGAAGTCAATAGCCTGGGCCTATTAGGAGTAGAATTATACAGTACTGGTGATTCTTAAGAGGGGCTAGGTCTTTCTGGGTAGGGAAGAGACCCCATTATCTCTATGTTGACCTCCCTCCTTGGAGGGACATTTATCAGTGATTTGGACACTGGGGATACCAAGAACAATCTCACTGCTTTTTTTTGGAAGACTGTCAACCTCGGCTGTTTTTACTCCCTCAGGACATGAAGCAGCCTTTGCTGCTTTTCTCTGCTGTCTCTGCAAGATTGGGGTTCTCCGGGTGGACGACCAAATAGCTATTGTCTTTAAGGTATTCAATCGGTGAGTGAGAAGAGGGCAATGAGGGGGTCTCTTTCCTTGTTACTGTCAACCTGGGGCAGGGTACTGAAGGGTTCTCTTGAGTGCCTGTCAGTTCTCTTGTCCTGTCCGAATCAGGCTCTGGCTTTGGATGGGCTAGCCAAAATTCCTTCTTCTGATAGGTTCAGATTCAAGTAAAAACAAGGGAAGGCACTGTTATATAATGATTGCTAATGCTTCCATGGGGTTCACCCTGTGGAGGCACGGGCTGAGCGATTCACACACAACTCATTTCTAGGCCTGTGATGTTTGCTCAATGACGAAATCACTTAATGGCGCATTTCTCAGAACGTATCCCAGTCGTTCAGGAGCACGTGACTGTAATTCTCACAGTAAACCTAGGAAGTAGCAACTGTCATTTCCGTTTCATGGATGAGGACACTGAGGCAAGAGAAACGAGACGTGTTCACTGAGGTCACCCAGCCGAGTGAACCCAGGCAGCCAGGCTCTGACCTGTGCCCCTCACCACCCAGACCACTGGCCAGGAGCACAGGTGTGTTTCGGTCACTAGAGCCTTGACGGCGCCCATTCTGGGCCCTGCGCCAGCAGTGCTGTGATGCAGGAGCTCCACAGTGACTCGGACACAGCCCCTGACGACATCGGCTCCTGCCAGGGTCTTCACATTGTCAGGAGTTGATCGTACTAACTCCCTTTCCCAGGAGGCATTTTGCTCCTTTCCTGGGCCAAAAGAAGGCTGAGTGTGGGAGAAAAAGTTAAAACTACATTACTTTGAGTACCAGCTGACTGTAACTTGTACATGTAGGTCTTCACTGAAACAGAGACCAGTTTCACTCTTAGGTGGTTATTCCTGGCCTCCTTGAGCTCCCAATGACAGAAGAGTTGAGACTGTCCTTTGACTTTTACTACCTCCTCTGTCTTCCCCACCCTCCTGTGCAGGTACCTTGAGGTGATGCGGAAACTCCAGAAAACATACAGGATGGAGCCAGCAGGCAGCCAGGGTGTGTGGGGCCTGGATGACTTCCAGTTTCTGCCCTTCATCTGGGGCAGTTCCCAGCTGATAGGTACTGAAGGGGGCATATACTCTTCCACCCCCCAGAATGCATTCTGTGTTCCTCCCCGGGCCCTCCTCTGTCCCCACTTCCTTCTCCTCCTGCCCATACAGTGACAGCTTGTAAAGCAGGCATTAGATCGACTATTGATGGAGGCTGCTTGCTGTTGACCTGCTGCTGCACACCAGCATGGCAGGCTGGGGGAGGCGGAGGCAGAGTTGCACCAAGATAATGGAAAGTGACATAGACTGGAGCAAGGGTTGTCGCCTGTCGCATATGGACTGGTGTGATATGTGCCCCAGGTCCTAGCAGCAGCTGCAGGGTTTATGTTGAAAATTGGGCTCTGACTCAGTGGCCAACATCACCCACTGTCACTAAGCCATGTGCAGGGGGCCCATGAGGGAGCTGCTACCAGGTGCTGGACAGTGAGCCGCTTGTTATGGGCCTACTCTGGTGGATCCCCCACTTTCCTGTGGGTAAGCAGAAGTGGGCAAGAGTGCATTGATAACTTCAATTTCAACATAGATTTAACTGCTTACAGAATATTAATAAATGACCATTTGTTGAGGACGTGCTCCAAGTGCTTCAGGTAGATTATCTCTCAGTGAGTCTGGGAACCATTGACTGACACCTGTGCAGGCACCATGCCGAGTGCTTTTCTGTGCTCTTGATTGTCAGGTGGTACTCAACAGCCCTACAAGGAAGGTGCTGTTCTTATCTCCATTGCACAGATGAGGGAACTGAATCACATGGCTAGAAAGAAGCTGAACCAGAATTTATTACACTGGAATATCCCCACGCACAAGGCCATTTATTGGTCCTGTGAGGTCCAGTGTTCAGGGCACATAGGCAGGACTGTGGCCCTGGGGTGGGTGTGGACCAAGGTGCCCTGGGGGGTGAGCACCTGGTTCTGAACCCTGGGGCTCTTTGCTGTTCCCAGATCACCCGTATCTGGAGCCCAGGCATTTTGTCGATGAGAAGGCCGTGAATGAGAACCACAAGGACTACATGTTCCTGGAGTGTATCCTGTTTATCACCGAGGTGAGGGGAAGAGGGTGAGGGAGAAGTCCACGGCAGCCTCCAGGCTGAAATAAACAGAGGCCGGTGGCTTTTTACAGAAGAGCCAGAGCTGCTGCCCAGAGATGGCAGGGCTGGCCCCCGAAGGCCGGTTATTGAAAAGGAAGCCCCACTAGGCCTCTCGGAAAGGTTACTTCAGCTTCTGACGGCCCAGGCTCTCCTCCCCTAATCAGTGGTCTGGGGTTTCTACTTGAGACGAGGGGTTGAGACTTGCTCACTAGCTGGGCCTCGCGGTTGATGCAGCAGGTTTGGGGGTGGGAGTCAGCATCGTGTAGGCAGGGCCCACAGGTCTAGAGCTCCGTGTGTGGATGTGCAGGATGAAGCCATTGCAGGCATTGGAGAGACTGAAGTGGACAGCAGGACAGATTGCTCTGAAGGGACACATCTCTGTCAGAGCCTGAGGACTTGGGCCAGGTGAAAACAAGCAGGCCTGGACCCCAGCCCACCCAGCAGGGGTCGTTTAACTGGGTCTCCCACAGTGCAGCCTTGGACCACTTTGTCAAGATCATCTTGGGAGCTTCTTAAAATGCACATTCCTGGGCCCCACCCCAGCTTTCTGAACCAGAGTCTTGGGGGACAAGAGCCAGAAACTGGCATTTTAACACACTTTTCAGGTGACTGCCCATGAAAGTCAGGAGCCCATTGCTCTTAGGGCCTCTCTTCCAGGAGGGGGCCTTTCATTCTTTCTGCCTAGTACTGCCTCCCCCATACTTCCAAGGGATGCCCTGGCTCTTCTGTTTGAAGAAGGTCTTGTCCCTGTTCTCTTTGCCGATACCTGCATGCATGTCTACTGGCCCCAGTGTTGTCCCTGGCACACCCGTGGACCCCTGCCTGTGGGGGCTGCTGACTTGGCTGTCCATTTCGAGCCCCCTGAAGAGGGGGAAAACCCTTGTTAAGCAACCAGAGCTCCAGGCTCCTCCTGGTCAGCATTCGGCTCAGACTTCTGCCAAACGCCAGAGGCCAGAGGGGAATGACATGTTTTTCCAAGTCAGCAAATGGACTGGGGACTGACGGCTGGGCGGCCACCGCTTTATTCTCAGAGATCTGCTGCCTTCAGCAGTGTAGCTGGCCCAAGGTCGGAAGGACTCCAGGTTCACTGCTGCAAGAGCCAGTCATGGCTGCTCCCTGCAGAGCCCTGGGGACCCCAGGAGGAGTAGGGAGGGGAAAGGGGGTGCACATTTTATGCTGACCTGTGGCTTGGCTCACTTGGGAGTAAAAGGCCGAAGTGTTTTGGCTCCCCCTGGTGGTGGACCAATCCCCTGGATCCCTGTTAGTAACTAATAAGGAGGAAGGTGAGACCGGGCCTCAGAATATGGGAATTGACTCCAAGTTAAACTTTGTATTTTTGTTTGTTTGGTTGGTTATACTGGTATAAAAACCCAAAAGCTTTCCCAAAGTTTGTGACCCAGTTCCTCTGCTAGAGAAAAATATTACAGTGGCCACTAGGTGGTGCTAAGAGCACATTAAACTTGGAGAAGGTTTTAGTAACATTTAACTGCAGGGAGAGGACTGAACCCTGGAGGCGGGCAGGCCTTAGACTTCTCCGTTGTTCCATACCCTCTGCTAGGCCTGGTTTTCACTTTGGGTCTAGGTGCTTGGGTATGGTAGTGAACACTGGACTCTAGCAGGGGTGTGCCCCAGAGCTGAGGTGACTATAGTGAGGGCCCCTTTTGTCCACCTGGCTTGGCTGCCGATTGCAGCATCTAGGCTACCCTCAACCCTTACCCCCTTCCACCTCAGACCAGCGTTTTGCAGCCCCTAATGGATGAGCGAGTAAACTGGCCTGGCACACTCTGACAAAGGGAGCGAGTAAACTGGCCTGACACTGGCATGCACGAACCAGGAGGTGGGTGTGCAGTTCTTGTGTGCTTTGGTCTGGAAGGGGTGGTGTTCCCTCTGTAGACCTGGGGATCACTAGGGCTGGTGCAGCTAGAAGGTTAAATACAACAAAGTTGGAAATGGAACCAGGTCTCTCCTTCCGGTTGGTCTCTTGTGGGGCTGGTTTTGGACCTGCCTTGGTAGCCCTTGGGCATCCCAGAAGGGGGACCCCACCTTGCAGAGCTTCTGTTGCTTTGGAAAATGCAGCCCTGGCGCCTTTAAGAGCCAGGGCAGGCAGGAAAAGAATTTCAGTTTCAATCTGGCTTCTAAATTTGGAGTTTTGGGAAGGGAGGGATCAGATTTCAGCTGGAAGGGAAGGAGCTGACAGGAAGGCGCTGTGCAGAGCCTCCCCCCACCCCCGCCCCATCCCCCCTCAGTTACTGACAGAGGAACCATTTACAAAAGGCCGATTCTCTGGGGAGTGGAGAGGCAGGAACGTAGCGTCTGTGAGTAATTTCCTGCTCAATATGGCTGCTCTGACTCACACGATTCCCCTGGGGTCACTGCAGGACTGCAGCTTGCTTGCTTGTTCTCGCTCTTTCTGTTCTCCCTTTGTGGCTAGAATGAGCTAATTTTGTTTTTGTCTTCTCACCCCCATTTCTTTATCCCTCTATTCTGTTTTCCTTTCCCAGAGTTGCAAAGTCTCCTTTTGAAGGACTTAGGGGAGACCCTGGGACACTGAAGGCCTGGGGGTGGGAGTGGGGCAGCTCCTCTAGAGAAGTAGCATCTCTGGCTTTTTCATGAGTGGGGGCAGGGCCATTGGGGTTCTGGAGCTTGGGCCTCCCCCTGGCTCTGCCAGCAGGCCAGAGAAACCTTTTGGGGCCCCTCTCCCATGCCCTTAGTGGGTAAAGCTGGCCCAGGAATCAGAGCTCTGGTTTCCCAGTGTCCATCTGTCTGCTTTGGCCTGAGTGCCCTTGCCGAGCAGGCCCCTGGAGCTGCTGCTGTGGGACGAAGCCAGCAGGGCATCAGCAGGGTCCTTCTGGGTGGTGTGCTCGTGGCACCCTGACCAGAATGAAACTGGTTCCACTGCTCCTGCGATCCCTGAGCTCAGGGCCTGGAAGTGTGTGAGAGGGCTGGAGCCTGGCCCTATCCCCAAGGGCAGAGAGCCTGGGGAGGGGGCGGGGCGAGCGGGAGGGTGGAGGGTGGAGGTGGAGCCTGTTTGAGTGGGACAGTTGAAACAAAGCTCCGTGTAGCGAGGCTCCTGCAGGCTGGGGTGCCTGGCTTCCCTCCTGGAGGAGACTTAGAGAGAGGAAGGGCAAGATTCTGGGTGAAGGGATTGGCTCAGAAGCCCTGTGGGCACCTAGGCTGGGTTTTGTCTTAGTCTAGTGCCTTGGGCTGTGGGCTCACTGCTGGAGGGAGCCTGTTGTACTGAGTCTGGGGGTTGAGACAGGCTTTTGGGGGACTTGGCCAGGAGAGGGAGATAACAGGCAAAATGGCATTTTGTAAGACACCCTTACTGAAGAAGTGGAAAGGCCTGCGGGAATGGGTCACCTGGCAGAGACCACAGCCAGAGGACGGGGTGGGGGTGGGTTGAGGTGGGGGGGTGGTGGTGTGCTCCTGGGCCTCTATTCTTGTGATGCTCAGTAATCAGAGAGAGCTTTCGACCCCTCCTCTCTCCCCAGAATAGCTCTCCCTTAGCCCCGCCTCAACTCACAGCCTCTTCTGGAACCTTCCACACTCAGGGTCCAAGTCTATGCTTCCTTACCAGTTTAGCCTCTTTGCTTTTCAGGCTCTTTCTTCTGAAGCCTGGGGCTCAGAGTGCTGAACCTTGTTCTCCCAGCATCAATGCTGCTTATCAGCCAGGGAGTGGGTAGTGTTGAGGGGACTGTGAACTGCTTGTTGAGTACAAGCCTCGTGCTGTCTGAGGGGCACGCTCAGGCACACAAACTTCCCCTTCTCAGTGCTGTGGTTTCTGATGTCATGAGAACTCCACTGAGCTTGCTGCAGAATTTCTTTCCTCCCGGAGGCCAGATTTTTGGCCAGAGGAGGGACCAGGAATGGAGCTGTCCTTGCTCCTGCTTGTCCCTTGCTGGTGTGTTTGCCATTCCTTCCACATCCTGGCCACGTCAGGCTGGCTTTCTAAACAGATCTTCCTCCTGAATCTGCTGTGAGTGCCCCCAGTCCCTGGTTGCAGTCGATGCCTGGGTTTGGTCTTACCCAGCTTGGCTGTCCTCCCAACTGACCCCTCCCTCAGCTCTGCCAGCTCTGCCAGTGGCAGGCGCAGACCAAGTACCCCACGAGAGAGCCCACGCTGTGTGGGGCTGGGCTGGGGAGAGTTGGGGTTCAGGCTACTACTGTTTATCTGAGTGGGAATGGGTCCCCATGCTGTTAGTGGCACCCTGTGGCTCTGGGGAGTTGGTGGGAGCTGCACTGGGAGTTTGGATGGGTTTTTGTTTTGCCGAGACTACCACATTTGGTGGGTGGTGGGAATCAGACCCCCCTTTTTTTGGCTGTGGAAGAAAGAGGTTGACTGGGGGTTATGCTTTCCCAGTGGATCTTGCAGGCCAAGAGGGACCTTGTCTCTGGCACTTAATGTGTGCCTGTATGTGTATGTGCCCTACAGGCAGATGCTGCGACCTGGTCCCCATGTGTGCGTGTGTGTGCACATGTGTGCTTGTATGTGTGTGTGTTTGTGCATGCATCTGTGCATGCATGTGTATGTGTGTATGCATGTTTGCCCTTGCCACGGGGGAGCAGGGCATAGGCTCCCAGGTGGCCCACTTTTCCTGCTATGGACTGTCTTTTCCAGATGAAGACGGGCCCCTTTGCAGAGCACTCCAACCAGCTGTGGAACATCAGTGCTGTCCCCACCTGGTCTAAAGTGAACCAGGGTCTCATCCGCATGTATAAGGCTGAGGTGAGTGGGGGCTGGCCAGTGCCCTTGGTTCTGGGGCTGCTGTTCCCCTACCCCCACTCCATTGTTTTGCTCTGAATCTTGGGCCAGCCCTTCTGACACTTGAGGCCTTAGAACCTCAATCTGTGGTATGGGCTGTCAAAAAAGCACTGAACTGAGGCCCAGATCTGCACTGTTAGTGAGGCAAGGCCCCTGGGGGTGGGAGGGAAGGGGAATCTCCATTCCCACTTGTCAAATGGCCAGAGGCCCCTCGTAACTGTTGCCTGTGGGGACACAAAAATGAAGACATGCTTGAGAAAGGGTTTTATCCTTTGGAGGCATCTTCCAAAGTGGTGCTTTTCAAACTTTGGTGTCTGATCACTGGGTGGGTGGGAGCTGGTGTTTTTAATGACCCCTTCAGATGGCCCTCCCCCACCGCTGTCCCCAGTCAGAGTTTCTGGAGCTCCCCCTGCTGGGGGTGGGTGGGTGCTGGGCTCCTAAGGGTGTCCTCTGCTCTCTCTCCTTGTCCTCCTTGGCATCCTTCTCTCAACCAAGGAGGTGGCTTTTCCTCTTGCAAGTAGGGAGAAGACACTTTCTTTCCACTAGCTCCTTCCATATCTTGGGCAGACCAATCTGGAACTGCTTGACCTTGGCCAAGGAAGGGCCTGGATGTGAAGTCCCTCACCTGGAACAATGGGTCCCCAAGGTCCCCTCCTTTTGCTTCAGACTGGAGTCTCAGATATCGTCTGTGGTGCCCATTTTTTGATTCTTTGCCATCCAACTCCCGTGGAGGGAGGGAAGTTCGCTGGGTCTACTGCATTATATCCATGGCTTGCTCAGATCCCATCAACAGAGGCAGAGAGCAGGGCAGAAAGGGGGTTACTGGGTTGGTGTGGTTTGGTAGTACAAATGCTTCCACTTGGCTTGGTTCTCTCCGCATAGCCCTGAAGGGGTTAATGGTGCTGGAACTGACCGGGCCTGGCCCTCTCTTTCCCTTCCGCCCCTCCCCCCCAGTCCTTTTCCTCTGGACTTCACATCCTGTGTTTAGGTTCCAACCCACATACCTCTCTAATCTGAGCGGAGTGTTTGCTGGGGCTGCACAGGCTCCTTCCGGGCAGCCACCAGCCCTCTGCTCGGGCTCTCTCCTGCCTGGAGAGCACCTGGGTCTCTGCCCTCTGGGTGTCCCGCTGTTTGTGATGCTCCCTGCCCCCACCAAGGGAACTCTGTCACCCTGTCAAGCCTTCCACACTGCTAGAGGCTGTTAGCAGTATGGGAGGGGTGAAGGGTCCCCCCTCCCACCTCCACCCCTGTCCCAGTGTATCACAGTCAGGACTCTTCAGTGCCTTTCCTGTTTGGGGTCTTAAAATGCTGTCCTTCCTGCAGGCTGTTACTTGAGTTACTAAATTTTTCTTGACCTGGGCCCTTATGTTAAAGGCAGAACGGGAGGCCCTGCCACCCCTCTGCACCTGCTCCTTCTGCAGGCAGATGAACTCTGGGTTTACAGGGGATGAGGGAGGAGCACATTAAGATTCAAAATGGTGATAGTATAGTAAGGACAAACGGTTCTGTGTGACAGTTGTCAGTATTTCTATGGATGGTGAACACAAGGAAGACGGACCAAAAAAACCTGCAGCTCAGGACCAGATAGAGAGCGCGAGCAGAGGACAGAACGCCCTTCCTGAAATGGGAAATTCCAGCTCTGGGTGCGCGCAGGCGCGGTGCTAGCTGGCAGCCTCGACAGGGCAGTGTGGTGGCCAGGCTTCTTTGTAGGAGCTCAGCGACTATAGGAACACCAATCTCTGTGGTGGGCGGCACTGCGCAGGTGGCCCTTAGCCTTTGGTCCCTGAGAGTCCGTGGGATCGCATGCTCCCTGCCCAGAGGTTCAGGGGAAGACTTGCTTTCCCAGACCAGGTCTCAGTCTGGGGGGAGCCCACTGGTCTTGAAGTCCAGAAGGTTAGCAAGGCCAGTGCTGTCAGCCAGAGTTGGCTGCTGAAGGGGTTTTGTCCCCTGAGCTGTCACAAAGGCACTACATTAGGTGGCCTCAGGATTTATAACCAGCTGTCTGCATCTCCAAGCTGCCTGTCCCTGTCTTTCTGAACGGAAGAACCAAATGCTTTCAGGGCCCTGTGGGTAGTGGGGCCTGGCTTTGCTGTGCTGACTCTTTCTTCAGAAGGGCCTAGTCAGGGCCCAGAGAGTCGCTTCTCCCTCTTGAGTCACCAGGCCCAGAAGGGCCTACAGGCCTGTGTTTCCAGCTAGAAGGTCTGCCCAGGGCCAGGCAGAGGTATCACTCTGCCTGGTACGGAGGTGGGGCCTGGGCACAGTTAGCTGGGGGAAGGCCCACCCAGAAGCTCCCTCTTGCTGTCACCCTGGAGCATCAGCCTGCCTTGGCCTCTAGCAGCCTCTTGCCTTAGCCCAGCCTCTTGCCTTTCCTGGGGCCTGGAGAAGCTTGTTCAGGGTCCCTGAAGGCAGAGTGGAGAGAATCTGCCCCACCCCCTCCCTAAGCCTCTGGCCTTTGCAGCTAGAAACAGGTTGACCTTTGACCTTTTCTGGAATTCCAGGGCTCTGCCCCCTCCCCCCTTTTTACAAACTCCCACCACTTCCTCCATGACATAAGCACAATGGCAGCTGCCTTTGCCTCTGGCCTAGATCTGCTGCTGCTCCTCACCCCAGGGACCACCCCCAGCTGCTGCTCCCCACTTTCTCTGCCCCAGGCCCTGGAGCCTGAATGTGGCCTGGAGTCCTGCTCCCACACTGAGCTTATTTCCCCGTCCTTCTTCCACTGCACAAAAGATTGCCTTTTCCTGCTCAAGTCCTGGCCCCCTTTCAGTCCTGTGGACCACCCGCCACCCGGACACACACAGCTGGCTGAGACCTCGTGTTTCTGCAGCTGGTTGTTGAGGTGAGGGAACCTGGGCCAGGCATGGTATGCCTTTGTCCCTCTGAGTTAGTTGGAGGTTGAGACCACAGTCACAGAATGGGGCTCTCACCCCTCTGAGGCTCTATGTTTTGTTCCACCCCAGCCAGGAGGTGTCCGACACATTCTGGTGGTTTCTGTGAGAGCAGACAGACCCTCAGATGCCTGGAGCTGCTGTCTGTGAGAGCTAGTTCATAGCCAGGGCCTGTGTGCGGGAGGCTGGGAGCTGCCCCATACCCCCTTCCTGGCCCTGTGCGTCTCTTTTTATCCTCACCCAAGGACATTTTTCCATTTTTTTGTTCAGATAGAGTGGGAGGGAGAGAGAGGAAGAGACAGAGAGAGAGAAACATCGACGTGAAACATCGAGTGGCTGCCACCCGCACGACCCAACCAGGGCCGGGGACAAACTGCAACCGAGGTACGTGCCCTTAGCGGGAACCGAACCCGGGTCTCTCTGGACCGCAGGCCGACGCTCTAACCGCTGAGCCAGACCGGCTAGGGCTGGCCCTGTGCTTCTGAAGCAGTGCCCCAGACGGGGCAGAGGGGTGCAGGCCTGGGGTCTGGCTGCCTGTGGGCCAGGCCAGCTTCTATGGTAGTTTTATTATCTTTCCAACTCCTTTCTTCTGCCAGAGCTCTGGGGCTGAGGCCCTGGTGGGCTGGGTTTGGGGAGTAGGGCCATCTCCCTGCCCAGGGCTCTTGCTCTCTGCCCCACACCCAGGGCTGCTGGGAATTGCCTGGGGTGGAGGTCTGCAGCTGGTTCTTGCTGTTTCTCTTGAAGTGCCAAGAAGAACTGAAAATTGGAGGAATGGGCCTTGGACCCTTCTCAGGCTTGTGTTCCAGCATCCCCATACCTCTTGTCCCAAGCTGGGACCTGAGCTAGGGTGTCCCCCAAAGATCTGGAGGGTTCTTTTTGCCTCTGGTCCCAACTCCCCCTCTGGACCAAGTGATGTACCTTGGTTGTCTCATTTTGGCTTCTGCTTTGGGGGGTGTGGGCTGCCTCCTCTCTCTCTCTCTTCTTCCCTCCCTCTCCCACTCACTTGCATTCTCATTGTTTGGTGAGTCTGATTGTCGTGGAGTGGGGGCCTTTGGATGGAAGGGGGTTGTCCGGAACAGGTAGGAAGCCTGGCCCTTTCCTAACGCCAGGGGGCTGCTCTGAGATGGGACCACTCCCTGGGCCCTGGACGGACACCTTTTGAACTGAGTAGTCTGAGCCTCTGGAGTTGTCCAGGGGTGGGGTTGCCCTTGGAGGCCCGAGCAGGCCTTGGCAGGGGTGCCGCGCAGCCCTTACCTCTCTGCTCTTGCCCTCCCTTCCTCAGTGCCTGGAGAAGTTCCCCGTGATCCAGCACTTCAAGTTCGGGAGCCTGCTGCCCATCCATCCTGTGTCGCTGTGCTAGGAGGAGCTGAGCAGCCAGAGCCGCCCAGCTGCAGCTCCTGGGTCTGCCCTTCCTGCCCCCAGCTATGGCCCCCTCCTGCCCCCTCCCTCTGTTCTTTTTGTTTGATGAGAGGCTGTTTACTGGGGTGGGTGGTGAGCTCGGGGTCAAGGAAGGCTCAGGGCATAAGGCTGAAGGGCCCAAGTTGGGAGCAGTGACCAAAGTGTGGCCAGTTTCCTGACTTTTCCACCAAGGTGGGTGGGCAAGTGAGAAGGGTGGGACAGGGTCCCTGGGCCCCACCCCACCTCTCCTCCCTCTTCCAGCCCTGTTCTGAGACCCAGGCTGTTCTGTGCCACTGTAGGGAAGGGAGGTACTTGGCTGATTTTGTTGCTTTCTGGGGTTGGAGCAGTTGCTCTCCACAGGTGGGTCATTTCCCAAGCCACATTTGGGTGGGTGTCTGGGTATTCTGGGGGCTGGAGGCTGGTCAGCTTTGAGTGGGGGGGGCAGGGGGGGCAGGGAGAAGCGTTGGCTGTTCTGACCAGTGACCCTCGCAGCTTCTCCTCAAGGCTGTCGCTGGGCCTTTAAGAGTACCTGTGTTCAGTGCCTCATCCTGGCTTTCTGTTCTCTGGCCCTTCGCTCTGCTGGATTTTCTGCCATAGCCATACCTGTCCTCCTGAGAGCAGCCTCTGGAAGCTGCCCTTTGGGTAGTGCTGGGCTCCTGGGAGGGGCCCACAGGGCTTGCACAGGGCTCATTAGGTGAGGCCTGCCTTTCCAAAGCTTTCTCTGGCAGGGAGGAGGTGGCAGGGACTGGGGAGGGGCTTGGGCCAGTCATGGTTGGGGACAACCTGGATTCCTCTCCGTACATTCTTACGGCCACTTCTGTTTCCTCCTCACTGCTGCTTGCTTTGCCAAGGCCCTGGGCCCTGCGTCCTGCCCCTATGGGCAGTGGGTGGGTGGGCTGCAGAAGGGCTCAGAAAGCCCACTCCCTTGTCCTCCCACCTCCCTGAAGTCACCTGTTGGCGTCCAGGACGAGGTAGTTATGGTCCCCCAAACCTGGGATTTGGCTCTGAGGATGGGCAGGCCCACCCAAAGGGGAAGGGGATCTTAGCAGCAGCATGTAAGTTCCAGAGTTTTCTTCTAGGGCTGCTCTTGGGCCCGATTCTTGCAGACTCTTCCCTGCCCAAGCCCAGGCCTGTCCTACTCTACTTGTCCCTCCTTGTTTCTGGGTCCACATACCCTTTGGGAAGGGGGGGGAGCACCTGAGAAGCACAATTCAGGGGTTTGACCCTTGGATCTGGGCTGACGGCCTGGGCAGAGGCTGGGACAGAAGTCAGTAGAGTCACAGAAATAATTTTCCAAGGAGAGGCTCCATCAGTGCCTCCCTCCCTCCCAGGGTCCAGACCACCGACTTCCTGGCTCCTCCTTCCTCTGCCCCTACGGGCCCCTCAGCCCCTTTGCGCCTTCATTGCTGTTCAGATTAAAGCCTCTGTTTTGCACCTGTCACCTGTGTCTTTTTTTGTGTGTAATATGTTTGTATTGATTTTAGAGAGTAAAGAAAGTAGAGGGAGAGAGAGAGAAAAACATCATCGCAAACATCAGCCTGCAACCTGGACATGGATCCTGACCGGGAATCGAACCAATGACCTTTCAGTACATGGGATGATGCCTAACCAACTGGGCCACACTGACCAGGGCCACGTGTGTTTCTTCATGCCACATACCTGTTCCATCTTCACAGGACTGTGTGTCTCCCGATCAAGTCCCCTTTCCTTGGGCCATGGAGTCTGGGGCTGAGCTTTTTCACTTGGGTCTGGGGTAAGCCTTTCCCGGGCAGTGGGAAGGCACCTGCTGGATGTGTAGTGGTTGCCCGAGCAGGCGTGGGAGCAGAGACCTGGGTTCAAATCCTGGCTGTCTGCACCCCCAGCTATAAGGTCTTAGGAAAATTACTGGATCTTTCTAAGTCTCAGCTTTTTTATCTATAAAATGGGGACAATCACAGGGTGATTGCCAGGACCTAGTTCAGGATGTGAAGGCCTCAGCCCAGGGCCTGGCACCTGACAAATGCCCAGTGCTCACTGTTGCTCTCCTTGGTAAAGCAGCCCCTCTGGACTCCTGGGTCAGCTCCAGACTGGCCAGGGGGCACCTTTGTACTGGGCTTGGCCATGAAACTTGTTCCTGTAGTTTTTTTTTTTTTTAAGTCCTCACCCGAAGATATTTTTCCATTGATCTGCAGATAGAGTGGGAGGGAGAGAGAGAGACCTTGCCTCTCACACGACCCCGACCAGGGCTGGGCACTGAACTGCAACCGCGCCCTTGACCGGAACCGAACCCGAGACTCTGGTCTGCGGGCCAGTGCTCTAGCCGCTGAGCCAAACCAGCCAGGGCACTCCTGCAGTTTTTAAGGGGGTGCCTTCTATTCCTTCTCCACCCTTTGTGTGTCTGTCGAGGTGGAGTTGGGAGTCTGGGCTGTGCCTGAGACTTCGTGGGCACTTCCTTACTCACTTCTGTGCCGGGCTTGTCTTCAGATGGGTCTTCTCAGAGCACAGAAGCCTGTTTTCTCCTGGCCATAGAGGTCTCACAGCGTGGGAGCGTCGCCGTCAGGAGCCCTGCCTCGGGGCGGGCCCGCTGCCTTTGTCTGGGAGACCCTGATCCGGTGGGCACAGTGGTGCTCCTCACAGGTGGCCACATGTTCCTCCTCCTAGTGTGGGTGACGGCAGCCAGTCCCCAAATACCAGAATGTTAGGCAGTGCTGTGTGTTGCGAAGGAAGTGATAGCAGTTGGAGAGGGCGGTGAAGGGTGCTTGCTTGAATCACAAAGGCCGGGAAGACACCTTAGCGCAGTGGTCCTCAACCTTCCTGACGGGACCCTGTAATACAGTTCCTCGTGTGGTGGTGACCCCCAACCATAAAATTATTTTTGTTGCTACTTCATAACTGTAATTTTGCTACTGTTATGAATTGCCATCGGAAATATGTGATTTCCGATGGTCTTAGGTGACCCCTGTGAAAGGGTCGTTTGACCCCCAAAGGAGTCGCGACCCACAGGTTGAGAACCGCTGCCTTAGAGCATGTGAGAGCTGAGGCCTGAGGAGGAGCCAGGAGGGAGCTGCGGGGAGGGGCAGCGGGCCAGGGGACGAGCCGGGAGGAGTCTGGAGAGGGCTTGGAAGCACAGAGGTCCCCGTCCAAGTCCAGAAGCAGGACTGTGGAGCAGAGCTAAGCTCTTTGCCTTGACACCTCGCTTCCTGTTTAGGACTTTTGTTGTAAAGGGAGCAGAGACTGGACAGGGAGAGTAGGTGGGAGGCTGGGGGTCAGGGAGGCTTTTGAAGGTTGTGATGGTCAGGCCAGTTTGCGCAGTTTGCTTGCGCTGCATTCTGTTTGCTGGGAATAATCGGGGGGGGGGGGAGCTGCGATGCAGACAAGGGAGGGAGGGAGGATTGGTGGGAGCGAGGCCTTGAACAGGTGCAGGCTGCCTGTCCATTGGACGGGAGGGAGGCAGACCCTCAGCACCTGTTTGGTGAATCATACTGGGTTTACTCAGAGAAACGTGTGGCCAGGTCATGGGCTACCCTGGTGCAGAGCCCCGGAGGGATAGGGGGTGGTGCGGGGTGGAGGGGGTTCTGGAATAGTCTGAGGGGCAATGGGACCCCAAGGATGTTGGCGAGGGCTTCAGGGTGGGAAGCCTGCGAGGAGCAGGTGGGACATGGTGAGGAGCCCACCTCCTGCCCATGCTCTGCGTGGTGAAGGATGGCATCTGCTGTCATCTCCGGACGGGGAGGGAGGTGTCTTCTCACCTCGGGGCCAGGGGCCCAGGCAGCAAGGGGCTCCAGCTGTGCTCCTTCCCGCGGTCGGGCCCAGGTCACTCCGGCTCATAGCAGTGAGAGCAGAGGCCTCTTCCAGGCGGAAAACCCTGCAGGAAGGAGCTGGGGTTGGAAGGAGGGCAAAGGTGAGGGCGTGGTGTGCCCAACACTCGCACCCAAGTCGGAGAATCCAACACATGAACACATGCTACATACAAGGTATTTGGAGGAACACAGATGGAAAAGGTGAGAGTCCTGCCTGCTAACCTAATGGAGCAGCTGTGGAGGACAGGGCGTGATGGGCTCGGGGATCTTGGGCAGGGCTCTGCGAGGAGGCAGCATCGGAACCGGACCTTGAAAGTGGGCACAGGTGAAGGGCATTCTGGAGGGCCCTGTTGTGAGCAGGTGTGGGCTGGTCTGCATGACCTCTAACAGATTCCCAGCACCACGCAGCCCCTTGAGGTGACACAACTGCCTTTCATTGTCTGCACAGAGTATGCGGTTAATGTCTGTCTCCACCAGCAGAAGAGCCACGAGGACAGGGACCCTCTTGCTGCTGTACCCAGTGCCAGCAGAGACTGGCACGCAGCAGGCACCAGGGAACGATGGATCAGGACCAGGGAAGATGTTTAACTGGTGCCTCTGAGAGTGTGTGTGTGTCAGAGAAGGGGGGGCACCTGGTTTGGGATTTAGGGAACTTGGGGCTGCTGTTTGGGTGCTGGATCAGAAACAGTACGGGTGAGGCCGTGGGATGGGAAAGGAAGAGGGAGGTCCAGGTAGGATTTGGTGCTGAGGAGGAGTTCTCCATGATCCTGGGGACTCCCTTCTCCGTGCCTGGAAGGGCCCCAGGGGAAGGCGCAGGCTTGGGGAAAGATGCTGTGCTCAGCTGGGGTGCCGAGTTTGCAGAGCTCTGGTGGGTAGATATTTGGGGCTGGCAGGGCTGCTACGACACAAACGCTGGAGATGGGAAATCTGGGTTGCAGGGACTCCCAGGAGCTCCTGGGCCCTGCCAGCTTCAACCTCTGGCTCTCTTCCCCCTCGCCCCCAGGTCTCTGGTCTCCTCTCTGCTCCTCAGACTCCCTGGGCCACCAGACAGCGTCTGGCCCTCTTCTCAGAATCCTTGTCCCCACTGGGAACCCCTGGTTATTCTTCAGGGCTCAACTGAGGCTTTACTTCCTCCGAGGCCTTACCTGGCTCCCTAGGTCAGGGCGGGGTCTGCGCAGGCACGCTGCCCCGACCCTACTGTGAGTGCTCAGCACACCCTGGCTGGGCTGTGCATGCCTGGTGCCATCGCCAGATCTCTGGGGCGGTGTTGGTGGGGCAGCGCCTTGTGAGAAGATGGGGGTGGGGTCCGTTTGCTTTGCAGACACAGCTTCTCTTTACTTGGGTGTCTTGGTGGGGGGCCCAGGCCTGCCCCCCTCTGATCAGCACTGAGCATTGCTACTCCCTGCAGGTCTGTCCTAGGAGGGTGCCACACAGCAGGAGCTCAGGCATACCTGTGAGGGCTGGCAGTTAGGGCCCTCCCTCGGAGGGATGGTGGAGGCAGAGGCGGGCCAGAGCACTGCAGAGTCCTGCAGCTGGCGGCAGGCGGCTGCTGCGCGGCAGAGCGGGTGCTGTGGTCACCGCTGCCCTGAGGCCCTGGCCAGCGCTGGGGCTGGGGTGTGCAGGGGACCTGAGAGAGAGCCGTTCTGGGGGTACTGGGGCTGAGGAGAAATGAGGGTGAGGTTAGGGTGGCAGAGAAAAAAGGGGGGGAGTAGAGCCCAAGGTGGGCTGTGGGCACAGCCTTGAGGAACCTGAGTGCAGCTCAGGCTGAAGACCAGGATTCCTTTTTTTGTTAATCCTCATCAGAGGATATTTTTCTATTGATTTTGATTTTTAGAGAGAGTGGAAAGGGGGTGGGGGAGAGAGACATTGATTGGTTGCCTCCCATACGACCTCTACCAGGGCCAGGGATCAAACCTGCAACACAGGTACGTGCCCTTGACTGGGAATCACACCTCTGACCCTTTGGTCTGAGGGCCGATGCTCTAACCGCTGAGCCAAACCAGCCAGGGCAGGACCAGGACTCTTTGTGGGGACAGAGAGGGCTGAGAGGCAGAGCTGGGAGGCACGTGGCTTGGTTTGGACCACTCATCCAACAGACATCGCTGAGCCCTCTGCTCCAGTCTGTGCCAGGCACCAGGATGATGCTGTGAACCGGAAAAAGGGTGCTCCCTCCCGGAGCACACATGAGCATGACTTATCCTGATGAAACCCTGGAAATACCCTACGTGTCCAGCATTTGGGGATTGTTAGAGGCCGGATGGAGCTGTCATCAGATGGATTGTCAGATGATGCGCCTGTTTATTCTGCAAAGGTGCTTAGGACCTGTTGCTAAGTGGAGAGAACAGCCACTAGGTTAAATACAACCTCTTTTGTAAAAAAGCAAAAATCTCCATTTTTGATCCATCTGTCTCTGTTTGTCCATCTACAAAGACGCGAAGGCTGTTTCACCAGGTAGTGATATGAATCTCTCTTGATGGTGAGATAGGAGGCGAAATCCTTATCACTTTTCCTTGCTCCCAAAAGATGGTTATAAACATATTAAACATTACTGACCCACAAAAGAAAGAGAAAATGATTGTGGGTAAGTTTTAACTTTGCTTTTTGTTTTTTTTTTTTTGTTTTTTTTTTTCTTTTTCATTTTTTTTTGTACAGAGTGGGAG